TGCGGCAGTGTGGGTGGTGCCTGTTAGAGATGTGTGGGTGATGGTGTGGGTGATGCTTGTTCGATATGGGCAGTGTGGGTGGTGGTGTGGGTGATGCTTGTTAGATATGCGGGCAGTGGGTGGTGCCTGTTAGAGATGCGGGAAGTGTGGGTGATGGTGTAGGTGATGCTTGTTCGATATGCGGGCAGTGTGGGTGGTGCCTGTTAGAGATGCCAGGAAGTGTGGGTGGTGGTGTGGGTGGTACTTGTTAGAGATGCGGGCAGTGTGGTGGTGCTTGTTAGAGATGCGGGCAGTGTGGGTGGTGGTGTGGGTGGTACTTGTTAGAGATGCAGTGTGGGTGGTGGTGTGGGTGGTGCTTGTTAGAGATGCGGGCAGTGTGGGTGGTGGTGTGGGTGGTACTTGTTAGAGATGCGGGCAGTGTGGGTGGTGGTGTGGGTGGTGCTTGTTAGAGATGTGGGCAGTGTGGGTGGTGGTGTGGGTGGTGCCTGGTAGAGATGCGGGAAGTGTGGGTGGTGGTGTGGGTGGTACTGGTGTTAGAGATGCGGGCAGTGTGGGTGGTGCTTGTAGAGATGCGGGCAGTGTGGGTGGTGGTGCTTGTTAGAGATGCGGGCAGTGTGGGTGGTGGGCTTAGAGATGTGTGGGTGGTGTGGGAGATGGTATGGGTGGTGGTGTGGGTGGTGCTTGTTAGAGATGCGGGCAGTGTGGTGGTAGATGCGGGCAGTGTGGGTAGTGTGTGGGTGGTACTTGTTAGAGATGGGGCAGTGTGGGTGGTGCTTGTTAGAGATGTGGGCAGTGTGGGTGGTGGTGTGGGTGGTACTTGTTAAGATGCGGGCAGTGTGGGTGGTGTGTGGGTGGTGGTGTGGGTGGTACTTGTTAGAGATGCGGGCAGTGTGGGTGGTGCTTGTTAGAGATGCGGGCAGTGTGGGTGGTGGTGTGGGTGTGCTTGTTAGAGATGCGGGCAGTGTGGGTGGTGGTGTGGGTGGGTGCTTGTTAGAATGCGGGCAGTGAGGGTGGTGGTGTGGGTAGTGCTTGTTGAGATGTGGGTAGTGCTTGTTGAGATGTGGGTAGTACTTGTTGAGATGCTGGCAGTGTGGGTGGCTTGTTAGAGATGCGGGCAGTGTGGGTGGTGGTGTGGGTAGTGCTTGTTGAGATGCGGGCAGTGTGGGTGGTGGTGTGGGTAGTGCTTGTTGAGATGCGGGCAGTGTGGGTAGTGCTTGGTTAGAGATGCGGGCAGTGTGGGTGGTGGTGTGGGTAGTGCTTGTTGAGATGCGGGCAGTATGGATGGTGGTGTGGGTAGTGCTTGTTAGAGATACAGGCAGTGTGGGTGGTGGTGCTTGTTAAGAGATGTGGGCAGTAGTGTGGGCGGTGTGAGACAAGACATAACATTTAAACTGAGCGAGTGGGAAGGAAAAGTGACACTAGTCTCAGGCGGAGGGAGGGAGAGGGATGGAAGGAGGGAGGGAGGGAGGGAGGGAGGGAGGGGGAAAGCGAGGGTAAAGAGATCGCCAGGCAGGGAAGCGATACAGAGCAAGAATGAAAAAAAAATTAAATAAATAAAATTAATAAATAAATAAGAGAGAGAGAGAAAATATCAAAGTTTTCGGGTATATCAAATCAGGTGTGACAATGTTATTTTGGATATTCGTACTTCAGCTTTCATGTCACTCAAGAGAATAACTCACACCACAATAATTACCGAGAAATTTTGGGATAAGCGAAACATCTCCATTTTGGTGTTTAAATTGATTTAATGAACCTACAAAGTTTCCATCCTACTCTCAAACAGTACAACATGCTCTTCCAACCAATCACGGAACACCGACTATGACATCACATCAAGGCTCCACCATATCAAAACACTGGACAAGAAGCTCTCTCTCTCTCTCTCTCTCTCTCTCTCTCTCTCTCTCTCTCTCTCTCTCTCTGCCATACTAATTTATTCGTCACATTTACCACACTGATGAGTAACTATTAAGTACATCAGGAATATCATCACATTACAAAGATTCAAATATCAGTTTTCAGGGAATTGATCAAGTGCTCTCAAGACAGCTGCAGCTCTTTTAAGTCTTACCCGTAGCAATATTATCGTCAGTGTGCAATTTGTATCACTGAAATTCTACTTCAATAAACGGTTTCAATTCACTCGAGACAGCAGTGAGGAGAGGCAGCAGTGAGGAGAGGCAGCAGTGAGGAGAGGCAGCAGTGAGGGGAGGCAGCAGTGAGGGGAGGCAGCAGTGAGGGGAGGCAGCAGTGAGGGGAAGGTCAGGGGTGTAAGGAGACACGGGGACCATTATGACCTCACCCCTCACCCACATGTCTCTCTCTCTCTCTCTCTCTCTCTCTCTCTCTCTCTCTCTGTCCGTCTGCCTGTGTGTGTTTCTCCAGACAGCTGTGGTGATCCGTGACACACACACACACACACACACACACACACACACACACACACACCTACAAGACATATCCTAAGTAAAAATTCTGCCTAGGCTACACTACCCACAACCCTTCCACACCACACTTATACTCCAGCTACGCCACCTTCACCCTAATGATGTCCCAGCCACACCCTCCTAATGTTGTCCGAGCCACACCCTACTAATACTTTCTGTCCCATCCCTCCTAGCGCTGTCCCAGCCACACCCTCCTAATGTTGTCCCCAACCACACCCTACTAATACTTTCTGTCCCACCCCCTAGCGTTGTCCCAGCCACACCCTCCTAATGTTGTCCAACCACACCCTACTAATACTTTCTGTCCCACCCCTCTGCTTGTCCCAGCCACACCTCCTAATGTTGTCCCAACCACACCCTACATTACTAATACTTTCTGTCCCACCCTCCTAGGTTGTCCCAGCCACACCCTCCTAATGTTGTCCCAACCACACCCTACTAATTCTGTCCCACCCTCCTAGGTTGTCCCAGCCACACCCTCCTAATGTTGTCCCAACCACACCCTACATTACTAATACTTTCTGTCCCACCCCTCCTAGCGTTGTCCCAGCCACACCCGACACCAGTAACGTGAGAACCCTCCCAGGCGTCTGTGTTCTGTCAACAAAACACAAATGCCCAACTGTGTAGGTCACGCCTATTATCTCACAACATACCCCCACACACCAGAAGTTCACAATATACCCCCACACTATCTCACAATATACCCCCACACTATCTCACAATATACCCCCACACACCAGAAGTTCACAATATACCCCCACACTATCTCACAATACCATCCCAAGCTTACAATACACCCCTATTTGAGTATGAAGCCAATTTATTCAATAACTAACACAAGGTAAGCTAAGCGCACCAACCCCTCACTTCAAGATATAATAACAAAATTTTGCTTAGTGAGCAAGATCAATTTTGTGTATATCAAGACGCGATGAGTCAACGCTCCATACCAACTGTCACGTTAACCCTAGAAAGATGACAGACAGACCCAGATAGATAGATATTATTCAATTAAATCGTCATACAAGTTTACATTTATTCAGTATGTGTATAGACAGTGTAAACATTAAGTGGATTCGACCAAGGATATGCCAAAAGAAGTTACCATAAGCTTCTTTCCCTTGAGATTTTCAATGACATAAGTACTGCAAGGTACTGTATATGAACAAGGGTGGTGGCGTGAGAGAGGGTGAGAAGTATCAAGGAGTTCCTCAATTGCTCCCTGAGTCCGAGGTATAAGAGTTGTTTTAAGTGAAATTAGAAGTCTTGAGGTGGTTAACAGGTTGTGAGGGACATAAGACCAGACATGATTTCGTCTCTTTAAGGCTGTTGAGCTAAATGTAAAACAACCTGATAAATGACAATGCCGACGTAAATGCGGAGTCGACGAATACAGTAATTGTTTCCTTGGATATTATATTGATGAGGGCTAACGATTTTCTTTCCATGCGCGTGTGTACAGTATGTGTGCGTGTGTAACCATTATATACCCTAAGTACTTTTAGTCACGACCAGCTAGCAAACAGACAGTGGGAGAAGACGGTAAACTAATTCTGGAGTTCAGCAGACCAATAGTGAGATGAACCTCTGTCTGTGTGTGGCAGTGAGGGGAGTTGCCCCACTGCCCCAAACTAGTACATGTGACCTGAGTGTGGAGAGGGAGGGAGGGATAAGGCTGGGGGACGAGGGATGAGGAGGGAGGAGCGAGGCCGAGGAGGGGGGACAAAGGAGAGGGGTGGGGGTGGGTGGGGGCAAGGCTAGGGAGGAATGGGGAGATAGTGGGGGGTGGAGGGGAGGACACTAACTACGGCCCCTTCCGGTGGGTGTGTGGAGTTCGCTGATAACTGCACTACAACTAACCTCTGCTGTTGTCCTGTTCCACTACTACCTCCTGTTACTGTCCTCTTCAAAAACTACTTTCTACTATTGCTCTCCCTTCTTCACCTTCTGCTACTATCCTCTTCAACTACTACCCTCGCCAATGTCCCCTTCAGAAATTAATCCCAGCTACTTTAAGAATTGTAAGACCCTACTGCTGCATTAACTCATCCTCACAACATTTACAAATAAAGTATTGGTGAAAATTTTAATTCACCTTGCTTAACCAGCTTAACCAATCGGCAATAAATGTTCCTTTCCTAGCCTGGTAAGCTGTAAGACGAGACAGTATGTAAACAATGAACATCTGGTTAGTCCCATCTGGAGGAGTTATGACATCAACACCACGTATGTTCTGTAAATAACTGTTACGGGCATGATCGCTTCACACGACCCCAATACGATAATTAACAAATATTGCCACTGGACTGGTATATAATTACGTAGATACTAAGATGAAATCATTATGTTATATATACAGACCATTATCTTACAGACAAGTATCAGCGTTGCTACAATATGGTGGGTAGGGGTTGCACTGATAGTTGTATTTGTAACTTAGAATTTAATTGTACACATTCATCCTGGGTTTATTTGCCAGAAAAAAATAAAAATCGAGGACAAAAAAAAATACAAGAAACTGGAAGTGGTGGAGGTAATTGTACTCACCTGACCCAGGTCGATGGTGAGGTTGACCTCATTGTACTTCATGCCGCGGGAAAGTGGTGGGCTCTGCCACCACCGTTCAGATCCATCGATGGCAAATTGCACAGGGTGGGACTTGTCCAGCAGGTTGGGGTCACACCGATCACACCACTGTAACAATACACAAACACTAATTCACACCACTTAATTTTAACTATAACAGTATTTATAATAATCTCTATTGGTCAGCAAAATAATTATACCTACTTTGTTATTTACCTAATTACCTAAAGGCCACCCACTAGAGGTGGCCATGCCGAGGGAAGGAGGCCAGTGGCAGAAGTGGTGCTACAAGAGAAGCGAGGCACTTATAAAACGCATCGAGAAAACAAAGTTTTAAAAATTATGAAGTTGTCTGTGATAAAACGTTAGCCTTAGAACGCTCACTACAATAACAATTATGAATCTAAATGTTACGACCGACCCGTTGCGACACATCCATCATGATGCCTTGTGAAAAATCAAAGGTCTACCGAAGACCGTATTGGATCATATGAAGATCCTCCCCCCCAAACCTACTTGGGGGGGAGGATCTTCATACGATCTAGCCTGGATGGGAGGATCTGACCTGACCAATGACCAAACCTGACCTTACCTGACCTGACGTCACTATGACCACCTAACCTAACCTAACCTACACCAATATTTAGTGGAACAAGAAAGTAATCTGAATAATGTTTTATTATTTAATCCTTATGTTGTTTATTTATATTATATGTTGGGGGGATCTTCATATGAGCGCGACTGGGGGGGGTGGATCTTCATATGAGCGCGACTGGGGGGGGAGGATCTTCAGTTGGATACTTTGGGGGGGAAGATCTTCATATGATCCACAGTTATTTTGTGACTGACGTGGGAGTGATGACAGAGAAATACGAACGTAACGAAGATAGGTTGCAAGAGTACGGACCTAGAGAGTGAGATAAGATCGTACGCAGGAAGGCACGGACACAGGGGTGTGAGGCTGCACGAATATAAGAACATAAGAACATAAGAATGGAGGAAACTGCAGCGGGCCTATTGGCCCATACTGGGCAGTCCCGTTTACACCCAACCCCTATTGCTCATATGAGCATCCAACCTATGTTTGAAGCAATTCAGCCTTGATAAAAGCGGTGGCGGGGCATAAAACTTAATCATTAACCTATATGTACAGTGTACACATTATGATTATCATAATGCACTCATTCACCTTGTTATAAATATGGGAAACGTTTATTTGGAAATCACCTGCAAATGTTTGATACAGCCACAAAGCCGTGTAAAAAGAACGTCTTATCAACAACCATTTCTCATTCACCCAAAATTTGGAAGATAAAGCATGTTTTGAAACGTCAAGTAAGTACAGTATCTAGGTGCCGATACTACCAAGTAAATATTGTTCACTAAGCCTTCTCTCTATTTATGTATAAGCTATCTTACTGTAATTAACGTTTACCGATTTTTCTATTTTTTGTACAGTATTCAGTAATTCATAGGCCTCTCGAATTCTTGAGTCGAGAATCTTGACTGACAGGAAGTCTTCTAGCTACGGCATCGAATCGAGTCGTCAAATAAGAAATACATGAACCTAGGGGTAGCATGAAAAAGTGTACCACTACCCAAGGCTTTGGACTTTCTTATTTAACATTCGTTATATGAATAAACTTATAGATAATGGATCCAGTGTTGAGTGCTACTTTCAAACGACAGTAGGCCGTGTCCTCTGCACCTTCGTTCACTGACAAAAAACACCATTAAGTTTTATTTTATCAAAGCGGAATCACTTCGTACCTACTAAAAACGGTATCCCCAGTAAATTCGAAATTATTTCCTTCTAATTCTAACACCAGGTTTATAAACAACATATATAATCAAAGAACACATGGTTTATAAACAAAATCCCTCAAACTGCTGGTTTGGCAGCGTGTGTGGATGTGGGGTGATCGGAGCGAGTGTCTCAGTGACCATTCCTTGCTGAAGCTATTTTACAACATACAGACAGTTTACTTGTCATACAAACACCCAAACTGTGGCCCTCAAATGCAATTATCTTATTTAACAAATAGGCTGTACAGTATAATATATCCTGTGTGTTATGTTTGCCCAAATCCAATATAAATTGTACTGATAAGCTTTTTTTCGCTCCTAAGTATTATGCATTAAACCTCCTAAACCGGACACAAACTAAATCAAAATGGAATATACAGCAGCCACAATAAATGAGAACTAACCTGTCCTCCATGGATGAAGTCTGATGAAGCATCAACTCTGTCAGCTTTAGCACCCACCAACTTGCAGTAAAGCTCCGGCTCTGCAACATCTTCACCACAAGTCGCAGAAGATGTTATAAATCTATTTTCTGCTAAATTAAAATACGGCGGCGTTAAAACTTGGGCAGTAGCGCCCGCCAATAGCGCTACCAAGTAGAGGGCCCGCGCTCGACCCCCGTCCTGTGTCATGGTTACTCTCTCACTAACTGGCTGCCTGCGGCCTGTTGACCCATCGATGCCCAACACAACCCGTTTTCTGAGGACGCGTTTGAAGATTTATCCTGTTTCTGCTAATATGATGTAAATTTTATTTTAATAAAAACTCTATTATGTAAGGGCGGATCCAGGGGACGTCCGGACCACCAGCCCCTCCCCCCTTCACCAGAAAATTCCAATACCTTTTCTTTAACGTAGTATTGTATTCAGGCATTTTTCTAAAAAGTATTTACTATTGACTTCAGAATATATATATATATATATATATATATATATATATATATATATATATATATATATATATATATATATATATATATATATATATATATATATATATATATATATATATATATATATATATATATATATATACAGTATATATAGTGTATACTCTAACATTTGTGTGTTTAGAGTCCCAGAGTTTGATCTGATGTCAATGGCAATAAAATGTTAAATGGATAAGTTCAGTATTATATCTTCTTCAGTTCAAACCTCATAAAAATTCGAATTCAGTTACCTGTATATAAAATCATCTCAAATATAGTGTCCATAAATGATTACCCTGATTAAGGCATGGTCTATCACGGTTTTTAGGCTAATAATTTATGGACACCCTGTATATGTGTAGTGCAGTAGACTTACTGTTGGTGCATCACTAAGAAATTAAAATCATACCTCTTGACCAGGCCTTGCAATCTGCTCTAAATCACCAACGGCATTGTTGCTCAGTAACTTCCATCCTCCACTAAATTTTTTTTAAATGTTTATTATTGGTTTATAATCATTGTATAAAGTGCACCAAAAGAATATTTAAATACTGTACAGTATATGTTTTGTAGCATTTTACAACAATTTAGGGAAGACTTTTTCATGGGAATTATTTCAGCTTTTATAATGGGAGTCTGTAAAAATGCAATTCAATTTACTTTAAATTAATCTATGAAGGTTTCTTCAAGAAAATAACCTTTTTCTTAAATCAGGCAGTGCCTGTACCGTATATGCATTCCATTATTTTTCTAAATTTACATCAAACAGTATAGTACTGCATAGTCTTCATACTACCATTCCTCAGGTCTTTGTCTCCCATCAATTTGTGGAGGTACTGTTTCCATCTACCAAACAGTTCTTCCTTAAGACCAATATGCCTTCTTTTTATATTTCTGTATATCGAGGTTCTTCACAAACATTTCTCCCCATTATTTGTTCATCTCCATCTAATAACAATCTGCTTTTTATGATACTTTTATACAAATTTCTATACAATTTGTGCAATACTGTATATACTTTTCATTGTATTATTTAGTCTGTATTAATACAAATAAGTACACGGCACTTTCCCAAGGCTTACAATTCCTTTCTCAAAGGTTAAATGTGAATACTATAATGAGATCATTTGTTTTTATGAGATGGTTTCATAAACAATGCTCCTAAAATCTAGAACTTGTACAAGATCGTAACCAGTTATAAAAATATTACTACAGTACACAAGAATTTGCTTTAATTATTTGTTCACAAAAAGGACATAAATCAGTTATATCATAAAAATATAATTATACAGTATTGAAAAACAGACAACCTATTTATTTACAAAAAAATGAATTAAGTATATTAACTTTAACAAAGGCATTTACTGAAGTACCAGTACTCCAGTAAATAAATTTTTGCCTTAAAATATCCAATTGTTTTAACATTATATTTACCATAAATCAATACACAATATACAGTACATGTAATTTGTGGTGACACTTAAAACTACAGTACAGCACACAGCCCCCCAGTTAATATACATGGACCAAGTAAATTGGTTCAGAAACTTCATATTAATACAAATATACATACAGTACCATCATTTTAACACATCTAAATAAATACATATACAGCAATCCTCTGAACAATTTCAAGGATAAACACCAACTGGTCAAGTTAGATTGATTCACTATGGGTAAAAATGGGTGTTTTCTAAGAGATTATGAAGGACAGGAAATTTTTTTGACAACCTTCCTCAAATAACTTAATTAAACATAAGGCTTTTAACTTTTAACTATACTGTGCAATAAATCAATTCCTATACTGTATTGTACTTCACATGAACACTAAAACCTTGAATAGCAATTCCTTGAAAATGTTATTACCTTGTACTGTAACATTCCTTTTAAAATGTAATTATATTTTGTACTGCACAGCAAAATTCCTATATTACAGTTAGTTTGGCACAGCAGTTCAGCACAGTTCAGGTAGTTATACCGAACACATAATTGAGAATAGCCCTCAACTCTGACCACCCTGCATCAGAGAAGAAACAGGCATTTTGAGAGACCAGTTGAAACAAGTTTTAGAGACCAAGAAAAAAAAAGAGGAATGAAGACTTAAGTAAATAGGGATTGAAACTAGCATCAGCTCATTCAACCTGGATGGGTAAGCATATGAGGTGTACCAGACAAGAATAAGACAGGCAACATAACAGCTTGAGATGTGTTATTACAGTACCTGTACTGTATACAGTACTACGTATAGTGCAACATTGTAATCTACAAACTTTCTACTAGAACTGGCTGCACCATTGCAATAAAAGTAGTTAGTCAAATGTAAAAACATTCAACATAAGCAATTATACACATGGCCAAATATTTCTACCCAATTTAGTGATCTTGGGTTAATAGTCTAAGTAGTGATAGAAACATTTCATGGAAGATTCAAACTGACAGGTAGGCAAAATAGTTAAAGCTCAAGACCCAGAGAGAGATGAGAAACATATTCAAGACTTCAAGCATCGAAGCTCACACAATCCTCATCTGCAAATAAAATTTATGGCCAGAGAAAAAGAATACAAAGTAATTCAAGAAGGGATGGGTAAGAGAATGGTGAAAACAGCCAGTGCAATGCACCTTTTGTTTGTGTTGTATATAACTTACCAGTTCTGGCATCTTCTGTTAAATATGTTCAGCTAAAATACTGCATAGTATGGTATATAAACTTTCTTTTTTTTTATTTATCATTCATTCAGCTTTGTTTTTCCTATAATACAGGGTGGCTAGACTGGTGCTGATCTCTTGATTCTTAGACTGGTTCATCTCAGCAAGAACACACCTGATCATGTACTAAATTATTGAAGGGTGCACAAAGACTAAGTGTATGAGGAACTCGATCCTCTACTCCAGTTTGGAATCAAATCTGTGACCACCTGCATTGAGGGCGTACGCTTTACAAAGTGAGATATGAAGCCAACTGTATATAAGATGTTTGTATTTTTTTAATTCAATAGCGGCTTATAAACTACTAAGAACTATGGCAAACAAAATATATACAAACCATATACCGGTACTTTACGGTATATTTATACACTTTTTTCATATATCTCTAAATCACCATCAGTAGCCTATTAAAAAATGTAATCTGTACAGTATATATATATACTGTACTGTATATATATATATATATATATATATATATATATATATATATATATATATATATATATATATATATATATATATATATATATATATATATATATATATATATATATATATATATTATATATATATATATATATATATATATATATATATATATATATATATATATATATATATATATATATATATATATATATATATATATATATATATATATATATATATATATATATATATATATATATATATATATATATATATATATATATATATATATATATATATATATATATATATATATATATATATATATATATACTCTTTATTAAAAGAAATACAATGCTAAATTTGCTCAATTTACTGTTTCAACTAATGCGAGGGGTAGTTCCCTTTCTGACAATAAGGACTAACAGATAAGGATAACAATATTTGCTCAGTCCATACCACAGTAAAAGAACACATCACTTAAGAAGGCATTTCAATAATAAGCTATTTGTTGAAGTATCAGGATAGGGGAAAAGTAGCCAGTGGGTGTGGCTATGTCCCTTTCCCACTGGGGAAGATCTTTTTTGATGCATTCTACAGGTATCAAAGGGCCAAAATTAAATTTTCTGATTTTAACTGATGCACCAATTACAATATTAGGCCTCCAGAGAATTTCATCCACTCACTTGCTATCATACAGCAACAATCATGGTCAAATATGCTATGTAACAAATTTTAATCAAGCACATGTCAAAGATCAATTTTAATCTGTAAATACATGGCAATTACTTTCAACCTTAAGATTATTAACTTAAAGACGAATAAAAATACAATATTAAACATTTGTCTTCACACTGTATTTCTATGAAAATTAATACTGTACGTACTGTACTGTGAACCTATCTTCATGACACTGAATATTTTGTAATTGTTCATTTCATAATTTATCACAAATAACCACTAATACCTTTTATCTAAAAGTATTGCATTGAAAACTTCATATACTGTATTGTATACAGTAGTATTCATTTGTGCATTGGTGCCTCAGAGAAAATGTTGTCTATCACAGCTTCATTATTCTCATGAAAAGCTACATACCGGTATATCAAGTCAAACACACCATTAACCTTTCCTCCTATCTTAGTTTTCGTTTTCAATATCTATACTTCAGTTTCAATGAGTTGTCATGAACGAGTTGTGAATTTTTAACCAAAATTGTTTAATCCAAAGCTGAACTAATGTCTTATGTCACATGCAAAAAAAAAGATATAATTTTACTTAAAAACCTCAATAGATTATTTGTAATATTGGTCTGATATAAATGAGACACTACCATAAAACCCCATTTTATAATGAGCATGGAATGGGTGACTCCAGCACTACATTATCAAGTTTGTAGATTTAACTCCAGGGCTCCCAGGAATCATCTCGTGTGTGTCTGGTACAGTATACAGATCACACAGTACAGTACAGGTACTGTAAACTCCCAAAATCCTGTAACACCAGAAAACCAGAGAGGATTTCTCCTGGTCTAACTGAAGTCTTTATAAGTAAGGGATAGCACTGATGAACAAATTCTCAAAGGAAAAAACAGCGAGTCTACACCTCCCCACCATTACCCATGCTTCCCACACAGGTTGTGACTAATTTAATATTTGTTTAGTTATCCTTCTGTTCCCTGCTCTGTTAGAGAATCTAACAGTGCTGACTGTTGAGTAAAGTTTCAAATTCCAAATATGTAGTGTTATTCTTTGTCTTAATGTTTCAAGTCCTTATTATAAGGTTTGTTTGGGGAAGGGAAGTGCTTGGGCAGTCACTTGACTCCCTTCAGCCACTGATGGCAGAGGTAAGCTTCGTTTCCAATTTTATGATTTTCCTTACTGTATTTTGTCATGGTAATTTATAAAGGAAAACTTTGTTCTGTTTTGAGTGGTTCCATTATACTGTTTGACATTTTGGAGTTTTATTTTATTATTTTTGGTGTGTTCCTTTACCAGGACTCTACCTAAGTTAAGGGCTGTACTGTACTTTAGGAGGCGTCCTTTCCACCCAGCCTGATCACCAACCACCTTGTTCAGCCAATCCGGTCAAGCCACACTATTCCTCCGCTCCAACTCCCAGTTTCAGTGAACCGATTCTACAACTCATCCCCAGTCTACCTGACGCCATATTAGTTACTATGCACTGGAGCTCAATTCTATGGCAGTGATGGAGTTCTAAGCTCTAGTGGAGAACCCAGACCAGAGAGGGTTTCATCTAATAAGTGTTTTTCAATAATGGTAGACTGTGGGACCTAACTGGTGAATTTGGTTATGGGGAATGGATCAGAGCTAATTTCTTATGGAGAGTTATTATCTACAGTATTGGTATAAAGTGTATTTTTTTTTTTTTTTTAAGTGATTGACACAGGCTATAAAAGAGAGCCCCAGCTGCCTGGCCCATGTGTATTATAAAATGGGATTTCAGGATTAATCCCTCACTCACAAGTTTAACAGTGGATAAAACAACCTATGTGTACTCAAGCCAGATGTTGCAGATGCAAGACTGTTTGCCTGCCAGTTAGCTACCAAATGGGTCATAAAGCTAAAGTAAAAACTTCTGAAACTTGAAAAATATATACATAAAATAACCAATCTACTTCTCATATAATGTTCTAAAATCTAAACAAACAAAACATGCAGCTGTAATACATGGAGCCATGTGAGATACAGTATGTCTGAAGAACTAACAAATAACTGGTGAAAATAGGTGTAATGTCTTGGGTCCCCCCTTTATAGTCTGTTTGGGTTGTGGATTGCATGTCCAATGGTGCGGCAGTTTAAATTTAAGGCTCTTGTCTTTTGGCAGTTTGTTTTCAGTGCTACCTCCTATTTATAGGGGGGGGCGGGCTGAGATTAAAGGAGGAGGCCTATCACAATTATTTTAGATTCACTGAATTACTGGAGTCTAGCTCAGAAGCACAAGAGAAGAGCTCCCAGGAAATTCCCGAGGTAAATCCACAGGCGACCTTATAAAGAACACAAGTTATGCATTTCACTAAGTCACTTATGAAAATCTGCCATATGGAAAGCAAAATACAATTAAAGCATTACAAATTCTAATCCTTCTATGCATATTTTCAAAATTTTCATTAATTTTGTTATTTCACTAATTACAAAGTCTAATTAACAAGTTTTTAGATTGGGAACATTTTACAAGCTAGCTGTATTCACAAGGAAAAATTCATGTCAAAAACTAAAATTTAGTTAAACATATTATATTTAATTTAATAATTAATTTAATACTTAGTTAACGCTAAAAGGGAACATGGCAGACTTGTACACAAGTATGGAATAGATGTGATACATAATTGTAATATCCATGTACTGTACAGTACTCTCCATTCTGTCCTTCGCACAATGTTCGCTCCTTAGGCATGAAAAGTCCACAGTATACTCACGTGCTCATTTTCTTTATGGCACATAAAAGCAATGCAAAATTTTCAAAATTTTGTGTTATCGTACTTTGAGAGAAATGCAGAATAAAATGTAGTACTGTACTGGATTTATTCTGAAACATATAGCATCACCAACTTGCAGCATATCTCTTTAGTATGAGTGAATGCTATAACTCAATGTGTTTAACTGCCTTTTCTTTTTCTAAGGGGAAGGCCCAGAAAGATGAAGGAAAGCCCTTAGCATCTCTTTCTCTCTTTGCAAAAGCTGAGAATGAGGAGACACAGTTGGCAATAAAATGATTGGAGCGACCAAGGATAGCCAAATCTACATGAGGCTCAGATGGTTCACGGCGATGTACAGCCACCTGAAAAGTAGTTGCTGGTCAAGTTTACAGTAAAATCAAATACAGTATGTACTCTTACAACAAATGCTTATCTAAACATGGACAAAGAATAAATTCAATATCCTGCCAATAGTATTCTTTCTTCCATAATTTACATTCTTATCTATCCATATCCTACCCAATTCACCTTGCCAGTAAAGAGGTTCATTTTAAACCTACACCTAATCTGATATCAACAAACCTCCTTAGGTTCTTGTTATTTCCCAATTCACTGAACCAAATGTATTTAGAAAATAATTTACTGTACAGTATATGGAAAGCAAAGTATAACCAAGACAAGAGTGATATATTTCCTTCATTAATATTTAATTTTTCCTTGCAAAATATCTGTTCACACTCACTTTCATCTTTTTTAAAGCTTGGGTGAGCCTGCCAATCATAAAGTCGTTATCTGAGGCAACAAAAATGCTTTTTGCCCCAGTAGATTTGATGACACGCTTTAACTTCTTTATTATGTTTGTTTCTGAAGGAAGACAAAGCTCTGTCGAAGCCACACCATGTTCATTACGGTAACCCAGACACTGAGGCGCAGCAAATAGATTTGGACTGTGCTGAACATGCTCACAAGCTCTCACCTGAAACACAAAAAAGTAATTGTATTGCAGGGTATTGTACTGTACATAAATAAAATAATATTTTATCTATTTCTCTTTCCAGCTTTTTTTGTACTTAATGCAGGAGGGCCAAATGCAAAATCAAATACACAAGCACATTTTTCCCTTCATTGACTGTTACTGCTATAACAGATGTGCTGTGCGAGGATACCCACCCTTCACGATAAGGAACTAAATCTAATTCACTCCTGTTGCTTCGCACAAGACAATATCATTAGCACATACTTTTCCAAAAAATAATTTAATGCCATGCTCTCTGCTCATTCACACTCTGCTGCTTCCTGGAACTCCATCCTCCCCCACATCCAGTGCATCCTTAACCCTAACCTTACATCTTTTTCTTGCTCTTACCCTCTCCTCCTGCAATCCACCTGACCTAATATATAAGTACTGTACAGTAGAATCCCAGTTATCCAGTCAACAGGCATGAAAATGAAATAATAATAATAAAAGATCCTCCAAAATCAGCTTGAATCGTAGGTTTGAATACCGCATGCAACGGGGATGAGCTGCCATATGAAATCGGCACATCAATCAATCAGTCAAGAGAACCGTCCTCATATCTAAATGTTCTCGGGTTGTTTTTATCCATCCTCTAAGGTTTTGTATCTCTCTGGGGACCCAGTTTTTAATTTAATTCATCCATCATAGTCTCTGCCTACCCCTGGCCCTCCTATCCTAAGCTTTGCCCATTAATATTTCTATTACCGGTATCCCCTCATTCCTTCTCGATACCCAGCATATCATAAAATACAATAGCACTTATTTTATGTACAAAAAATAGGTCTTCCCACACTGAAACCATCCTCTGGGCGAAGCGACACAGCTCAGGAAGTCAAGCAGCCGACTCACAGACATGTGGCTACCGCACCGATTGTGTGTACTGTATGCTGTGATGTCACATCGGGAGGGAGAGCAGCCAAGCAGTTTTAGCCCAGTAACCCACCACTTCCACACACATTCACTTTCCACATATACACATCGATGCTCTTCGTTTTTCTTATTTTATAGTTTTATATTTTCTTTATTTCTAAGCCACACTGGAATATTGTAATGATTTTTCCACAACTTTTATAGTTTCATTATAAGTAGCAATATATGTGGCAGCTGAGCTGGCAACTTGGCGATGTGGTTATAGCCCACAGCTTCCACACATGTTCAGTCCCCACACACAACTACTCTACATTTTTCTTATTTTATTGTTTTTATTATATCTTATTTATTTCTAAGCTACATCGTTTATATAAAATATGTGTTAAAGAAGTCTGCATTTCTGTGACATGAATTTGCAAGGTCAGCCTGTAGCACTGTACTGTACAATGTAAGATTTATTGAGGGATCCTAAGAGTGAGTTTCAACTAACAGGAAAAACTCTTTCTCTGACACCTCTCAATCCCGTAGGAGCCGAATAACTAGAATTCTACTGTACCCCATTTAGAGCACCTTTGAGAAGCACATTTTCACTTTAAAGTGCTTTTTACTTTAGGTACTTCTCTCTTCTAGAACAGTAGCAAATTTCATTTAGCATGGTTTAGAAGTAGAGAAGTTTGAGTCCCCAAATGTACTGTGAATGCTCTCAGTCAATTTACCTCTTGGTCGTCAGGTGGGAATATTGTTCCATGCCATGAAGAGTACACCAATTCTGTTTCTAAGATAACAAAAAGTGACCAGAGGCCTTAGTGCATAAAGGCATGTGAAAGAAAATGTATATTTAGTCTCTGCTCAGTAGCCATTACCATGCAAAGGCAGATTATTTGCTTGAAAGGTAGTGGAATAACAGAGCTTCTGGATGGCTCACTTCCCTAAATAAATTATATGGTACCCCCTTCCCCAATTCCATAGTTGTTGAGGTGTGGTTTGTATTTTGAGGTGTGGTTTGTATTTTTCAAGTTATGTTGCCAAAATTCTGACTCTAGTATTTTTCAGGTCCTGGAACCGTACTGTGGATGAGTTTGTGCACCCCCCAAAGCAAGGAAAGGATTCAAATGGAAGAGCTGGAACAGGTGAGTGACCAAGAAATGTGAGGCAACAGTAGAAATATAAACATTAATATAGTACCAGTAAAAAATTTGCTTTTACATCTTCATATTTTATTTAAAGTATAGTTCTAACTGCTGACTGGGACTAACTGTGACCCATTTAAAGTTTCCGTGTCTTTTTCTTAATTTCAACATACCCTGTAATTGTAGTTGGTTTATGCATCTTTAATTTTGTGTAGGTTCAGGAAAAATCAAGCATGCTTCATTTGAATGTAAACACGTACCCAGTCTATTCCATTCCGCAGATGTATACCAATAAATGGCCCCCTCGGTAATGTGGCAATAAACTGTTGTGCCTTTTCTACTATGCTGTCACTCCAGATAAGATATTTGTGTAAGTGTCGATTACTTTCTTGAACTGGAAAAGTGGCTGGAGCTCCAGTGAAAGCTAAAACTGAAAAAAAGACAAAACAAGGGATAAAACATACAGTATTCTAATACTAAGACAATAAAGCTTTTAAACTTGCTTCTATGTGGGTACTGTACTGTACCAGCTCATACAGTATCGTACTCTAAGGACACACTATTGTGGAGATGTTTTCTTTCCTACACAAAATTTTATGGAGACATAACCCCATAAAATTAGAATTTGACTGTACATCTTTTCCATCATAGTTTATTAAATTCCAGGAAAATTGTTGGAGGCTTTGATTTTACTAACTTAATATTACAAACAAGCAAACAGAAACATCAAGTATTATACAGTACAGTATAGTCTGGATTTACGCGGTTTTTGTTTACGCGGTAAATTTCATCATTTACGCAGCGAGTGGCTGGAGAGGTCCAGACCGCCGCGCCATTTTTTACTCGCGCAGTCCATTCTTGACCGTACGCGGGAAGAAGCGCGGTGAGTGGTGCGCATTAGGTCGCTCTTACGTTATCGCTGACGTCATATGACGTATCAGACTGTGATTGGGCCACGCATCCTTACCACCCACACATTCCCTCCGCTGCTAGCTGTGATTGGTCTAATGTAACATGACGTGCCCTGCCACCAGAGGGCAGAAGTCGCTGACCTAGCCGGGCCTGTCTCATTGTTCTCAGTCCGCGTATACAGTTCTCTCTTGTGCCCGCTATTCCCTCACAATGGCTTCCACTGGACCCCCACCACCCGAGAAAAATCTTGAATTACCTGGACCAAGCCATGATAATGTGATGGAAATCATCGAGTTGGGGGAGAAAATTAAGCTCGTCCTTGACAACGACCCAGACAAGCATCGGTATGAAGTGTCTAATAACCTTCTGTAGAAAGTTATGGAGCCGTATATCCAAATCTATCTCGACAACATCAATGCTAGTCGTCAACGTAGTATTGAGGACTTCCTCCCCCACAACCCACCACAACCACAGCCAGCCCAAGTCAGTGATAGTGAGTGAGGATATCGACTTTAAGGGGTTTGTCTGGGAGGCCCTGCAAACCTCTGCGAGTAGTGAAAGTGATTCACCGGAGGGCAACTAATCTGCCCTCTGCCTCGGAACCAGCCGCCATCCACGTATGCCGACCCAGCTTTTCTACTAACGTAAGTGTTAAAAAACTAATATTATTGATATTTCTCTTAATTATTAATTGTGTGTGCATACCATCATAAAATTAAGATGTTATTTTTACTACAACGTACGTATTGTGTCGGAAAAAGTGGAGTTTGGGGGTCGGCCCAGTCTCTATTTCAATTAATCCCATATGTTCTGTTATTTCGCTTACGCGTTTCTCGTTTTACGCGGACCTCCACGGGTTCAATTGACAGCGTAAATGCAGACTATACTGTACATGTACACATCTGTCCAGGCCAGGGGAAATAGGGATTGGTAACTCTGTACAATCTTCCCTATAAAGTGGAGCCACTAACACAATGCCCATAATCTGCAATAGCAAGAATGCTCTCGCTTCTATTATTTTCAAATTTTATTTTATTTGAAACCTAAAAGCTGATCTCTAAGATACAGAACTTACAGGACAGGTATACAATTCCTTCAAATTAAATCTTATTATACAATAAATGGAACTACTGTACACTAATGCACCGTTAATGAAATATCAACTTGCTAACATGTGAAATATGTAGTGTTCAAATGGTAGCCACGAAAGGCATGTGCCGAGGTGATGAGAATCAAAACTACAGTAGTGATAACTTTTATAGAAAAATATGTTTTTCTTCTTATTCCGTATTATTGATGGTGTATCTATTTAATAATGCAACACATTGAACATATTATCAATGTCACACTTTATAAATAATTAGCAAGTACAGTACAGTTCTGTATAAGCATGTCAGTATCTTTCAATCTACCAATACATACAGTATGTATATGGGATGGAACAGATGTGATCTAACTCACAATTTCTTTTATCCAATTATCATCACCAATCAGGTGGTGAGGTGGTGATAACTGATGTCCAGTTTGAGCTTACATTATTATTCATACATATATCCTCTGCCTTCCAAACATCGTTCTTATTCATAAAAGCTTCAAGACATGTAAAAAATATTTAACATACTGTATTCATATTCTGCCACAACTAGTTGATCTATGCCACATAATGCCAGGCTCACTTTGCTAACACTCTGGGTACATATGGCCAATAAGCCATGTTTCAATTACTTGTCTTGTCAGAAGTTTTGCTCTTAAGTATAAATTCTAAAAACACTTTGACCTATAGTGGGTGCCAAAATGATTCCTTATAATTCAAGCAAAAAAAATAAAATCTCTACAGTAACGTATAGTCTTTGTAACTTACAAAAGTTTTTTAATAAGCTCACACAACTAATTCCTTTATACGCTGCTAATTAAAAAAAATTATAACCTGCAATCAAACAAAATGATTAGTAGAGCAACAACAGTTTCCTATACTGTACTGTACATACCAGGCCATTTTTCTGCAAGATAATGCTTATTCCATTGTTCAGCCATGTTCTGGTAATGCACATCATAACTGAGACCACGGTAGAACTCAGAACCAACAAAATCTATGTTGAATGTGTCCCAGAAAGGACCAAATGGATTGCCCTCTTTAGGATTGCAACCGTCAGAGTTGTGACGAGGCACATAACAGAAAGCTGTAAAGACAAGGCATTGATAAACACATATTTCTAATAACAAATACACACAGACAAAGCATGGACAAGCATTTTACCAATACTAATAAAGATAATGAAAATACCGACAGAATCTGGTTCTTGTTTCACAATTGCAGACTTTCAGAGACAAGTAATGGATATGTACTTTTATGATAACTTGTTTTACTATGCATATACAGTACAGTACTGTACTGTATACTGAATTCTGGGATTTGTTGGTGAGTTCTTGAGTTTTAATAGCCCTAACTCAAATGACTCACTAACCATTAAGGGCAACCACATCACTGAATGCCTCATTAAATTCTTCATGTAAATAGGCAAAGACTGTAAGCATTTCTACTGTAGCTTCATTACTTGGAAGAATTATGTTTCTTGATGCTGGCATATTGTACTCCATGGAACAGTAGACACCGTCATGAGGCATACAATGTGCCTCATGACAAAATATCTCTCTTATTTCAAAATTCTGTTTACTAAATGCTGCATCATCAAATTACATACTGTATACCGGTAACTGTTAAAAAAATCTCTTAAAACTTACAAATTAAAATTGCACTAATCTAAAACAATCCTATCATAGTACTATATATTATGTGACAGTATTAAAGCAGTGATGATTACAAAACTAAAACTAATACAAAACACAAACCAATTCTCTTCTCTGGCGGCCAGATTGTTTGGGCAAGCTGATCCATGAACTGCTGCATAGTCATGACACGATGATACTTAGCAAGTGGTTCCACTTTGAAATATGTGTCAAATGGGATCTGCACCTGTCAAGGGTAAGTTGGTGATAAAATCTACATTCAAGAGAGGATGACAATATATTACAGTATGGGACTGTACAGTTTACCTAAACCAGTAAAGTACTGTATTGCTTTAACCAACTAGATCTAACTGGTTTATCAGAGTTAATTATCATACTTATATATTGTAAGTTAATTTACGTAAACTTATATACAGTACAATATGTTGTTTATGTATGGGTGTTTAGTATGTGCCAAATACAGTAGCTTTTAAATATTGTACAGTACATCTATAGTAACTTCTCAAAATATAAAGTAAAAAATATGCACAATACTTCTTCCTCAGGCACTACATACTGATCTTGTTACTCCTGGTTTGTACTCAACCCATGGTGGAAGCACAAGGGTGCGATTCAGACCTTTGGCAAATCCCAGTGCACCCAAAAAGTGGTCAGCTTGATTTCCAAATCGTCCTGTAACAAAATCCAGATTTAGCTTACCAGTAAATCACATTTGAAACTTAGAAGGGTCTGTCTTCTTTAACTCACTTAATTTTATATCAGTTACATTAGATCTACTTAAATACATTAAATTGAATCCTTTTGTTTATCAAGTATAAGGGAGCAATTTACAAGAGCAGTACCTGTATAGATTGTCCTTCACCCTCATGCTGGATACCCTAAAAAGGGAAAAGGATAAAGAATATGTTCCATTCCACTTTCCTCTTTACTTCCAAGTAAGAGATGATTTCACAAGGATCAACCAAAATTAGCACCTGACAGCTTAGTTGGCTATCCTTGGTCTAAGTGCCTAATGGTACTGTTTACCATCAGAATTTTATATTTTACATAGTTTCATATTGCTTAACAATATTTTATATACAATATTTACATTATTTGTTATGTATGGGATATCACTGTTGTTTTGAATGGACAGGGGTATGTTTTAACCTAAACAAGAATTAACACTGTTCTGACTTACCAACAGATTCACTTACAAACATACCTCATTCGTAACTCAGAGACTGCCTGTACATTATTTATATTAATGCTGAACTGTATAACTGTATAGTTTACATACATGCCTATCCAACTGTAAACAGTGCAGCCTCTTACCTCATCCTAAAGAAACAAGATTTACACACTTTATGAACATTAAAAAGAGGATGATAGTGACATTACACTTAATTTACTTTCTTTTCTATTGAGCTTGTATTCTATATAAAATCCTCAGTATAGCCTTATATTTTGGGCAGTGGATATTTTGCTATGAACTCACTTCTGGTGCTAGCGGTCTGCTCCACCAGTAACCAGACTGTTACTATTGCCAAGATAAAAACCTTTGATTTGGTACTAAAAGACGGAAACTCACCAAGACAAGAAATCTCATTGTGACTTCTGAGTTTCTACATTTAAGGGCACTTGGTTGGACAAAGAACAGTACCTACAAGTAGCATCACTCCAGCATCTGATAATTAAGGTAAGGTTTTGTTATGTTAGGTTTGGTCAGTAGTTCTTTTCATGTTTTTACACCACACTTTCCCACTATTTCAAAGCCCTGGCCACTTTGTGCAATCGAATTAGTTGGTAGTGGGGTGGGGTGCGACTAATTACCCAAATGTAGCCAAATATAGCCGGAATGAAGTCAAATAATGGTCCTAGATGAATAAATCGGACTGCCAATCACTTCTCGACTAGTATTTGGTGTCACAGAGTCACAAAAAATTGGAAAACTTAATTTAATCTTTGTTAATAGATCGAGTGCATGTACCTAACCTAACCTAACCTCGACTAGTATTTGGTGTCACGAAGTCAAAAAAAATTGGTAAACTTAATTTAATCTGAGTTAATAGATCAAGTGCATGTACCTAACCTAACCTAATCTAATCTAATCTAACCTAACCTAACACAACACAACTCAGATTAAATTAAGTTTACCAATTTTTTGTGACTTTATGACACCAAATAATAATCGAGAAGTGATTCACAGCCCAAATTACGCTTGTACGACCATCATTTGACTTCATTGCGGCTACATTTGGGTACATTTGGGTACATTTGGGTAATTCCTCGCTCCCTCGGTACATGCGCGCGATGTATTAACTCAGATTAAAGTAAGTTTTCCAATTTTTTGTGACTTTCTGACACCAAATACTAGTCGAGAAATGATTGGCAGTCCGATTTATTCATCTAGGACCATTATTTGACTTCATTCCGGCTATATTTTGCTACATTTGGGTACATTTGGGTAATTAGTCGGACCGAGTGGGGTGTGGGTCACTTATCCATAATGGCTCATTTTCTACAGAAATGAAGGTCAGATTCGATTAAAACACCAAGAAATACAGTATAAAAACCTATTCTTGTTAGTAGTTTCCGAAATACACCTTTCTCAAATCTTTACCAAAATTTTGCTTTTCATGCCTAAATTAAACAGCAATAGCCTCCCTTTTCAATACTTCAACTTTACCAGTTAAGATTAATTTTAGGTATACCATGGAACTTCATACAGTATTTCTATTTATATAGGGAAAAAGAGCAAAAAAGAAAAATACTTTAATCTATTATGTTTGTCGCAAATTTATATTTTCTGAGCATTTTAACTGATATGACCCCCACCCCCCACCTAATTACCAACAATATTAGTTGTTCAAAGAGGCCATGACTTTGAAGTCACATTGTCACAGCAGGTATCTCGTCAATAATTACCAGAGCTTACGTTATTAATTTTTTCGGTGTTAAGTATGTGATGGTGCTGTTTTTGGTGTTCAGATGAGGAGACTCATAAACTCTTAAGCAATTCTCAACCTTTTTACAAGCTAGGTAAGGTTAGTTAGATAAGGTTTTTAGAGGTTTGTTTAGTGTTTAAATATTTTACCCCACATTTTCCCTCTACACTTTGAACCATAACTGTTGGTAATTGGGGGGTCTTATCTCCATAACGGCTTATTTACGACGAAAATGAATATCAGATTCGTTTGAAACACCACAAAATTCACTTTTTTTGGTTGTTTCCGTGGTGTACTCTACCTATGTATAACCTTATTCATATATTAACATTAAATACAAAGCTTTAAAAATCAAATCGTAACCCCAGCCAATGAGGAACTGTAACTCTTGGCCCTAGACACCGGTGTGAGTGTGTTCCCTAACACTTCTTGTTTCCACAATTATCAAATATAACAAAGCACTTACCCATACATGGACAAAATAGAACGTAGCCATTATCATCAACGTCTACGTTAAAGCCACTGGCACACACTACTAACACAATAACAAGCTGAAACATCGCCCACTTTACAGTGTTTGTGCACTCCACACACGCCATTGTTTTGAAAAGTAGTAGTGACACCTGGCGGGGCCGCGGCGGTGTTACCCCTGCTGCCTCCCTCACCCACCACACTACCCCTGCTGCCTCCCTCACCCACCACACTACCCCTGCTGCCTCCCTCGCCCACCACACTCCTGTTCCTACAAGTCAGACGCACAAACACTGACGCGCTACTCGCGCTGACTCCCTCACCCACGATACCCGTCCTGTAAGTCTTTCCCTACTTTTTACTTTATACTCTTCGCCACTGATCGGCTCGTTAGCCGCGAGTACGGTCGGTCACTTTTATGTTACGCACTGTTGAGCATGCATTGGCTCCTAAGCCCTGAGTGTATCTGAACCTGCTCCAGTGTTGGTCAAGTCTGGTCTTGAAAGAGCTCACATACAGTGCCGTCATAACACTCTCTGACGGATTGTACCAAGAGTTTTCTGGGCTTGTGGCTTCCTTAACCTTTTGCAGTGACCCCTTGTGGGGCGGGCGTCCGCCAGCTCCAGGTATGTGCAGTACACTCGACTTAGTGCCCTCTGAGATGTTTATACACTTCAATTAGATCACCCCCCCTTGCCCGTCTGTAGTATAAGCTAGGCAGTTACAGGCCCTTGAAAACAGTGACACACTCATCTTCATACAAACACATCTTGACACACATGCTTGGAGGGAGGATGGAGGAAGTAGCAGATCTCCCTAGTAATCCAGATAGCATCCAAAGCACAAGCCTCCTTCACGGGAGATTTTAATCGAAAGACATTCACGGTGAATCAAACCATACAAACCGAGGGAGAAAAATTCCTTGATCTCATTCAATTCCTGGCACATCACGAGTTGGAACCCAAGAGGGGAGACAACATTTTAGATTCGTCTTTTTGACTGGCGAGACTATGGTGGACGAGGACCACGTCAGGGAGAAACTACAGTATAACTCCAATCAGCGACCACTGCATATTAAGATGGAATACAGTCTCTGATAGTCGAGAGAAAGCAGTTGAGGAGGAATACTGTGTGATATTTCGATTATCAAAGTAGACTGAAGGAGGACTGATAACTTTTCAGACAAGGCACAATAAGGCAGATCTCAATGAAACATTCAAATTCTTAAATGGGATGGAATATGTGAACCAAGGACATTTCTTTGTGAAGTAACTTGCCATCAACACAAGAAGGCATAACTACAAGCTCTCCAATTTAACATGCAGAACGAATATAAGGAAATATTTTTTTCACACAGAAGGTGGTAGACTTATGGAATGGTCTACCAGTTCAAGATGTGGAATCAAAAGCAGTGCTTGAAAATAGCCCTTGACTTAATTATCAAGGATATTGGAGGGATCCTACACAGGCCACTAGCCTCCTCACCTCGTCCTGGTCACCTCTAGTGGGTGATCATTAGGTAAATAATACCAAGAAAAAGATGCTTAAATGAATCCAGTCATTTGGTTATTATAATTATTATTATTTGACTGACGGAGGGAGAAAGCTGGTGGCTTGTCCTCCATTTTACCTAAGGAGTTGGTCCTGTGGTCAAATTTGATTACAAGAACGAACGGATTACCTAAAGATTCGCCCCCTCCAGCTAATTTCACTTGAAAATTAACAACCCTAACCCTCCCTAAGGTGTTAGGTTAATTCTTTGATGTTGGGATCAAAGTCTAGATGTGAAGACGCATTATATTTATTACACAGTAACGAAATATTTTCATAGGCCTCCTTACCTGACATGTTGAAGATACAACCAGAGCGTTCATATTCCTTAAATTAATTAATAGATAATATAAACGTGAATGATAACGGAAAGGACTGTGAATGCGCCGTAACGCTGGTGCATTTTTTCATAGTTCAACAAACCTTGAGCAGAAGGCTAACTTGGCCTTGTGTGATACTTGAACCCCGTTAATAATAATGTACAACTTGATTATAACGGCTTAGTGATTAAGAAGTCCTTCACTTATCTTTCTATAACCTTTTATTTAATATTCAGATGATGTTAGCATCAACGACTAGCTACCTTACACCTTTGTGTGTGTGTGTGGTGTGTGTCTGTGTGTTTCTTTAATAAGGAAGTAGCCTTACATAAGCTTGGTTGCTATAAAAACAACAGATGGCACAAAAAAATCAGGGTTGAGTGTGGGAACCCATGTCTTCCGCATCGGCACCAGTAAAGAAACCGCAGTGGAGGACACTCACGCTTGCTCTGTGTGTGTGTGTGAAAGATCAAGATTCTCGACAGGTAGAGCATGGTGAACAACGAAATACCTGGATATCCCAAGGAAAAAAAAGAAGTTTGGACGTTCTCATTTGACAGGAAGGACTGAAGACAGATGGTTGTGAGAACAATTATGAAGAAAGGTTTTATCCAACAATGCATAGATATACAAACCGATATTGGGTCGAATATATACAGGTAGTCACCGAATATAGATGTCCACGACGTAAACATCTTAGGTACAGTTAACGGGTTCTGATAATTATCCGCTTCAAGAAACTGGATCTGTTCCATTGTTGAACAAATGATCAGGCCACTTAAAGGATTTCTTTAGAGCCGGTTAGTGGTCACTCAGATTTCTTTGACTATTCTAATCATCATGCTGTTGTACATTGTCAAAATAGTAATTCTGTATCGCTAGTAACTGCCCGACCCACTAGTAGTGAAGAATTTGCGCTCCTATCTCTTGAATGAAGTAAGATGACACTTTTGAATTTCTCCAGTGTTGCTGTAGATCATAGGAACATTTATTACTCTTTACAATACACGAAGACGTTTATGAATAATTATTGCAAATTAATGATATCTCCTCAAGGGGACCCCCTCCCCCCCCCCCTCCTTGAAAAATCCTGGACCCACCAATGAAGGTCACAAGTGAAGGTTAAAGACGGGAAGGATAACCCACCTATAGATTGAGGTATTCGTTTTTTATGGACACTTTCCAGTTTATAGTAAACATTAAAAATAACTAAAATTGCTGTACGTTTATTTGTAAAAGATGGAGAACCAAATATTAGCCGCTTACTCCTGCAAAGTTATAAAATTAAGGGTGATCAACACTGTCATATCAGTTGTAATACAGAAAGCTAGGGGAAAAAAGTATCTTTTTGGGATGGTGACGAAAACCATTCTTTAAGATTACTAATACGGTCAATCATTTGTTTCACCGCAACTATTCCTGTGAAAACCGTATATTTTTTCCCAAAATTAATCGTTAACATCCATCAATGATGTGTGTGTTCAGGCTGGTGTAAAATGCTTTTATATTAATCATATACAGTATTCAAGCAATGATTATTTTTATGGATATTTTAACAAATCTCTGGTGGAACTGGAATTATCACATTACTCTGAGGCAAGGAAGGGAGACTCCCACTATACTGAGGCTGCAGTGTGGCGACTATTTGACATTCAGTGCATTCACATGATAATTTAGGCCACTGGTTGTACGTGTGATGGCAGTTGATGTTTAGTTCCACCCGTCCACTGACTATAGTTTGATTTAATCTTTCCGATTACAAATTTTAAGCGTAACCTTGGCTTAAAACATGCAAAATCACACTGGAAAATCCCGTTGTGTTCATTAACATCATGATGCTAGGTTAGTATAATATATTATGTAAAGTGGGATTTTGCTTTACAGGGTTTTGAATATAGAATAACTGTACAAGTATTGTATTGACACAAATTGTTCTCCTGCAAGCAATATTTATTACCCCTAATTAGTGTTACAGCTCACGTGCCAAATAAATTTTCATTGTTGTAGCAGTTTACTTAGCAAAGCTTATATCATTTGCATACAGTTTTATACTTATAATGCGTCTTTACGGTGCATTTTTTCAGTTTATCGTAAAAAAAATATATATATAAATTTGCAGATGCAAAGTGTTAATACTCTGCGTTATATCCACTTATATATTTTGCGGGCCCCTCTTGATTCGAAAAATATCATATGCATATAATAGAACTTGGATTTGACGCAATGGACACAAGTTCACAAATAAATAATAATCATTATCCTGAACATTTCATTGAAAACCAGTTCTTTTGTCTTCACGTCAACTAAATGTGCCTGCCGTAAGATACTTCATGATATGTACAACAAGACTTGACCCATTCAGTGAATATATCATGTTTAATATATAGCTAATGTTCATTTATTCTTCCAAATTGTACAATATGAAATTACCAATTTCTGTTTCGGAAACAATTATTATCAGTGCAGTACGGCATTTTTCCAGGCAGCGAAACACAGCTGTTTTTGGTCGCCAGCAAAAACATAACACAACAAACAGGGTGAACCATGAGCACAGGTAGGGATGATTCTAGACACACTGGGAGTAATGTAGGTAAAGCATCAGGTTGTTCACTGTATTTATCTTCTGGTAGGTGATAATTTTGATGTTTGATGGTAAATTGTGTTTGTTTTATGTTGTATTGGTGTAAGGACAGTACTGTACTTTTTTGTGTGGACATTTTGCCTGTTATTCTTGACTGGTGGTGGTAAAACAAGTGGAAGTGGAAGTACGCACCTGAAGTTTATCCAAAAAAAAAATCTTGTGTATACCACTGACTGAACTGAACACATTTAGCAATTGAAGATCATTTGACAATATTTGGTTTTCACAGGCACAGTTCACACATTCTTTTAGTATAATCCAACATGGCACTTTTGACCATATTAATAAGCCTACATAACTTATTTGTGTATTTTATCTTTCTATCACTTTCATTCCATTACCTAAACTGTCCTATATTTGTAGTGGATACAGGTACAGCACCCGTATGTAAAAAAACACACTGAATATAGGTATGGCAGCCGTATTCATGTTCTTTGTTAATGGTTTTGTTGGGTTAGGTTAGGTTAGTCAAAAAGGCCATCTTTGTAACTATGGTATTATTGTATAGTCTGCCCACCACGTATGGGCCTTAGGCTGCCATTTCATTAAACATCAACGTTTCGCATACCGTACCTTTTTCCCGTGCCCATATTTTTGTCATTAATATCCAAACAGCCATGTGCCTTACATTCCATACCGAGTATATTGCACCTTAACCAGCAACTTGAGGGAAATTTCCTATAGAGAAATACTATAACGTGGAGGATTAGCAATTTGTGTAATGTAATTTTTAAAACTTTTCCATCCTGAACAATATTCTACACCCACATGCCACAAGACCATAATGTATCTCCACTATTAACATCCAGGAAGCCGTGTCACTTTTGTTTCATGTTATGCATTTCCATATTTTGTCAAGTTGCTATTTTGAGAACCACAAAAAATAAGTCTTCTAACTTTTTGTGTTATCCTCTCCTAATATTATGTACTGTATTTTAAAGTGTTTACATGTTATTGTTTTTCATACCCATATTGTATTTTACATATGATGAAATCCCAACCACAGAAATGCTTCCAAGCAACCATTACATACACATGAAAAATCTGTAATTTATACCCTTTACTGTACAGCATACAGTACGTATATCAACTAGATGCTTTTCAGTCAACTCTCAATTCAATTTCAATCGTTTATTCCTTGATAGAGGAAGCGGGATCCTAGTGCTGTCACTAGGTACCCCTGCACAGTCAACTCTCCCAAGAATTTTCAATCTAACATACTTTTACATATATATTGTTCCGATACAGTGGAGTGTTTTATGGTAGGATTAATATGTGATCTTGATGACTGAACCTAGTAGACATTAAATTGATATGAAACTTTATAATCAAAGTAGATATTAAGAATTCACTTTGTATACCGGTAGTTGAAAATACAAAAGGTTCAGTGATAATTGGTAGATTTTTCACAATTATACTAAGAACTTTTGTATTCATTATATGTGGTAATATTTCATAGACCTCCTGCCTCTGGAGTCCAACCTTTGCTTCCAAGCCACTCTTAACTCTTCATTGTTCTAAGCCATGATCGTGATGCAACATTGTAAATTGCTCAAGCCATAATCATGACTATTTTCAAATCCTCATAAGTGGAACTATAAGTTTATGTTGGCATTTATATCAGTTACCAAGAGGATTATATAAATTTAATTACTTTCATTTTATCGTGTTTTCAGCCAAATAAATACACTCGGGATGGTATATGCCAGACATATGTGCAATAAACGGGTTAAAGGGAGACTTTTGATTGGAGGATAGGTTCTGGGAAAGTGGAGCATCCAGTTAGGGGATAGCCATACCGGTATGTTATAAACCCCGTCTTAGATAGGAATTACATTTCTGGCTCGATCTTCATATTTTGATGTTATATCCAGCAGATAATTATAGTGACAACATGGCAACCAGCACACAGTTTTCACGAGAGGCACTCTGTGATGGCCTTGACCAGCTGTCAATCCAACAGCTTGAACTTATGGATCATCTCATTAAGGTACAGTACAATACATAAAGTGATGTTTAAGATATTTTGTTTGTTTTACTTTATAAAAACTAAGTGGATGAAATCTAATATTCTAGGTTGGACAAATTGGTGGCAAACCATTTTAATAGTCATATTGAAAGATTGTCAAAAAGAGTTTAATTTGGAGTTAGGTCGTAGGGAAGACCAAGGAGATGGAAGGATGCACTAGAAGTGAAGTGAATGGGACTCCAGGAAACACCATAGCAAAGAGCATTTAATGTATTACGGAATTTCAGCGAATTGGGTGTTTGCCCTTGGTTTTTGCCTCCCAGTATTTTAACTGGAAAAGGTTAAAATGAGTGGAAGATTTTACTTTCAAACTTCTTCCCATTATAATACAGGATTTCCAGAATCAAGAGCAAATACAGTATTCATATCGACTCTTAATTCTGTAACAACTATTGTATTATCGTTCCATAACAAGGCCCCAGATATCCATCTAGTAAGGCTATTGCTACACATCTATCTCCCAAAATCATGGGACACCTTGACATTGCTACTTCCTGGATATCCATCCCCCTTTAATTCCATTGTACAGGTATTTTGCATCTTCCTTCCATCTTCTTGGTCTTTTGTCCCACCAGCCATGAAGCTTTATGTCTTTCAATACTATACAGGTATGTCCATATTGGTAAGTAGTAGGCAGCTACCAAACAGGGAGGTACTACCGCCTGGGAAGATATTGTGTTATCTATGGTAGACCCTGCTGCCACATGGCATCACAAAAATTGTGACCGAGTCTCAGGTTGCTGATCTGACTTTTTGCCTCATTTACACAATTGCTGGGTTTCAATTACTATTGACAACACAACATACATATATTGTTTCTCACGTTTGATCTTTTTTCATTTCTTTACGGTTCTTTATTATTACTACATCAACCCCCAGGCCCCGATGTGGGTTAATCCCTGCGTAAAAAAAAATATCTGATCAAACCCTTCTCTGCCTGACAGATCTTGTACTTTAACATCGTTGGTTCTTATTCTCTACACCCTGTTTACCCATATTCTCCAGCATTCCTTGCTAACCCAAGCAAGCATATAAAATAGCCATATAACGTTGATGAATTTATCCAGGTCATTAAATATTCCATCTATGGATACAGTAAGCCCTCATCATGAGAGTTGATGTATACAATACTTCCCATTAGTGTGACAAATGAGTGATAGACTTTATTACTTTACACGGGCCCTCCACAGGAAGAGGGTTTTTGTGCCAAAAACTTATGTAGTGGTCGTATGGTGAAGAGCTGACCAATATCTTCCATCATTAATTACCACATCAAAACCATGTACCCGTACACTACAGCAATTCAAGCATTAATGGGGGGGATATTAATTGAGAGGTAAGATGGTCCCTTGCATCATAATTTGAACACCAAATACTGTATCAGTTTCTTTTGTATGCTTCAGTATTTTGCATTACTTACACCAGATGGTTCACATTTGTATCATGTACCAAACTACAGAACAGCTAGACAGGAAAAATTTTGAGCAGTAGCATTGCAATGCCATATTACAGTATTGGATGTATATTTATCAGTCCTGGTAAATGGTGTACAGTACAGTATTTCACCCCCCTTGTTTTCAATTATTACATGTACCTGTAATATCTCCATTAGCTGGAATCCCTCAAAGTTGGAAAAATCTGTGACAATTTTCTCATTACCCAGAAAATTCCGGGGCTGGAGTGTTTTTCCAGGTTCCAGAGTTGAAAATCAGGGTCATTTTCAGGTACCCTGAAAATTTTGGGGATTTTTTTCCCACCGAGAAATGAAATAATGCATCATTCTGGAACTTCCAAGATTATTTTCCATTACTTGGATAGAGGGACTATTTTCCAGCTTCGAGTCATCTTGTTACCCGGTAATCTCTCATTCCCGGGAGTGCTCTGCACCAATTGTTCTGGCTAATGGAGATATCACTACTTTACTGTATGTTGCAAACAGTATGATCTATAAATTACAGCATGGTCACTGAACCTGATCCTTATTTTGCCATTACATAATTGTTCATAGTTGCATTATTTCCTGGTAATGTGGCTCCCTTTAGTAACACATTAAGTGTGGCTTGAATAATTGGATTACTTAAATCAGGCCAGTGGTCTGAACCTGAAAGTCGTGTTAAAATTACAGAACATTTTGTAGCCAGGATGTATAGGACCATGCTGGTCTTTTAAGCCGTTTGTATAAAGTACCCGACTTGATTTCAATAGCATGAGAAATAGAATTGCCTCTTATTTCACATATACATATTGTATAGTGAGAATAGCTATTATCCATGTACTTTATGTACCCTTATTTTATTAAAGTACTATAGTACAATAACTTCTGCTGTCATACACGATGACTTATAATTTCACTTTTCTACCCTCTCCACCTGGCCATCACCCTCTACTGTAATGTTGGATGGATGGAAGTTAGCAAACATTGCATAAGCTACTTGTTCTTTTGCCGTCATTAATTATTCCTACTGTAATTAATACATTTTGTGGTACTGTTTAATAGCTAGGCCAGAAATATCCAAGTACAACACAGATGTTACAAAAGTTAAGAATGAAGGTACAGTCTCGTTCATGATTCTTCAAACACTGCTGGAGACAGCTGGCAACTCAAGGCGGTTTGTTTACTATAGTACATCTTAAAAATTATGAATAAATGAAATGATTGGTTACTTAGTTCCCCATTGCTTAATTTACTTGTTGGGCTTTGTTTCTTATTATATTATACTAAACAAATGGCCTGGAGTTGCCAGCTGTCTCCAGCAATGTTTGAAGAATCTTGAAGGAGACTCTGCATTATGGTATATATAATGTACTACAATGTATTTCAGTTTTTATTGCAGTTTAATTTCTTAGATCCATAATTTTAAATTCTTTTACAATTTTAGAGTAACATGAGCCTGGAAGAAAGTATGAGGAGTGGATTTTTCCTTTTGAGCAAGACACGCTACACTCTTGGCACCAATGCTGTCTGCTTGCTGCAGTTACCAACAGATGAGAGTGAAGTGGAGTCTCTAGCTACTGTTGTTAGCTCCCCAGTAGTCTTGGAGAAGTATGATGGGGATATCATGTATCATAGTGTTGATACCAAGTTCGTGGATCCTGTAATTACAGTAGACAGTGAGAAAGGAATAATTATTTCAGATGACTCCGATAAAAAAATTCAAGGACTAAGGAAGAGAGTGACAAGTGCTGAAGAACAAAAAACTGAAGAGATAAGTGATGAAAATTTTGAAGAACAAAGTGTTAAAAAGGGAAAACCTAAAATCATAAACCGTGACCCCATTCGTTGGTTTTCAGCCCTACCGCCCCAGACTTTAAAGCATGCTCAACAAGATTTCAAGGCTGCCATTAATTTAATTGCACAATGTGCCACAACACAATTAAAGCTCAGAGCAGTCAATAAGGAGTACAAACGTTTATATGAAATAAAACAGAAGTTGGACAAAACTGACAAAGAAGAATAATTAAAATTCCAAATGGTGATATAACATTAGCACAATTATTTTTGCATGTGATTTTGTATTGCAATATTACATTCCTCAGTCCTGTAGTAAATTTCACCATGATAAAAACTAACGAAGCTTAAGAGAAAAATCACAAATTTGGTATGGTATTGTTGACCTCTTTACTATGGGCAATGCCTCTTTAATATTTTATTTAGCTATGCCAGATTATGTTATTCAGCTCAGAGGCAACCCATACACAAGGGTTAAATTACTCAGGACTATTCAGCATTAAAGGTTTTGACCTTGTAACTTTATTGGTTTAGTAAGATATTATATTGTAGCTTCGGTTAAATATGCTTACATTATAGTGCAAATATGTAACATTCATACATCTGAAGTGATTACTCTTGCATCATATTTGCTTTTTTGTTTAGTAAAATGAACAAATTTATGAAATAAGGAGAGCTTGTAGAACAGGTTAACTTAAATGCTTTTGACAATACTGTACAAGTGCCTTTGTGTCAGTTATTACAGAACAGATGCTAGATAAATAAGAAATGCAAGACCAATTTCACTTTCATAAATTCAATGTATTGAGGTTTGCTATTATTAACAAATTTCCAGCCTGTACACCTTTTTAATTTTCTTCCATCTCCTTCAAAATGATGTTAAAGATAAAAGTGGTCTCTTATTAACAAGGGTAAAGTTTTAAGAGGAATGATACAGTTTAGGACTACAAACTGGAATTCGTATGCTTTGGAGTAAGAAAATCGTTGCAAAAGGCATTAATTACAAATGAGAAAATTTCCAAGTCATTCCGAGTTCCCAGTGATGGGAAATCAGAAACAAGTTCCAGGAAAGTTGGTCTATGTCAGGGTTGTGCAAATCTCACAAAACAACTCTTCCCCATCTTGCTCATTTGAGGAGGGGGGAGAGGAGAGAGGGTGAGGAAAAAAAATAGCATTTGAAAAGTAACCATACAGTAACATATCCCTCCTCACACAGAAATTTTGATTTTGTCTGACCTGATAAATTATTATTATTTTGGCACATTTTGTATGAAAGATTGTGTGAATTTAATAAAAAAATATCGACCCAAAATTACAAATTAAAAAATAACTGCAATGATAACTCATCAGGAATATTCAATTTCCCCTTATGTTATTAATGTGACATATGATTAATAGCTTTTGAATATCCTAACCCTATTATATAATGGGCAGCACCTGTACACATTCAAAATTTGGAGTAAAATTAATATACATGTAATCTGCAATTACATCTAACTTTAAGCAAGTAAATGTATGTATATAAAACAAATTTGTATTACTTTCAATTAATTCAACATACAGCGAGCATTACAAGTCTTGAGTTCAACTACAACTGTTCCGATATTAATATGTAATTTTGTTTACATCTAATACACGTACCACTCGACATACAATATTCATTTACAGTATACGAATTTCCTAAATTACCGCCTCTTTCTTGTTAGGATAGCTTCCCCACTTAAACAAAATTGGATCCTGGCAAACCCCCCCCCCCGGTTAAATCAGTATTTGCATGTGGTCAATGTAATCTTGGTTGGACTTACCATTAATCTTCTTTTCCTTAGTTTACAAGATCTAGGCATCATTTTTTCTCAAAGCCTTTTCTTTAAGATTTGATTAGATCAAAACTTATGTCACCTGTAACATCTGAAAGTAAAAATGTAAAGGCATTAAAAAATAAATTTATCCACTACTTAGAACCAATATTTTCATCATCCTGTCCATTTACTTAGTCTTGTCAAACAAAAGATGGTGCATTTAACAAGCAGTACTTAATGGTGAATGCAGTCTTCAATTGTAATCTCAAGTGACCTAAAATTCAACTCCATAAAAAATCTGAACAATTTGAATTCCTTAAAAGCTTACCTTAAGGGAAAGATCTAAATTTTGAGACTTATTGCAGTCACAGAGGGTCGACAGTATCGGTGCAAGTGTCATAACTGGGCTGTGCTGGTGTTGTAAAACTCGAAAAACTACAGACAACTAGTTGCCTTGTGGAAGACATACAGTAACAGGACTAATATATTCTCGTGTAACCATATTTTTCATCTGGAAAAAGAAGAAACCTTTAATTTTACGAATGCTAAATATTCAGTTTAGCAATTCAAGGCTGCCACTCAGAATACATCAACTCTATCATTCAGGTGACGAAAAATTATGACATGGTAAAATTTCTTATTTATTACAAACCTTAGCTACAAGTTACAAAAATATGACCACGAAATAATATACCATGTATTTCATCAACAATACTGAGACAAACACTAACCTTCCATTTATCACTTTTAACATAGAAGTACTGTAGATGAAATATATAAGATCCCTCCTCTCGTCTATTCTTGCTGCCTTCAGACTGACTTCATTCCAATCCTTGAAAAAATGATGACTTCAATATGGAATATTGTAATACAAATTTCATGCCTTACAAATATATAATCAGTATTAATAGCTGTCTACATGCCAGTTTCAGTTTTCAAGTGTAAAACATCATGAATGCGATTTATATTCACTAACAGTTATGAAAGTGAATGCGGGTCCCATAGGAATGGCTGCCCATTAGAGACAAATGTGAATATAGCACACACTATACTAAAAGTCTTTGATACACAAGGAGGCAGTATGGCCAGTACTGCATTCACTTTGGTACACATTTACAACTGTGAGTACCCGAGAATCAAACCACAGACCCCGACAAGGTGGCAAGTGCTGTATCCACTCGACCTTCCCACTTATTTACATTTATAAGACAAACTAAAATACTAACCTTATGTTATTTCAAATGCCTGGAGCCAACTGATGAACATCATCTTGTTCTAGGCCTCAGGATTGAATTTCCATCCACTGCCAAATAAATGCTTATTAAATATGGAACTTTTTTTTACAGTTTTTGTACTAAATTGAATTATAATCAGTAACTAAATGTCTACATACATAATCAGTTTTCAAGTGTCAAACATCATGAGTGCTGTGCACATCTACTCCAGTATTAAACATGCAATTATGATTCACTATTCACATGTGGTCAATGTAATCTTAGTTGGACTTGCCATTAATCTTCTATTCCTCTGACATTAAAACATGGGCTGAATTCTTAGAGTTACAAGATACAGGCAGCATCTTTAGCAAAAGCCGTTTCTTTTAAGATTTGATTGGATCAAAGTTTGTCACCTGTTACATCTGGAAAGAAAAATGTATATTTAGTATGATATTTATCCATTATTTATGGCTAATATTAGTGTCATCCTGTCTATTTCTTCTTGGCAAACAAAAGATGAAGCATTTATCGAGTAATAATTAAAGATGACTGCTGTCTTCAGTTCAAATCTCAAGCGAAAAATTCAAATGTAATCAAAACCTGAAAAATTTGTATTCCTTGAAGGCTTACCTTAATGAGGAAACGTCTAAATTTTGACACCTTAGTGCTGCAGTCACACAAGAGTTGACAGTATCTGTGTGAGTATCATGACCGGGCTGTGCCTTGTCCTGGTGTTGTAAAACTTATGAACTAGACAACTAGTTGCCTTGTGGAAGATATACAGAAACAGGACTAATATATTCTCATGTAGCCATATTTTTCATCTGGAATAAGAAGAAATCTTTAATTTTACAAATGCTAAATATTCAGTTTAGCAATTCAAGGCTGCCACTCAGAAAACTACATCAACACTATCATTCAGGTGACGAAAAATTATGACATCATGGTAAAACTTCTTTTTTATTACAATCCTTAGCTACAAGTTACAAAAATATGACCAAAATCATATACCATGTATTTCATTTAACAATACTGAGACAAACACTAACCTTCCATTAATCAATTATCATATAGAAGTACTGTAGATGAAACATAGAAGACCCTTCCCCCTCCTCTTCTGTATTCTTGCAGCCTTCAGACTGACTACATTCCAATCCTTGAAAAAATGACGACTTCAATATGAAAAATTTTAATACAAATTTCATGCCTTACAAATATATAATCAGTATTAATAGCTGTCTACATGCCAGTTTCAGTTTTCAAGTGTCAAACATCATGAATGCTGTTTATATTCACTAACAGTTATGAAAGTGAAGGTGGGTCACATAGGGAGTGTATACCAAGCCTTTGGTACACAAGGAGGTAGTATGGCCAGTACTGCACTCAACTGCATTCACAACTGGGAGTACCCAAGAATCAAACCACCGACCCCGACAAGGTGGCAAGTGATGTATCCCACTCGACCTTCCCACTTATTTACAGTTACAGGACAAACTAAAAAAACTAACCTTATTTTATTTCAATGTCTGGAGCCAACTCATGAACATCGCCTTGTTCTAGGCCACAGAATTGAAATTCCAATCTCTGCCAAATAAATGCTTATTAAATATGGAGCTTTTTTACAGTTTTTGTGCTAAACTGAATTATAATCAGTAACTAAATGTCTACATACATCATCAGTATTCTAGTGTCAAACATCATGAGTGCTGTGCTCATCTACTCCAGTATTATCAAACATGCAATTATGATTCACTATTCACATGTGGTCAATGTAATCTTAGTTGGACTTGCCATTAATCTTCTATTCCTCTGACATTAAAACATGGGCTGAATTCTTGAGTTACAAGATACAGGCAGCATCTTTAGCCAAAGCCGTTTCTTTTAAGATTTGATTAGATGAAACTTATGTCACCTGTAACATCTGGAATGAAAAATGAATAGTAGTATGAAATTTATCCATTACTTATGACCAGTATTATTGTCATCCTGTCAATTTACTTGTTCTTGTTAAACAAGATAAGGCATTTAAAGTAAAAATTTAAGATGAATACTGTCATCAATTGCAATCTCAAGTAACAAATTCATGTGTAAAAAACCTGAAAAATTTGAATTCCTTAATGGCTTACCTTAAGGGGGAAAGGTTTAAATTTTAACACCTTAATGCTGCAGTCACACAAGAGTTGACAGTATGTGTTCGAGTACCATGACCGGGCTGTGCCTTGTCCTGGTGTTGTAAAACTAAATACTACAGACAACTAGTTGCCTTGTGGAAGATATACAGTAACAGGACTAATATGTTCTCATGTAACCATATTTTTCATCTGGAAAAAGAAGAAAGCTTTAATCTTACAAATGCTAAATATTCAGTTTAGCAATTCAAGGCTGCCACTCAGAATACATCAACTCTATCATTCAGGTGACGAAAAATTAGAGACATGGTAAAATTTCTTATTTATTACAATCCTTAGCTACAAGTTACAAAAATATGACCACGAAATAATATACCATGTAATTCATCAACAATACTGAGACAAACACTAACCTTCCATTTATCTCTTTTAACATAGAAGTACTGTAGATGAAATATATAAGATCCCTCCTCTCGTCTATTCTTGCTGCCTTCAGACTGACTTCATTCCAATCCTTGAAAAAATGATGACTTCAATATGGAATATTGTAATACAAATTTCATGCCTAACAAATATATAATCAGTATTAATAGCTGTCTACATGCCAGTTTCAGTTTTCAAGTGTAAAACATCATGAATGCGATTTATATTCACTAACAGTTATGAAAGTGAATGCGGGTCCCATAGGAATGGCTGCCCATTAGAGACAAATGTGAATATAGCACACACTATACTAAAAGTCTTTGATACACAAGGAGGCAGTATGGCCAGTACTGCATTCACTTTGGTACACATTTACAACTGTGAGTACCCGAGAATCAAACCACAGACCCCGACAAGGTGGCAAGTGCTGTATCCACTCGACCTTCCCACTTATTTACATTTATAAGAAACTAAAATACTAACCTTATGTTATTTCAAATGCCTGGAGCCAACTCATGAACATCTCCTTGTTCTAGGCCTCAGGATTGAAATTCCATCCACTGCCAAATAAATGCTTATTAAATATGGAACTTTTTTTTACAGTTTTTGTACTAAATTGAATTATAATCAGTAACTAAATGTCTACATACATCATCAGTTTTCAAGTGTCAAACATCATGAGTGCTGTGCACATCTACTCCAGTATTAACAAACATGCAATTATGATTCACTATTCACATGTGGTCAATGTAATCTTAGTTGGACTTGCCATTAATCTTCTATTCCTCTGACATTAAAACATGGGCTGAATTCTTGAGTTACAAGATACAGGCAGCATCTTTAGCCAAAGCCGTTTCTTTTAAGATTTGATTAGATGAAACTTATGTCACCTGTAACATCTGGAATGAAAAATGAATAGTAGTATGAAATTTATCCATTACTTATGACCAGTATTATTGTCATCCTGTCAATTTACTTGTTCTTGTTAAACAAGATAAGGCATTTAAAGTAAAAATTTAAGATGAATGCTGTCATCAATTGCAATCTCAAGTAACAAATTCATGTGTAAAAAACCTGAAAAATTTGTATTCCTTAATGGCTTACCTTAAGGGGGAAAGGTTTAAATTTTAACACCTTAATGCTGCAGTCACACAAGAGTTGACAGTATGTGTTCGAGTACCATGACCGGGCTGTGCCTTGTCCTGGTGTTGTAAAACTAAATACTACAGACAACTAGTTGCCTTGTGGAAGATATACAGTAACAGGACTAATATGTTCTCATGTAACCATATTTTTCATCTGGAAAAAGAAGAAAGCTTTAATCTTACAAATGCTAAATATTCAGTTTAGCAATTCAAGGCTGCCACTCAGAAAACTACATCAACACTATCATTCAGGTGACGAAAAATTATGACATCATAGTAAATTTTCTTATTTATTACAATCCTTAGTAACAAAAATATGACCACAATCATATACTGTACCATGTATTTCATCAACAATACCAAAACAAACACTAACCTTCCATTAATCAATTGTAATATAGAAGTACTGTAGATGAAACATAGAAGACCCCCCCCCTCCTCTTCTGTATTCTTGCAGCCTTCAGACTGACTTCATTCCAATCCTTGAAAAAGTGATGACTTCAATATGGAATATTATAATACAAATTTCATGCCTAACAAATATATCATCAGTATTAATAGCTGTCTACATGACAGTTTCAGTTTTCAAGTGTAAAACATCATGAATGCGCTTTATATTCACTAACAGTTATGAAAGTGAATGCGGGTCCCATAGGGAGTGTATACCAAGCCTTCGGTACACAAGGAGGTAGCATGGCCATGCACTCAAACACAATCACTTACATAAGTTATAAACTTAGGTAGTTACTCATTTACAGCTGGGTGAACTGGGAGCCCCAAAAAATCAAACCACCAACCCCCAGAGCAGAAGGCAAGTGCTGTATCTACTCGACCTCCCTACTTTTGGACAGTTATAACGCACACTTAAAAACCAACCCTTTGTTTACAACCTAAGTCTTACCTTCATATATCTCAAACCAGCTGCAAGATGTCAACCTTTTATTTTTGCTCTGTGAACAAAGGAAAGTATCACATTTAGTTAATAATAAAAACACACATAATAGAAACTATTAAATGAACATTATCAAGGAGAGAGTTCTGCATCACAATCATCGGAAGTTTTTCTTTCATCATAAAGTTAATTTATAAATCCATCAACATTATTACATACAGTATAACCTAAACCAAATATTTCATGTAAATAAATTAAAACCTATAAATATTACATGGTTGATCTTCTGGTTAGTGATGCACTATGACACTCCTACAACAGCAGAGACTGGCCTGGAACACCATATTGAATGACAAGGTAAACATCTTCATGACCAATGTTCCTTCCAACATTTTTCATCAGACACCAAAGGCTGGACCTGATGAAGAAAGAATATTTTTTAAGAACCTAAATGTATTCTATTTCTTCATGAATAAGATGAACAAGTTAAAAAGAAGGCCTCAAACCAATTAAGACTTCCACCTTTATCAAGTTTTGATATAGGTGACAATAATTTAGGAAAATCAAGAGAAGCTTAACAGATTTATAAGACCAACCCTAATATCCCAATATTATTCATTCTGTAGTCATTCCCAAAGGCTAGTGGTAAGCTTCTTGGACCAAACACTGATGGGCCACTAGTAAGTCATCCTATATTACCAGAACTCTCTGGGATAAGAACAATGCAAAGAAAAATCACCCTAAAATCACAATGTCTATTGCACCTCAATACAGAATTAAAGTAAGTGGATTCGTAGTAAGAAATATTAATAATATTCTGACCATAAAACCCAACATTAATACTTGTACTGTACCTGTGATGAACGATGATGCCGCCTCCTCAATATAGTGTAGTTGGTCCCGAGTATTTTATATTGTGCAACCAACAGCTGTTCGAGACAAGGAGTCATTAATAAAATATAAATCTCATGCCAATAAATTTAACATTCCTTACCATCAGTAAATATATATCATCCACACGGAGTCCTCACTACTTGTGAGCTTGAGAGTTGGATCTAAATAATCATATTACAACAAATTAGAATATTCTCTTATATCAAATACTCTTTAAATCTATATCTTATTTTCTTGTCACTATGTGTTGTAATTCTTTGATTACAACCATCTACCTTACAGATCATTATTGTGGTTGTTTATAACCAAAGTCTTACCTTAATATATCTGATATTAACCAGCTGCTAGATGCCACGTTCTTTTATCTTTACTCTGTGAACAAAGGATAGGATCACGTTTAGTTATTAATAAAAACACACAAAATAGAAACTATTAAATGAATATTATCAGGGAGAGAGTTCTGCATCACAATCATCGGAAGTTTTTCTTTCATCATAAAGTTAAATTACAAATCCATCAACATTATAACATACAGTATAACCTAAACCAAATATTTCATGTAAATAAATAAAATCCTATAAATATTACATAGTTGATCTTCTGGTTAGTGATGCACTATGACACTCCTACAACAGCAGAGACTGGCCTGGAACACCATATTGAATGACAAGGTAAACATCTTCATGACCAATGTTCCTTCCAACATTTTTCATCAGACACCAAAGGCTGGACCTGATGAAGAAAGAATATTTTTTAAGAACCTAAACGTATTCTATTTCTTCATGAATAAGATGAACAAGTTAAAAAGAAGGCCTTAAACCAATTAAAACTTCCACCTTTATCAAGTTTTGATATAGGTGACAATAATTTAGGAAAATCAAGAGAAGCTTAACAGATTTATAAGACCAACCCTAATATCCCAATATTATTCATTCTGTAGTCATTCCCAAAGGCTAGTGGTAAGCTTCTTGGACCAAACACTGATGGGCCACTAGTAAGTCATCCTATATTACCAGAACTCTCTGGGACAAGAACAATGCAAAGAAAAATCACCCTAAAATCACAATGTCTATTGCACCTCAATACAGAATTAAAGTAAGTGGATTCGTAGTAAGAAATATTAATAATATTCTGACCATAACACCCAACATTAATACTTGTACTGTACCTGTGATGAACGATGATGCCGCCTCCTCAATATAGTGTAGTTGGTCCCGAGTATTTTATATTGTGCAACCAACAGCTGTTCGAGACAAGGAGTCATTAATAAAATATAAATCTCATGCCAATAAATTTAACATTCCTTACCATCAGTAAATATATATCATCCACACGGAGTCCTCACTACTTGGTGAGCTTGAGAGTTGGATCTAAATAATCATATTACAACAAATTAGAATATTCTCTTATATCAAATACTCTTTAAATCTATATCTTATTTTCTTGTCACTATGTGTTGTAATTCTTTGATTACAACCATCTACCTTACAGATCATTATTGTGGTTGTTTATAACCAAAGTCTTACCTTAATATATCTGATATTAACCAGCTGCTAGATGCCACGTTCTTTTATCTTTACTCTGTGAACAAAGGATAGGATCACGTTTAGTTATTAATAAAAACACACAAAATAGAAACTATTAAATGAATATTATCAGGGAGAGAGTTCTGCATCACAATCATCGGAAGTTTTTCTTTCATCATAAAGTTAAATTACAAATCCATCAACATTATAACATACAGTATAACCTAAACCAAATATTTCATGTAAATAAATAAAAACCTATAAATATTACATGGTTGATCTTCTGGTTAGTGATGCACTATGACACTCCTACAACAGCAGAGACTGGCCTGGAACACCATATTGAATGACAAGGTAAACATCTTCATGACCAATGTTCCTTCCAACATTTTTTATCAAACACCAAAGGCTGGACCTGATGGAAGAAAACCAAATTATTTTTTAAGAACCTTAATATAATCCAATTCAGCATGAATAAGATGAACATCATACTTAAAAAAGCATCAAAGCAATGAACACACAGAGATATGTAAGATTATGTGCATGTAAAAAGAGTCTACCCAAAATTACAAGCCAAAAAAAATTTAAATAAATAAAAAACAGCATTGCTCACAACTCGGCATGGAAATGAGTGGGCTTTAGGGATATGGCTACAGTGACGAGTGTAATTTGGCAACAATGCAGGTAGTAGGCAGCTACCAAACAGGGAGGTACTACTGTACTGCCTGGGAAGATATTGGAAGCATAATGTGTTGTCTAATGGTAGACCCTGCTGCTATGTAGCATCACAAAAATTGTGACCAAGTCCCAGGTAGCTGATCTGTCTTTCTGCCTCATTTACACACAATTGCAGGTCCTAATTGTTTATCTTACTGGACAACACAACATGAATACAGTATAGCATTTCTCATTTTTATTTTTATTTTTGTATTTCTTTAAAGTTCTTTATTATTATTGTTATTATTATTTTATTTTACTTTTTATTATAAATTTTATTTACTATGAATAATTATTACATTTTCGCCCCCATCAAAGAATCTAGAGGTACTATAGGCAAGCCCAGGATAACGGAGCTTACTGTTAAGGTTAGTCTACCACGCGCCTGTACCGAGTAGCTATCACTCACCGTAGAAGATCCAGTGAAATGTATGCCTATTAACCCCTCAAAAATATTGTGTATAAAGTTTGACCCCCCTACTTTTTGCTTAAAAATTTTATTAAAAAAAATTGAATACAATAAATAAGTCACCAATTTCTTCACTTTCTTATTTTGAAGTGAATCCCTCATCACACTTTTTATTATTCAATATGGGCCCCCTTACATAAAAAGGTTGGAGACCTAAATTCAGTTTTCCTTCAAATATTTCAAATTATTTATGAACACAACTTTTGCAGGATATTCTTCATTTATATCAGGGGTTCCTAAGTTTTAGGCATTACCCCAAAACAGACCTAACCATATTTATTACTCCCACACTTTAAATTTTATTTTTCATAATAGATTGTCAAGGTTACTGTCTTCACTGCCATGCTGTGTGTGACTGCAAATAAAATTTACTATTTAATGACCAAAGGTTCACCTGAAAAATGACGAATTACCCCAAGTAATTTGGGAACCCGATTTAGATCATTTGACCGTCAACAAACACCATTACTGATAACCAACTTGCTACATGTTAACCAAGATTTTATTTAGTCTGAGTGGAGAAAAGAATCACTTATAAATACCCTATGAATATGAAAAGGTTTATATAAAATAAATACCACCGAGTTATCTACGATCTCAACGGTCTTCAATATGTAGTTAATTAGATTTTTAAAGGCCAAGAGTGAAGTACAAATTACAAACCAATTATTCAAACAAAAAATAATTATCCTTACTTGATCTGTGGAATTGTGATACAGTCCCAATACAGAGTGTGATACAATGTCCCCTTTTGTTGAATGGCAGCTTTCCTTTGATTACTCGTTACCAATGGCTGAGTCAGACAAGAATTCAAATTGCATCACTATACATTATACCCAAATATAATAATGGCAACTTCTATAAATGTCAGTAATTTATTTCCACAGGAAAAACCCCACGTCCTGTGGGATTGAGAGTTGGATTGAAAATCATCATTGTTATTTTTAACCAATTAAATAAGTGTACTGTATATCTACAAATTTGTTTTTAATCATTCATGAAACCTTTTAAATAGCTTTAGCTGGATGTAGCAGACATTCACAACCAAATCTTTGATGCCAACTGCAGTCGCATCTCTTAGTTCTCATAACTTTGGGATAGAATATTTAAGATATACAATAATATAATCTTACCTGATCAGTGAAATGGATACACAGCGCCATACTCCCATCACATGCAGCTGGTGTGGAACACAATACAGTACAGTACTTGGAGAGATACCATTTTCATTCGTCAACTGCTCCAATGGGTTTGTATCAACACCAAAGGCTGGATCAGACACAGTTACATTACATCACCATATATATTATATACTATATTTATATATTCAATAACAACCATATCGTATTTCAGTAATTAATTTCCACAGGAAAACCTCACTACATGTGAGGTTCAGAGTTGGATTGAAAAGCATCATTATAATGAAAGGTAAACGAGCCTTATAAACTATCTACCTCACAAGAAACTAATCCTTACCTTAATAATGTATCTCTGATGAAGTAACTACTACATGTCATGTGTTTTCATTTTAGTCTGTGGACAGTAAAGTCATTTATCAATAAGCATTGAATACAAAAGCAACACTATTGCATATTAGCAGGATATAATCAGGGAGAGAGTTCTGCATCATAATGATCGGAATTATTTATTTCATCAGTATATTGGGTTCTTAAATCCTACATTTAAACAATGTATAACTTGGATCAAACTTTGATTTAAATTAACAGACTTTCCTTACATGATCTGTCGTATACAGTATTCAGCAAAAGCTGGCCTGGACCACTGATTTAGCTGAAGATGTGCCTGTTATGATGCTTCCATTGTTTTGTAGAGTATTATTGACACCAACAACTGGGACTGAAAGATGAAGTACATTACTAATTACCCAGTATATATTATACAAATTGATTTCTTTCAAAAGGAATATGACAAAAACTCTGAATATTAGGAGACTTAAAACGGTGTATCGGCATGGATGCACCAGCTTAACAGATACAAGCAACTGCACTCACCTGCTATATTAAAAATTCTTGCACTCTGGGATGAAAATTATCCCAAGAATTCATCACAACACTCTTCAAGATAATCCAGATGGTTCAACAATATAGTGGTAACATCCAGTAAATCTCTAATGAGGAAACTAAATACTCTACACAAAATATAATCATTCATTGTTATGTTTATATCAAGGAATCATTTACACAATGTGTTCAATCTAAACCCATTTAGTTCAATATATTATCATAGTATGTTGAAGTTTTTCATGCATTTCATCTTACATATACACTATATTAAAACTGGATTGACTAGGTATAATTGTACGCTATGTACTGGGAATTCAGTTATCACTATAATCCCCTCATAGTACATAAGCTTCATTTTTCTTAACATTTGTTTTGGAGTCCAGAATAAATTTTAAGTTAATTTCTGAGCTACACCTTTGACAAGTTCCAAAATCAGTACAAGTTGAAAAAAGAAGTTATTTCATGACCAATATTATAATATCTCCATAAAACAGTTGCCAAGTTTCAGTTTATTTCATGGAAAGCTATGCCATTATATATATCACATATGCAACTTTTGAATTTTAATTACCAAGCTTAGTCCAACTACCTGTGATTAGTACAGGGGCAGTGAAAACTTGTAAATTTTTATCTGGAAGTGACATCATTCAAAGGCAAATCAATAAACACAAAACTTAACTTGGACGGCTTTAACCCTCAAGTATCAAACCTGGTCTTGCTGTTAGTCCTAAAAGCCAAATTATCAACTGTGGAATTAAACTACCAGGTAACAAATAGTACAAAGTGAAATTTAGCTTATACAGTAATTGTCAATGTTCACAAGTATGAACATGCCCTTATCAAACAACTGTTTATAGTTCCCACCCCATGTCTGTTAGGTCCTGTATTCTTACTGGTTCAAATTGGTAATAAAAATCACTAAAACTGACTAGGATATAACTATAGATGCATAACAAAAAAAAATATTTTATTTATAACATTATGTACATTATGTAGTCCTCCAAATTTATACAAAATTATAACGTAACCTTAACTTAGTACACATAGACGTCTATGTTGGAATATTGATATACAGTTGAATGTTTGGAAACATTCATTAGGAGTACTCCCACTACTAATGCTACCAAGACATTTATACATTCACACATGGCCATTGTTACATAAGTTCTATGAGAACACTGGTCTATCAGATGCATGTTGGCATGACTGATGTCAGTGATGGGCTTGGTGGTGTTCATCAACAACCTAACTCATCATAACAAATGTTGAATGAACCCCTGGCAGGCCCCTCACTGAGAATCCATACATCAGTCACAATGCATCACTCCTATACACTTTAAATTAACTAAAGCACCTCACTGCTGACCCTCTCCTTCTTTCTTGCCCTTATCATCACTTGATGGACCACTTTCCCTTTCCGATGCCATCTGAAATTAAAGGTTACATGTAATGCCCCTGTACTCTTAACTTGCTGTCCGTCAAATACAGCACTTCTCTAATCAATAGAGGCAGTTACCGAGTTACGAACGGGTTACGTTTCTGGACCCTGTTCGTAGGTTGGAACTATTAATTCCATAGTTTAGGTTAAATATCCCAACCAGTAAAATAATATATTTTAATACATAAATCAATCTTACATAATTGTTACTTACAAATTAACAAAATAATCACTTACCTTCTTGTATGCCATTTCAAACAACTTTAGAGATGCCTGTTGAAGTTCACTGACTTGCTTCTTAATCTCCTCTGGGTCTGCAGTATCCTTGTTAGCAAGAAGATCTTTCACTTTGCTTATCTGGTCTTTCAACTTGGAGCTCTAGAATACAAAAATATTTGTAATGTTTAACAGCTATTTCTTGATTATAAATGTGTATAATTCCAATCACTAAAACAGACTCCATCCAGGATTTTTTTATTCAGTTCACCAAAACTATTAATATTAAATGTTAAGATCAATTTATATCACACCTTCAAACTGCCCTATTCTATACAACTAACAAATTTTAATCTGTTAATCCAGACTGTCACCTTATTTCATTGCACTATTCTATCAAACTAAGGAGTTTAGCCCTTGGAAGCTCTTGACTTTTTCTATTTTTAGAAAGAATCGTGATTTACAGAACAATACAACTTTTCACAAACACCAAGTGATGCCCTCAGAAATAAAACAATCAGGAGTGAATGTCACTTCCATTAGCTCTGACCCACTGAAAACTAATACATATAGTTAAACCATAACAATGTCCTTGGCTACCTGTATACCTGTAGCCATGCCTAGAAATTACCCAGGACTTAATTTTTTTACTTACGGTAGATTTTATTTCAAAATTAATGATTTTTTATATTCAAATAGGATACAAATCAAAGACATTTTACCTTTATAAGACTGTGGAACATATTATAACCTTATAATATGGTAAGCATGCCCTGAGTACTTCCAGACACTAACCTCTTCTGCTGGTAGCTGATCTTTGAATTCTTCCATCTTGCTCTCTGTATCATGAATAATGCTCTCTCCTTGGTTTACTGCCTCAACCACTTCTTTCCGCTTTCTATCTTCTTCTGCATATTGTTCAGCTTTCTTGACCATATTCTCAATTTCTTCTTTGCTTAGGCCTCCTGATGACTGGATGACAACTGTCAAAAGAATTTTTTTAATGGTGGATAAAGGACAATTGCAACTATTCCCTTCCCCATAAAAATTAAACAAAATCAATAACTGTTCAATCAGCAAGTGCTTTACCTCAATGAAGCCATTAACCTTTCTAAACACAAGGCTCACACTGGTTGAAGGCAACTCCTCTGAATCTCAGTTACGTTTATATATGATGCTCATCCAACCAACAAAAAGTGAGCAATGTTAGACACCAATGAACAGTAAACAATGGAAGTTAGAATCATGATGAGACATTGCACAGAAGGAATATTGCAATTTGAAAGAATTAATTAAGCTTCTAAAACTACCAATTGGCATAATCTCTTACTTTGTTTCATTAACAAGAGACCAATGCCAAATGGTAGTCTTGGCATTGACACTAACTTTCATGTCATATCTTTCCAAAAATTTTAAGTTTTTCCCTAAATTTTGACACAGACTGTACAATTAAACAAAAAATACACATCTTTTAGCTGCTAACACACACATTCTTCAGGTAGCTTCATCAAAATTCAACATTGCCTTTCTCAATTAAATCTAATTTATGACTTTCTTAGGTTACCACTAGCTCTGAAAGACCATGTAGCTTGAAGAGCTGCCACCAGGTAAACAAGGCTAATCCATGTAAGCATGGAAAATAGTAGTAAAAGTTGGTGGTGATTTAATACATCTGCACAACATTCACCTACATACCACCATTAATACCATCTACACTATTCTGTGCCTAAACTGTTATTTATCCTATTGTCCACCAAGTCCAATCAGGTTCTCATGAATATCTATGTCAGCACACACCATTCAGATCGATGTACTGTAGTATATACAAATGTGTGTGTGTGCATAAGTAATGAACGCAGATTTAATCTCTGCACCTACCCTTAAATCTATTCTTCCATTTTGCCTAAAATTTACCTCTTGAAGGTGTACACATTAAGTGTAAATACATGGGAATCATCACTAATAAAATCAGGACAATTACTTACTCTGTTGCTCTTTGCCAGTGCCTTTGTCTCGTGCAGAAACATGAACAATACCATTAGCGTCAATATCAAAGGTGACCTCAATTTGCGGAACTCCACGTGGTGCAGGGGGAATGCCTACCAAACTGAACTGACCCAGAACTTTATTGTCTGCTGCCATTTCTCTTTCTCCCTGGTGCACCTTAATCTCCACTTGAGTTTGACCATCAGCTGCAGTTGAAAAAACCTGTAATATAATGTTTCCTTTATATCAATTTCCTCAAATGTGAAACCTGTGGAACACAATCCAAAACTACTTTCTAATAATGACATTGAAATTTTTTTATTGCGAGACTAAAAAGTAGGATAAAAAACTAGTGTACAGTTAAATATGCCAATTTATTCTTAATATGGACAAAAGGCTACTCTATTATCAGGTATGTGAGGAAAATTAGTATTACAGGTATATCAAATTTACATAAAATCTATATTTTCCTTTACAATGAAACTTTTTATCATTCTTAACCCACCTGTGATTTACGAGTAGGAATGGTTGTGTTCCTGTTAATAAGTTTAGTCATTACACCTCCCAAGGTCTCAATACCCAAAGAGAGAGGGGTTACATCTAGCAGCAGCACATCTGTCACATCACCTGCCAATACACCACCTTGGATAGCAGCACCCATGGCCACAGCTTCATCTGGATTGACAGATTTACTTGGGGTGCGACCAAAGATATCCTGTACTACAGATACAACCTGTGGAGTAAAACTGGTTTTAGAACAATTTTGGAAAAACATTTTACCAATACCCATAAAACCCTTTAAGATGTTTTCAAATGTTACATATATAATTTTTCTCCAAGGATATTATTTTTATAATCCCTACATATTGTTAAAAAAATAAAATAAATTACCTTGGGCATGCGAGACATTCCACCAACAAGGATGACTTCACCTATGTCTGACTTGGAGCATTCTGCATCTTTCAGAGCTTTCAGACACGGATCAACTGTGCGTTTAACCAGTTTATCGACGATACCCTCAAACTTAGCCCGGGAAAGCTGTTGGGAAAAAAAAAAAAAAAAAAAGTCGCATTTAGTCATTAACAAACTGACACCCATACAGAGTATAGATGAAGAATTTCAGTCCACATGCATTTTTTTGCAATATGCTTTACCTAGCATCTACACTACATTTCCATAAGTTGAAGTGTCTTTAAAGAAACATATTGGTCATTACATATTAACCACAACAAATATGGCAGTGTTTATATGTATTCTTGTAATTTCTATTCCAATTTGATATGGGATTACATGCACAGTATGAAATTAAGGGGAGCTTAAAGATTGATGAAAACAGGAAGAATATCAAATGTGAAAATATTCCTGAGCAGCAGTGTTGCTTTTGGCTGTATGAGGATGGAATTTTATTGAGATATTCATATTTATGCATCTATGGTCCCCTCCCCCACATGGGGTAGACCTGATTAGTCCTGATGGCACATGGACTACTGGAAACAAGCATCTCATGGCTTTGTTGACTGTCCTTAGTCAAACTGACCAAATATAAATTATTTACATTACGTATTACTATTTTGTCTAATATAATAAATGAGTATATAAGTGAACTCCTCCCAGGTCTGTGACAATGATATGAACCAAATTCCATTGGAAACAAAATTCATCCATCTACGTTACTACACAAATGTGTTAGACAATGGATGAAGAGAGTAATCTGACACATCCCCCAACTCAACTGTTGGCAAGGGATTAAATTGAACTAGGAAATTATCTACAATGAGAGAATAATTTTTTTTAATATTTCATTACCTTATACATCATATGTTTGGGTCCTGAGGCATCCATGGTCAAATATGGAAGGTTAATATCGGTTTGTGTTGAAGATGACAATTCAATCTTTGCCTTTTCTGCTGCCTCCTTAAGTCTCTGCATGGCCATGCTATCCTTAGTTACATCTACACCTTGCTGAAACAATATAATTTCACATTAGCAACTAATTTCGCAGTACCAATTTTTTTTTAATTATGTTCACACACACACACACACACACACCAACAAGAGGGACCCCAAAACAATGTTTCTTTTTCCTTAGATTATACATGTACAGTATCCGGCCAACCAAACTAACTGCCAGGCACAGACAGCCCTTACACAAGATAAAATAAAAATTGTTAGAACCCGCAAAATGAGCTAGTCCACAAAGAACTACTCTGTGAAGAATCCTTGTTTGCTCTATGATGTCATAAAACCACTAAGTGTATCAAGCACAGAGTGGGGAAAGACACATCAACATTCTTGGAAAACAAATGAAATACTAAAATAAGCAAAAACATCGAGAAATAATTGAAACATACAGAAAATGGAAAATTAGATATTTAGGTAGGAGGGCCAGGGGAACACAGACTGGGATTGATGAATTAAATTAAAAAATGGGTCCCCAGAGATATAAAACATTGGAGGTTTGGTAAAAACAGCCCAAGAACGTTTAGAATGGAGGACTGGTCGCCAACCCTCGAGTATAAGGACAGTACTCTGATTTATATATGTTCAGTCATGGGGTGCAATAATCATTCTTTATCTACACTTTATGTTCAAAACGTTATTCACAATGGTGAATATGCTTCAAAGGAATATATTCAAATGATTTTAAAAATATCTTAACTTACTTCCTTCTTAAATTCAGATGACAAGAAGTTCACCAAGTGGTTATCAAAGTCCTCTCCACCGAGGAATGTATCTCCATTAGTCGACTTAACTTCAAAAACACCCTTTTGGATTTCAAGTACTGAGATATCAAAGGTGCCACCTCCTAAATCATACACAGCTATACTGTAATGAAAGAAAAAAATTAAGACAAACGTATTCAGAAGCAAGCTTATAATATAGCAATTCGTTTATTGACCATACATTAATATTTTACTAGTACGTATTTTACACATACAAACACTCCTCAGGATATGGATGGGTTCCATTCCTGGAGGTGACCCTTCCATAGGTACCATAATCAGTTAACACATAGTACACAATGTATACAGTATACTATTACTATACAGGTATGGAACCATTTATTTGACATGGTTGGCGCCTGGGGATTTTTCCTGAAATTTGGAGCACCAGGACTTAAATATACCAATTATACAGTAAACCCTCTGTAACTGGCTGTGAATAATGTTCAAATCACTAGATTCACCATTAAAAGTAGCTTTAACTGTACACTAACACAAACTTAAAATTATAGGCATATAAACATCAATAACAAAAGCATGTAAGTAGCATCAATGAAAACAGCAAAAATGACAAGTTAGTGTTCAAACTGCATCCGTCACCTAGCAATGGTGCTGCACCACAGACCCGCTGACCTGTACACACTCGCCACACAGTGGAAGCCCATAGATATGTAAAATTTAATACTTTATGATAATTACTCATTTTTGCACTTTCTGTATGTAGGATTGTGTGTCTGAGTAAAAAATTAGATTTATCCGCAATTTTGAGTTAAAAACCCTATAGTTTATGATTAACTTTTTTTTCCCATTTTCTATAAGCAAGATTCAGTGTATATAACTACACAAAAATATGAATATTACAGTAAATACAGATTTTCATCTAGCTAATAAAACCTAGCAGCATACTTACACCTTATCTTCAGTTTTGTCCATTCCATATGCCAGAGCTGCTGCCGTTGGTTCATTAATTACACGCAAAACATTTAAACCAGATATCTGTCCAGCATCCTTTGTTGCCTGGAACAAAGACATCACTGTATGAATGAAGCTGATAAAGACTTTCAAGACAAAGTTGCAATGGAGTTATTGATGGACAACATTGAAACCCACAAAATATTGTTTGGAGAACTTAAAATACATAGATCCAGGCCAGAAAATAAATCATTCTTCCTTTACCATTTCAGTAACCCATTTATTGACTTTGAATCATATCCTCCAGATCCCCAAATTTAATTAGGAAATGTTTCAGTGCTACAAGCAGAAACAAATCACTAAGAGACACTCACCTGTCGCTGGGAGTCATTAAAATATGCTGGCACAGTGACGACTGCATTTTTAACTGGAGTATTAAGATATGCTTCTCCCGTTTCTTTCATCTTAACAAGGATGAAAGCACCTATTTGCGATGGAGAGTACATCTTGCCATCATCACCCTCTACCCAAGCATCCCCATTGCTAGCACGAACTATCTTGAAAGGTACAGTGTCCCTAAGAAATAATATGGGAATAATTAAATTTGAATGAACAACTTTGGTTCATTAATGAACAATTTTTCAATTTTTAGAATATTAAGAATGTTACAACAAAAGAAAACTAAAGATTTTAATTTTTAAACAATTTCAAAAGTTGACTTAACTAACCTGTCCTTAACAATTTCTTTATCATCGTATCTTCTACCAATAAGACGTTTGGTAGCATAGAATGTGTTTCCGGCATTGGTAACTGCTTGACGTTTGGCTTGGATACCAACAAGACGTTCTCCATCTGTAAGGATGCTACTTCAGTGTGATGTAGACATGTTAAAAAAAATTGCAGCAAGGGAAATTTATATACCTACTGTACTGTACTTGGACAGAAGTTTCTTGTATTGGGAATCAATCTTGAACAAAAGATTCCTGCATACAATTCCATTGAATACTGAACTCAAAAAAGAGAAATTATATCCACATGAAAGCAATATTTGTGGAAGGGTAAAGTGGGAAAATAAGGTGATAAGGGGAATTAAGAGGGAAAAGGTGGTACAGTACAGTATACCTGTATATTGATAAAGCAACCTGGATGCTGTTCAGCCATGGAAGAAAAACTAGAGGGATTCTTGATGTACATTATTGTACCACAAGGAGCCACCCTGGAAACTATCCTCATGTCAATTACCAATTTAGATAAAAATATGTCAAGCCATAAATCAAGTTACAAAACAATACAAATACATACATGTTCCATTACCTGAATGCAACATGTGAATGAAGGAATAGAATACATGAATAAAGAACTTACCTTTTGAAAATGCCACAACTGAAGGGGTGGTGCGATCGCCTTCTGCATTGGTTATCACTTTAGCCATTTTGCCCTCCATAACTGCCACACAGGAATTTGTTGTACCCAAGTCTATACCAATCACTGCACCTTTTACTCCATCTGATCTGTAAATGAAGTTCTATTTATCTCTCCTGCCCACATAGAGTCCCAACAACCATACTACAGAATCACCACTCATACTAGGAGTCCTAATTAAACTAAAAATTCATAACCTTAAATACCAAGCACTGTTGGAACCAGGATCACCCTCCCTACCTCTTGAAACATGAAGCACTTTTATGTTGAACTTCCAAAGGTAAACTTATTGAAAAAAAATCTTAACCATGATCAGTTTTAATGCCACTTCCCAAGCTTATGCAGGTTAGACGTGATTACCTGATGCACGGTGTCCTGGTTGCCATCAGGCAAATTTAAAGTTTTATGGCTGGATGTCCTTTCCTTTGCAGAGTGGGAACATGCTGGTGCAGGATTGATTCATTTTGCCATAATACATATATGGTAAAGTATCCTGAATTATCAATTTTATCAAAGAAGGTTCACTGCACAAGTTCCATCTTCAGTCTATCATACCAGGTGCTTCTTGAACTAATCAGACAACCTCTTCATCTTGTCAATGTCATCCGATTACCACCCCAACATTTACTTTATATCCCATCTACTTCTTAAGTCCATTAATAAAATTTCTCATCTTACTTGTATCTTGTCTGCATATTGAAGACATCTCTCCGGGCAACAAGGCTCTGAGCCGAGGTCTGCAATAAATAAAAAATCATTAACTACAGAGATGAACTTGCTTTCAATTTTGTTAATTAATTCCAGTACTTAAATAGCCTATGTAGTTTTGAAACTTACTGCATGGTTAAAGAAGAAACTCTGTAGGCTACAAACCATTCCCCCATTACATGCTTTCCATAAGGTTACCATGTACGTTCGAGTTTTTATGACCAAATTTTTATGCAAAAAGTAGGGGGTCAAACAATATACGCATAATATTTTTGAGGGGTTACAATTCATGCATAGCCATGATTCATCTATGGTGTACGATAGCTACCCAGTATACAGTCGCTGGAGGCTAACTTTACCAGTACAGTAAGCTAATTTACCCTGGCCTGGCCTACTGCACCCCTTAGATTCTTTCTTTACATTCCTACATGAAGAGCAGAATCTCATTCAATATATAAGCTGTTTTAAATTTACAAATGCCCAATCCAAATTAAGATTTACAGAATACTTTCTTTTCATTTACATCAGTTAACATTGCTGGTGGCATTGTTGCCAAGTAAGACTCGTCACTGCTGCAACACCCCTAGTCTTCTCGCTAGATTTCCATCACCACTGATACTAAAAGGGCTCACAATTAAAGTTTAAAATTAACTTTTAAGCCATGGCCAAGCAAATGGATACAACCTACAGTACTTCATAATGATTAACTTAACATACACCTTGAAGTCATGTACTGTCAAAAAATGAAATTCCCATGTTTTTCAATGCTGCTACCAGTCCTACTCCCACCTCCTCCTGTCAAATATATTCAGGTCCTACTGCTGTTTTTCACAGCTGCCATTGTTATAGAGCCATCTAGGCCTTTTTGGTATTTTAGTGTTACTGTATATATTCTCTAAGTGTAGTCATTCACCTTTCAACACGTAATAGCTAATAAAGAGATACTAATCTTGTACAGTACAGTGTATTACCATTAAGGGTGAGTTACCAAATTGGTAATGTGCTGCATATCCAGCTCTGGACACCACTGGTTAGCAAGGCACCGAGACATTTTAACCGGTTTTTACCTTTACCGTACTGATGTATAAATCAATGAACAACTTATACTCATTACAAGAATGTCAGATCAGTCCAACAGCTGATTTCAAATAACCACCGTATCGTCATATCAATTCTCATACTCTTCCTTATCTTTTCAGGGTTTAACCAAACACCCCAGCTATCAGCTGTAGCCCCTGCTGCAGAAACTACTAGACTCTCAGTGTACATACTAAGTAAGCAAGATGATACCGACATTGATTTTGGACTTTCTTCAATCAGAATCATCCTGTGATGGAAACTCTTCACATTCTCAAACCCATCCTCTACTGTCCCTTGTTGCTTAATATGTGAAGCCCCTCGACTAAAAAGTTAGGCAGGTTTCTTTAGTTAGGTCAGGTTCTGCTGGGTTCTATATGCTCATTTCCATGTTCAGTATCATGCAAATAGAATCTCCAGAAGGTAATTATTGATGATTGACCCGCCGACGATTTAGCATAGTAAACAATTAAAAAAAACACCGCATTTTCACTGTGCATTATAGAGGACACCACCATAGTTTGTGCAAATATTTCCTCAACCCAACCCAACTTAACTTCGCCCAACCCAACCTTAACAAAACCCCACGCATTACCGCCGAGAAGACAAGTAGTGTGCACATTAGGCGCCTAAATATCTACTAAACGAAGCATTAACACAAGAAATGATTATCATATCAGTACTCACTGATGAAAATAAACAAAACAAATAACTCGTTGGCAGGTCAGTCACCAATATTAACCCTAGAGAAATTTTGGTTCAATTCCATTAGTTATTTCTGGTGTTAATCAGCTCCTCCACCTTTATCAAAATGAATTTACAGTTATTAACTTGGTTGTAGGATATGATCTATGCTTCTGGTGACAATTTTGACAACTTATGATTTCTTCAGACCACTTTATTTGCAGAATACCTATGTCACAAAATACACATGGTCAATTTGTAGTTTCTACCAACCACAGCTCTCGAATTGAGCAATGTATTTTTCCGGTGGTTTTGACAAATTTAAAACACTTTTCTTCTGTTTCCCTTGCAAATGACAAATAAACCAGGGGATCTATGGGGCAGAGCCCCCCCCCCCCCACCCCCTCCTGTTACGAGGTTAGGTTAGGTATATTTGGGTCATTTGAAAGGGAAGCATCATAAGTGTCTTAAAATTGTCTTAACCATCGGAAAAACACATTGCTCAACTCGAGAGCCATGGTTGGTCGAAACTACAAATTGATCCAAAATAATTTCCCTAAAATACTTAGGTTTTCATTAGATACCCACATTTCAAAGGAACTTTTGTGCCAGCTATGGCAACTTCATGCTATTCTCATAATATAAAAGAACTGCAATAAAAAAGCTCAAATTAATACTCATTTTTGGTGAAAATTACACTTGTTGGGAATAATTATGACATCAGATGACGTGTAAAAATCCAAAAATATAAATTTTCAACAAATATAAAACGATAATTTTTCTCCATTTCCCAAAGAAGTATCAAGTTCCGTGGTTGACCTTTTCAGAATCGTAACCCAATATACTATATAATGAAGCAGTATCTGGTAATTCATAAAATTCCCAGTCTCATTGAAAGCTAACAAAGGCACTAATTATTTTACCAGTTAAATATCGGAAGTGGCTATCTAGCCGAGAATTCCCGGCTGGGCTGCTACAGCGCATGTTTTGTCAACGTGAATTGGTTGTAACGTGATTGATGAATGGTGGAACGCTTTGTAAAACGCAAAATTTTGCATGCGAATGTTGGCTATAGCACGATTCCATTCCCAACGTTTTAAGTGTAGCGTGGCACGGGGTTATGCAATGTTTCCAGTTCAGGCTCAACATCACATGTTCAATTGATTCGTGTGTTTTGTTTGCAAAGTGTTTTTTGGGAGGTACTCTGTAAATTTCGCATGTTCCGCAGTGAGGACTAATAACGGTTTACATCATCGCTGTTTACATAGGAACATAAGAATGGAGGAAACTGCAGCGGGCCTATTGGCCCATACTGGACAGTCCCGTTTACACTCAACCCCTATTGCTCATATAAGCATCCAACCTATGTTTGAAGCTATTCGGCGTATTCGAGTTAATGATGATATTTGGTAACTTGTTCCATTCATCCACAACTCTGTTTCCAAACCAGTGTTTACCTATTTCACGCCTAAATCTAAATTTGTCTAATTTAAAACCATTGTTACGAGTTCGCTCCTGGTTGGATAGTTTGAGAACCTTTGTAATGTCCCCTTTGTTTAGCCGACTTCCACTTATACACCTATCAGGTCGCCCCTCGCTCTACGTCTCTCGAGGGAGTGCAAGTTAAGGTGCTTTAACCTGTCTCTATGCTCAAGGTTCCTAATGCCCGGGATTAGTCTTGTCATTCTCCTCTGAATTCTTTCCAATGATTCTATATCCATTCTGTAATACAGTGACCAGAACTGAACTGCGTAATCCAGGTGTGGTCTCACAAGAGCAAGATACAGTTTTAGGATGACCTCGCTAGTCTTGTAACTAACACTCCTTTGTATGAACCCAAGTACTTTATTAGCCTTGTTACTAGCAAAAACACACTGTTTACTTGGCTTAAGGTTCCCACTTATCATTACTCCTAAATCTCTCTCGCAGTCGGATTTCTCTATGGCATCGTTGTTCATCTGGTATCTGGTTTCCCTGTTTACATCTCCTATACTGAGTACTTTACATTTGTCCACGTTGAATTTCATCTGCCAATTTTCAGACCATTCGAAAAATTTGTTTAGATCTTCCTGTAGTTTTGTTGAATCCTCGTCAGATTTAATAACACGTCCTATTTTAGTGTCATCAGCAAATTTACTTATGTTGCTGTCTATGCCGATATCTATGTCGTTTATGTATATAATAAATAATAATGGTCCAAGTACTGAGCCTTGGGGAACTCCACTTGTGACGTTGCTCCAATGGGACTTAGTGCCGTTAATGCTCACTCGCTGTTTCCTGTCCTGTAACCACGCCCTAATCCATTTAAGGATGTTACCTTTGATGCCATGAGCTTGTACCTTTCTAATTAGTCTTTCGTGGGGGACTCTGTCGAAGGCTTTGCTAAAGTCGAGATATACCACATCATAATTGTGCCCCTCGTCCACCGATTCGAAAACTGATAAAAAGAATGTTAATAGATTAGTTAGACAAGAACGTCCGCTTGTGAAGCCATGCTGGGAATCATTGATCAATCGGTACTTCTCCAGGTGATTTCGAATAGTTTGAAATGATTGCTTCCAGTAATTTGCCTACTATTGATGTTAGACTGATTGGGCGATAGTTAGAGGATAGTGATCTATCCCCCTTCTTGAAAATCGGTATTACATTCACTATCCTCCAGGATTCTGGTACTACACCTGTTTTAAGGACATGTTAAACAAACAACTTAGCTAAGGGCATACTAAGCTCTTCCTTACATTCCTTTAATACTCTGGCAAATATTTCATCGGGACCAGGTGACTTATTAGGCTTTAGTTTGTCTATTTGCTTACTAACATCGTTACTAATCACTACTATCTCGCTTAATTTGTTTTCTTCACTATCTCTGAATAGAGTCGGTGCCTCGAGTATCATGTTTAAATTTTCGGTGGTGAAAACTTGAAAAATATTTATTCAAATTATTGCTCATTTCTCCGTCGTTATCAGTGAGCTCGTCGGTATCTGACCATATTGGTCCTTACCTCATTATTCCTCTTGGCTTTCCTTATCTCGGTTTTAACCCTACTCGCCAATATCTTATAATAATCCTGGAGGTAAATTTCGCCACGCTTTATCCTTCTACCTATAGCCTTCCTTTGGCCAATGATGCTCTTTAAATAATTATTTATCCATTTAGGGTGATCAGTTGAATCGAGCGGTTTCTGTCCATTGTTTTGTGAAGTGTTCCCTGTGATTTTTGCTGTTTTCTCCAATTTTGTTGTGTAAGACATGAATATGGAAAGTCAAAGTAAGAAGAATGTTTCGAAGAAGCGTTCTGGTGATCGAATTGCCGGTGGTGAACGTAAAAGGAAGACAATAGCACTTTGTGTTAAGCTAACTACAGGTACTATGTTGTTTCAATTTTGAGTAATCTGCACCTAACCCTATTTTCTCCATAAGCCGTTATTTTTATTGCGCGAGGTTTCACAAGAACGCAACTATCACGCTGTAGCAGAAATGAATATATATATATATATATATATATATATATATATATATATATATATATATATATATATATATATATATATATATATATATATATATAATGGACAACTTTCAGACAGCATGACAATGAAAGAAATCACAATAATTCACCACCACAAAGAAACTTTGCTATTCTAAAAACACTATTTAACAGCTTAAGATGTGAACGTGCAGCAGAAAACCACACAGGGGAACAATACAAAACTATGGAAGCACATAGTGGAAATTGCCAAATCCACAAATAATCTATATGTCTTGTGAATATTCACCAATTCCTGTAAAGTTCTTGCTACCGTTTGTCGAATATGAGTTGCAATAAATCAAAATCAAATTTTTAATTGACAATCACTATTCAAAATCAATCATGATTTAAGGTCAACATTGAAAATCCATCAATCTCAGATTTGTATAAATCACACGAGCATCACAATCGCCAGACTTGTTTTAGTTCTAACTGATTTGTTTACAAAAAGATGGAAAATAAATCTGTTTTTATCCATGTCTAGACTCCTCCATGTCTATATTCTGTTGACATGACTATTTTCAACATTTATTTCACCCAGTTTATAAATTAAAACTGCCAAATCTATTAGCCTGAAATCTGTAAATTGCAATAGTTATTCTAAACCAGTGTGAAATATATACTTGAAGTGCAATGTTTGTGTGACGAAATAAGACACTTGTGTAATAAGGCGCAACCATTTTAAAGCGCTGCATTACATTTCACTATTTCACTGCATTTTCCTACAATTCACGTTGACTGTTGTATATCATAAACACCGTAGAATATGAACACCTCTTCGAAATCATTGAGACGTACTATTTAACAGAACAAACTCATGATGACAATATAGATACAGCCTTAACAAATAGTTGGTAAGCATCATCACCTGCTGCCGGCGCCATGGCGTCGTCTGCTTCACCAAAGTAGCCTACAAGAGTTTCTAGTCAACAATTCAATAATACCTCCGTAAACACTTACCTGTTGTACCAACTGGGCAACATTCTTCTTTGTGTTGAGGGCACACAAATTTGTGGCCAAAAGTCTGGCTTTTGATATCATTTTAGTGGCGTTTGTGGTGCAGCGACGGCGAGGAGCAGCGACCCACGTGTGACTGATGTAACACCAAGGGTTGTGGCGGCGTGGACCAGAACCTTCTCATTCACATCAACATGGTTCTTATTTCTGCTTCACCCTTCTTGAATTAAAACATGTTTTTAAATAATTAACTGAACTTTTGACTACCTTGTGTAAAAATCATGGTAAAATTTTCATAATTCTTAAAATGTAATAATTTCATAAACGCACTACAATACACGTGAATCCTTTACTGTGTTCCTGAGTCCTGACAGCTGAAACCCATGTATTTTAGAATATCTCCTTGGTGAGGGTAGGAAGCCGGTGATTTATTTTACTCCCTAAGTACCTGATGATTTTTGTCTTTTAATAATCACGGTCCAGTGCATAGCGTAGCGCAAACCAGAATCCAGAAGACCCGCCAGACTCGGTTAAGAATGTTTGATAGGATTCTGGATCACATCCTACCGCTGTTCATATCTTATTCAAGTCACACAAATTCACAATCACAATCACAACCTTCATGTTTATCGTATTATAGATAATGTAGATTTAAATTGTAACTCGTTCATTGTTTTATTGTGCAAGTGTACACGTTTCTGACCCATACATCAGTCCTTGCCACATAAAGCTTGCATTATTTATCAGCGGCCTTGTAGCATGTTTATCTATTTTCTTTAGTTTTTTGTCTATACTATACCCTTTTTTTCTTTGTCTATTCTCTTTATAAACACACACACGATTTGGTGATGCTCAAGTACTAGGGAAAGATAAACCAAGGATTCTATTATTCTAGTACTCGTGCTATTAGAATTGTTGGCTATATGTATTGCAAGTTGCAACCATTGAGATTTAAATAGTTGAAGAAGATATACATGTAGGTGGTAGACGATGAATGTAATTTTATACTGTACTGTATACCTTAAGGAAGTTAAGGCTGCAGAGCACTTTAATCTATTGTATAAGGCACTGTAGTCTGCGGATGTACTTTATATGAGCAGTCTCTTGTTTACATTGTTATCCTCTTATCATGTGCAGATTATATGATTCAAAACCGTCCATTGGCTAAAAGGGGCCCATAAATTTATCGTTCCCCGGGCACTGGCCAGCCCTCGGCGGTCCTGCAGATCAATCAATCAAAAAAGGCTAGTGACAGGGGGAAGACCTAAAGATCCAATATCTGGTGATGATGAATAATGGGTTTAATATTTTTGTTTACGGATGTCAAACTTTCCTGGTTTTATTAGTGAAAACGTTTATTTGAGTATAGTGTGACTAGAATAACACGCAGGCGCACAAATGCCCAAGGACAGGATAGGTCATAGGAATATAGATCACCGAAAACCAGCACCACCTTGGTAGCCCCGAGCGCGCTTAAATCAACTGGCAGACTAAATATGAAAAGTATGTTCGCAATAACTCAATTAACTTATATTCTTCAGCCACCAAAATACCAAGGTGTCTTTCCAGGGCCCTGGCTAAAATCCATCCACAATCAAGTGATCAACTGACTCAATAAGCACACCTATGGGCCAATAAAGCAAGAGCCGATTGGGTGTGGTAGTAAGAAAAGAGATTTGTATTATAAACTTACATTTATGACGAAACTTTAAAAAAAATCCATAAGCCTCACACAAGCTTCAACTGCTTGTATTGGAAGTTTTATCTGCAGAGTGTTTTACTGGCATGGGTCTCACAGATTACTTCCTGATAAGTGATAACCCATAGATCATAGAATAAGCTTTCCCTGTAACTTGACAAAAGAAAAAAAAAGGACCATAAAGCGATTTCCAAACTCGGAGCCGCGGCACGTGTATCGCATAAAATAGTATCTCTTGGCCCCTTGGGTGTGCCGCGAAATATTGGAAACTAATGAATAGTAAAACCTTTTGGTATATTCCACCAGTTTTGACAGAAGGGATTTTAAAAGCAATGGGACAATTTTGAGAAAATAATCAGGTAAAATGTTGACCAGTTAAATCCTTTACAATTACATTCCCCTAATATGCTTGACCTCAGTACCGCTAGGTTGACCTGGCGGCCTAGTAAGCTACTGCCAGTGCCAATTCCTGACCATTTTATGGGATCTACAATACGTCACGAATCCACATCACCCAAGACGCCACGAGCTCTGTACTGTATTAGCAAAACCTTGTTTTAGTTAAGGTCATTTGGTTTCTATTCACAAAAGAAAGAAATTGCAAAGATTGTTCTTAACAGTACCCTGGAAAAATCCAAAAGGATAAGTTTGTTAAAAAAAAATGTGAGTAAGACTTTGGCCGTGTAGAGATCATGGTCGAAGTTGGAAGAGTAGTGAAATCAAGTAAAAAAAAAAGATAGTTACAATTAGTAGCTACACGGATAGTAAAATAGAGGCAGATAAAAACAAACGAAGTCGTGTTTCTATGGACAGTTATCATAACAATCGGTTTATTTGATGTAGAAGTGAGCTTTAGCAGACTGTAGTGTTGTAGTGAAAACTGTCAAATGAAGAGATAGTTCCCCCAGTAAGTTAAAGAAACATTTTTCTACAACACTTAGTTACCTTTTTGATAAATCAATCAATTATTTTCAAAGACTTCGAGGTGAGCGAAACCTACTGACCAAAAAAGTAATATTGTATAGTATCCAAGTGCCTGTTTAGTGTACGCGCCTCTGTTGCCTGAGTGACCGTCTGACTGTCACAGTGCGACAGTCAGACGGTCACTGCCGGTGGCATAAACCAAATTACCAAATGCAGATGTTCTGTACGTGTCCACTTCGTAACTTCATCACAGTCCCCTCTGCTTAGTACAGCCATCACTCGGCATGCTAACAATGCTCTGACTGAGCTATCAAAAGCAAAATTAAATTGATTACAAAGGGTTGGATGGCAACAGGTCCCAACATACAGCGTCTTGCTACGAAGTCCGCGGATTATATTCAAAGTTCCCTTAAGACAAAGACGGCCTATCGATGACGTCATCAAGGAAACAGAGAAAACGGGGGACGTTTCCACTGGGGGACTCGGAAGGTTTTGTGGACGTTTGAGCGTAATATGAATCCTTAAGGTTTACAGGTTAGCCGTCATCACGATCATGACATCCGTGACTCAAAAAAGGTTAAGAACCACTGCACTAGAGTATAGACCGATACTTCCAATGGATATTTTGTAATTTTTTCCGGAAAAGAGAAATGTAAAATACAACTGATTCAGAAAGTGATTGTGGTCCAGAGACACCACGTAAAATATGAACATAAATTCCAAGTGAAGTGTTACAAGACGACAGATTTTCCTCGTGGGTATGTAAAAGTGAGAAAGCTGAGAATAAAGCATTTTGTACTGTGTGTAAATGTGAAATAGCAGGAAGTGTAACATTGCTTGGAAGACACAGTAAAACTGAAAAACATGTGAAGAATATAAAGTCGATAAGTAAATCAAAGAAAGTAAAAAAAAAATTCAACCATCAGTGTCATCGAAATTTGAAAAGGAGGTTGCAAGCTCAGACTCAGAGGTTGGTTGCAAGCTCAGACTGAGCCTCAGAGTGGAGCCAGCTCAGCCAGGCTCCAGCCAGTCAGTGGACGACCAGTATCCCAGGAAGATGGAGGGTAAAGCTTTCCTTACAGAAGAATCTGCCTACAAGGCGCTTCAAGATTATTACGATGCAAATGGCAGTAAGATCAATATTCTCAAGATGTTCAAAGAAGATCCTGACAGATTCAATAAGTACAGGTAAGTTTATTTTTCCAGAAATGAAAATACCGGTCTGTCCCAGCTGATAGCATAGTTGCCAAAGTTATATTTTGTCTTCATAAATACAATGCAACTTATTATTTTTATCTCAGTTGGTTGCTGTTAGTGAACGAAACTGTTGTCATAATATTGTATTTTGTCAGTCTTGAGGGAGAAAACTTTTAAAGAAGTGCGATCAATGACTGCTGTCACCTTCACGGCGTCCTTGGTTGCCCTTCAGTGCCGGATGATGTGGCTTGCTGAAATCCGAAAATAATTAAATACAATACGTACAGTAGAACAATTTTAATTTTAAGGATGTATGGCTTTCTTGTGTGTGTTATTTTTAGATTTATATCCAAGGTTTTCATTTACATTATGGAAATAGACATTATCGTCTCAATCGCTTGGAAACTAGATGTGCTAATAACTCAGAAATTTTCTGTATTATATTTATTTTTACAATGTATGGATAAAACTTTGGTATATTATGGTCAAGATAACATACTCGAGTAAGAATTGTATTCGAAAATATGTTAGAATTTTTTACTTTCATTGGAGATCTTTGATTTTGCATACTTGTAGGTATTGTTTAATTGGTTTTCGGATTTCAGGAATAATGTACGACTGTGTATTTTTATAATAATAATAATAATAATAATATCTTCCTGTAAATGTGACATTGTTTAATTGGTTGAATTTGTTCAGTAGAAACATTTGTGAAAAAAGGGTCCACCATTAACCCAAAGATAATGTACATGTACTCTAGAATTATTGCCCTTCGTTATCAAATTATTTATTTAACCCTAGATTTTGTCATTGAAACACGTACTATAATGAACGATTTGCAGAAAATACCAGTTGAAGGTAGGTCAAGGTACCGAGTGGTGTCAGCCAGTAAGATGGAAAAGCAAACTCATTAGAATAGGTTGTCTTGTTTTAGGGGTATCAACTTTTTGTCTGGTTTTCTTCCATGATTAATTATCGGGAAGCTTTTTTTTTTTTTTTTTTTAATACAAGTTGAGACCTTAGTGTTATGTATAAAGTATTTTTCCCTCCTATTCCATGTGCCTACATGCCTTTGCCACTCCCCAAATCAATGGCATACCAATCGCCCGAATGTCTAGCAAGCTGAAATGATAAGTTATAAAAATTTGGCTTTTCTGTTTCAGCAAATTGATAAAAACCATCACTAGACTAAGTTGATTTTAGCAGGACCAAACCACTGAGTATACTGTACTGTTATTCGCTTAGTGGTTCATTACTCTACTGATTTGTTTTTCCTAACTTTATAAAGCTGCAGAGGCATTGCCTATTTGCCTCTTCCTAGTTAAAAAATAAATTAAATAAAAATCATAGTACTGTAAAGTAAATAGCAAATTGTATCTTGGAATAAATTGTGAGGAAAGTACAGGCAATCAATTTTACTTTAACTTTTTAATTTTATCCTCTTCGCCACTGATCGGCTTGTTAGCCGCTTGGGTGGCCAGTCATGTCTTTGTTATGCCAGTTTATGAACTTAATTTATTCCTGAAAATATGTATGTAAACCGAATCAATAAATCCCTTTGAAACAATGATACACTACAGTAAACCGTAAATAAAAAATAATTAACTAACTCCCGGACATAAATGAAGACCACATTATATTAAATACAAACATAATGAATATACAGTAGAATATCAAAACATAAAGGAATACTGTACGTACTGTAAATTTACTTTATATATCATACTGGTACTATGGTATTACAACTGCAAAATAAAATACATACTGTACTGTACATTAAATAAGTATCACCTATTGTTCATGAAAAAGATTTCACCAAATGAATGATCTGTGTACAACAAAGTAAGTCCCTGATCCATGCTAGGACACTCCCCAAATCCTGTACACCTCCAGTTTAATTTTCAGCCTTTCATGGGGTATGCTGCCAAAAGCCTTGGCAAAGTTCAAAGGCTTTCGACAGCATACCCCATGAAAGGCTGAAAATTAAACTAGAGGGGTCCGGAATTTGGTGGGAGTGTCATAGCTTGTATCGGAGACTTTTCGTAACTACAAGCAGTGTGTGGTGATTAATGGCATAAAATCTTTATGCATACTTGTGACAAGCAGGGTACCACAGGGCAGTGTACTGGGCCCATTGTTTGTTTGTTTCATAAATGACATGCCAGAAGCTATAAACTCCCCATACAAATGTTTGTGGACAATGCCAAATGAACTGTGAAGAGCTACAGAAAGGTCTGTGTCAGCTTAAGGAGTGGTCAAAGGAATGGCTGCTAAGATTCAATGTCACAAAATGACAAGGATGCTCTTAGATCGTACCAACAGTTAGGAGGCATATCATATGTCCCAACGGAAAGAAGCAGCAGCATTAACGGAGACCAAATATGAAAAGGACCTAGGTGTGTATGTTGACAATGAACTGAAGTTCTCATACCATTGTGAGAAGAAGGTGAATCAAGCAACTAGGCATTTAGATACCTAGATGGTAATGAGTCCGATCATCATTGTGATCACCACCATTTCACAGTTAATTTCCATTCTTGCATGGGTTAGCTGTGATTACCTGTGCAGTATTTTATGTATTAACTAGTAAAAGGATTAATACAGTATACAAAGGTTTGATATACAGTTCAGTACAGTATTAAATAATTTCAGTGTCACCTTGACAACACCTGAAGATGGCTCAATTTTGTTTGACTTCAGCAAGAATCGAATCAATGAAGAAGTTGTAAAGCTGTTGATGAATTTGGTAAGTAGCTACAATGATCATTTATTTATTGTAAGAATAAGGTGTAGATTTGCTTTTGGGGATGGGTGTGATCCTAGGTTGTCTAAGTGGCAGGTTAAACCAGACACAAACAGTACAAGGGGCCTTGTTATGGAAGGGGAATACCATTGTGGGTCACATTTGGTACTGTACAGTACAACATTAAACCTGAATACAGCACAGCATAGCACAATACTAGCAAAGAAAGGGAGATACTTTGCTTTTGATTCCAGCCATTGCATCGAAGCAGGAAGAGGAGGAAAATTTATCCCATAAAACTTACTGATGTATAATGAGAAAAAATACCCGGTATACAGTATAGTCTGTCCTGAGTTTGGTGATGTTGACCTTGAATTTTTATGCTATAGAAATGTAATTGTGTGTACTGTATCTTTAATATTCACTCTTTATCTTATCTGTAAGCTATTCATCAATTTATTTTGTCTGATATAAAGTTGACTGTTAAAGAATAATTCTCATGGCATTGTTTAATGTAAAAGAATCACCATTGCTAATGATTTTTTTCCCTTAGGCCAGAGCTCGCAAGATTGAGGCTTCTCGAGATGCAATGTTTTCAGGAGAGAAGATTAATTTCACAGAAGACAGAGCTGTATTGCACATTGCACTACGCAACCGTTCCAACAGTCCAATTATGGTAAATGGAAACGATGTCATGCCTGATGTTAATGCTGTGCTGGATCACATGAAAGAGTTTTGTGGGAAGGTAAGCCATATGTATAGTATAAAAGACTGTAATGATTCTTGGTTTTGATCAAAATAATGTTCTACTTGATATAGTATACAGGAATATAATATATTTTATTAGTAAATTATTTTGATTACATTATTAATGAAAAAGTTATGTTTTGAGATGCAGTTTAATTAAAGATCACTTCTCCCATTAGTAAGGAACTCTCTGTATTTGGAATATCGTTAAGTGCCTTCTCACAGCTCAGTCAGCCTTTTAATCCTGGATGTCATTTTAATTTACAAGAAGTTTAAATGTCATTATATACAGTATCATATAATTTATTTTGTGCATAATGAAGTAACGGAAGTTGACAAGATGTTAAAAAAAATCAGTTTTGAGTCAAAGTACACTCAGATTACGAATATAGTAGAATCAATAGGACTGAGATGTTCTTTCCCCAAATTTAAAAGAAACAAAATCTTCTGTGCTGTCACCCCTCCTCTTTCCTTGGATGACAATAATCTCGGTTTTGCCATCATTGAGCTTAAACTTTCACCTAACCATCCAGATCTTAATATCTAGCATCACAGATTTTGTTCTCTCCTCAATATCATCAACATCTATCATTTGCACATAAAGCTGTTTATTATCAGCTTAGAAATGGTAGGTACTAACACCATGAGCATTGAGTTGAGATGCAAGACTACAGTACTGGTATTGACTGTAAACAGAAGTGGTCCAAGAATTGATCCCTGTGGGACTCTAAACTGGTCTGAAATGGTTCCACCAATCATCACACATAAAAAGATTGCTTTGAAAAATAAAACTCAAGCAGTGATAGTGCATCATTACAGACACCGAATGACCAAAGATCTTGAAGCAACAAACTTACCACCACTGTGTCAAAGGCTGCAGAGAGATCCAGCAAGACCAGGAGTTTATTGCAACCTTTATTTAACAGTCCTTAAATTTCGGTATTCTTCTCGGCAATGCTTGAGACTATTTCGTCTTCAGGAAATTTAGTAGGAAAACCATCAATTATCATTTTCAGCATGATTTTTCTAAGTTCGGACACCATGGAGTTCGAGTGTATACTAAAATAGGAACTCTTCTCCACTAGCTTTCTCAATGGGAAGTCTAATAGCAAGGGAGCCAGTTCTCGTCGCCCTGCAGCTTATCAACCGGAATTGATTGCAATGTTCTCTCGACACTTTCAGTTGCAGCAGCAAATTTAGTTTTATCAGCCGCAATGCCCTCCTTTGGCTTCAATATGAGTACATGCTGGGTGTGGACTGTCCTATCCCTTAGTTTTGTGTGCTTTTACAACCTTTCACCACAACTGACTCGAAAGCTTATGAATAAGTCAGTCACTTGTCAGCTCATATATATAGAGAACTAAACTTTATTGTGTGTATGCTACAGGAAAATGTACATTGGTCATCTTCTAAGCCTTTATTAATTTTGCAGGTTATATCTGGCGAATGGAAAGGTTATACTGGCAAGTCCATAACAGATGTGGTTAATATTGGTATTGGAGGCTCAGACCTTGGTCCTTTGATGGTAACAGAGGCACTCAAACCATATGCTATTGGACCTAATGTGCACTTTGTTTCTAACATAGATGGTACGCATATGGCAAAGACTCTGAAGGTAAGTAGTATTCTGGTTTTAATGGTCTTTTTATTCTGAGCTAAATATTTTGTACTGTTGTTTTGAGATATAAATTTCCAATATTCTTTTGATATCCCTCGTTTCCTTTCTTTAAAAAAAATGCTTTTTGCTTCAGATCCTGAATGCTGAAACGACACTGTTTATCATTGCTTCAAAGACTTTTACTACACAAGAAACAATCACCAATGCTACATCTGCCAAGAACTGGTTCCTTGATACTGCAAAAGATGTAAATATATTATTGTTTCCTTAGTTGTAAATGATGAAAGCATTGTAGATACAGACAATTATTGAAGGGATAGATTGAAATTTTTTAGTTGGACAGCCAGCAGATGTTGTTCAGTAAATATGGCAAGTGAACTTCATGGTAGGGAGAAGAGGGATAATATGAGTTCTTGCTTGCACAACAAAATCCTGAAGCCTTGCACGGGAAGTAAATGGTTCAATATTTTTCTTCATGGTGCATTTACTGGGTATACATGTGTTTCTCTTTTTAAAGTTACCGTATATCTTACTGGGTAATCACAAAATTATTTACTCGATAACTGATGGTATTGTTAGCAACAGTGTAGTATGCACCGTGAACCGTTTAATAACTTTGTTTTTCCTTCACTAGGCATCAGCTGTTGCCAAACACTTCGTTGCTCTCTCAACCAATGGTCCTAAGGTAAAAGATTTTGGAATTGATGAAGCTAACATGTTTGGCTTCTGGGATTGGGTTGGTGGACGTTACTCTCTCTGGTCTGCCATTGGTCTTTCCATCGCTCTACACATTGGATATGACAACTTTGTGAAGCTATTGTCAGGAGCTCACTTTATGGACAACCACTTCAAAACTGCTCCACTTGAAAAGAATGTAAGTAACTTGTGACTTTTTTATTTATCAAAAAATATTGGTAAAGTTCTTAATAAAATTATTCACATTAGTGTTGTAAAATTTGGATTACAGAATTAACATGGAAGTAATAAAACATCTCGGCCCGTTCTATAAACTAATACTACCATAATCCATGCCACCACAGTACTTTCATTCTTGTTTTACTTGTTATTAATTTGTCGCTCCTTTCTGCTCGTATTGTAAGGAATTCCTTGTAAAGTACTGTATATCAACAATAGATGAAATTGGCTTGGAAACTTTTGACAATGGGAAGTCACTGCTCTCCTCCATATTTATAGAATCACCTTTAAATATAATTGCTGGTGTAGTAAATTTCAGTAATTGATTGTGGTAGAGCTCTACAGAGGTCTTCTGTTTTTCCAGATTCCTGTAATCTTGGCAATGCTGGGTGTGTGGTATCATAATTTTTATGGCGCCGAGACACACGCTCTCCTTCCCTACGATCAGTACCTTCACAGATTCGCGGCATACTTCCAGCAGGGTGATATGGAGTCCAATGGCAAGTAAGTGTTTTCATAATTATGCTTAATGGAACATCATATTCTGGTTTTATCCAACAGCTGCCATTAGTTAGTTCTAACCTACGTGGACATGGAGAATGGCCGTCAAAATGTGAATTTTATGTAGACTTCCATATACAGTACATATCTCTACATGACTTTATATTTTCAAGATTTTTTAATTGTTTTTCTAATTATGTCACTACCATTGGCAGAGAGCTAGCAGAGTTTGTTATTGTTGTCCATCCACGAGGTCAAAATTTTTCACCTAGATTTGGGGGATATAATTTACAGTGTATTTCCAATTTTTTCCTTGTTTTCTCTCTTCTAGCTTATAAATGACCTGCAAAGAGAAGGAGGCATGGAGGTAGAAAGAAGTGGTGTTTCAGATATCCTCCAAGTTGTAATGTTTTCACAGGTATGTTACACGCAGTGGTCGTTCTGTGAATTACAAGACGGGACCAATTGTTTGGGGCGAGCCAGGTACCAATGGTCAACATGCATTTTATCAGCTGATTCACCAGGGAACCAGACTTATTCCTGCTGATTTCATTGCTCCAGCAAAGTCCCACAACCCAATTGCAGACAATCTTCATCATAAGGTGTGTAATAATGATCCTTTTCAAGGTAAGTGTACTGTATTCACTTACACCTGATAATAGAATATTTATACTGTAGGAGGGCTGCAGTGTTGTACAGGTCCTGTGGAAGGTCATTTCCCTTGATAACGGGAATGATATTGAGGATTGAACATAAACTTGGTACACACAGTAAAGTATCTGCCAGCTGAAATGTTTGGGACCAAGAAACTTTGGTGAAGTGTGTACTATAAGTGCATAATGCCAAACATTTACTGTACTATCATGAACATCTGTACAATGATAGTAATTAAATAAACCTGACTACAGTATGGTACTTGCATATTACAGTACATTAGTTTCTGCAGATACCTGTATATAGTGTACTAACTCATTTTATTATTCTCCAACACTAAACTATGCTTTTAAGTCTACAAATAAGCTTTCAGTGTGTCATCATTCTCTTACAACCACCATATAAACCTACTGTCACTAGTGTGAGGATAAGTAGATTTTCCACTCACACCACCATGCACAAGGTCACTCGGGCAGTTGATTTATCATGTCATAAATTTCTTCATGTCGTATGTGTTCAGTTAAATCATAAAATACTCATGTTCTTTAATTCTATATGATAATTATGAACAATAAAGGTGTACTGTACAGTTGTTAGGGAAAGTTTGGAATTTGGAAGTAAAGAAAAGTTTGGAAGTGTGTGAAGATTGCGGGCAACACACGAAAGCATTGTGAAGTGGTCAGCTGCTTTTTAAACTTTTGAAGCCAGCCAGCCCTTAGCTTTATCACAATGCATCAGTCTGGATATGGCTATTCCTTCATTGCTTGAACCATTCTTATGGCACTTTATCCACTGAATTTTTTTGCATTATTTCTTCAATGTGAACATAATTTGATTACGGAGTATATTTCTTTAATAAAAATAAATAAATACAAATTTTTAATTACAGCTGCTCCTGGCCAATTTCCTTGCACAAACAGAAGCTCTTATGAAGGGAAAAACCACAGAAGAAGCCAAGGCTGAACTAGAAAAGGCAAACATGCCAGCTGACAAATTGCAGCGCATCTTGCCCCACAAAGTGTTCGAGGGCAACCGCCCCACTAACTCTATTATGGTAGAAAAGTTGACTCCATTTACGCTGGGGGCATTAATTGTCATGTATGAAATGAAGATCTTCACCCAAGGTGTACTTTGGGATGTAAATTCTTTCGATCAGTGGGGGTAAGTAATTTATTCTCTATTTTTCTTGTTCTAGAATAATTCACTACCAAAATATTTCATATATGCTTTTAAACTGGGGTAGATTATATAAGCTTCACTTCACTTGGAATACAGGGTTGGTCTTTCATTTGTTTTAGGCCTTTTTCCTACCATATTGCAGAATGGCACAATTGAAAATGTTTCTTTTACAAAATTTAGAGCTTAAACTTCCAATGAAAACAAAATTTGTAATGTTGATCAAAGGATGGGTGAAGAGTAGACAGAATAAGGTATTTAAATGTGATGGAAGGATGTGAAATTGAAGAAACAAAAGGATGGAATAAAATGAACTAAGTATGGGCCATGGAATGAAAAATGAAAACAAGTTGGAGAGACAAAGTGAGAAAAAGAGTAAGAACAAAGTACTGTATCAAGATAAGAATGAAAGATTATATGGGAAAGAGACATCTCCTTGTGGATGAGTGCTTGGAGCTCTGCCAGGATAGAGTGAGAAAATTTGTGGACAAGGCATCAATATAGAGGAATATGGGCTCTACAAGAAAGGGATTGTCTGCAGACAATGCATCTAACATTCTGGGTGACTTATAAAATTGGAATGGCTGTAGCAAAAGCTTAGGATTGGATGAATTTTATAAATGAAAAGAGCTCCTCGTCTTTTGCCTTATTTTTTTCCAAAATGACGGTTTTTTCTTTATATCAAAAGTTAACCAATTGAAATATGCATTGAGAAATTTAATGATAGAGCTGACTTAGCAGACAAAAATGGGGATGTTTAAGGACATCATTGATGCTGACATTGTTATCCATGGATGTTACATGTAAGAGACTAAAGCAATTTATAAGTGATAGAAAATTTGTTAGTCTGTCATATGTGGGATAAATAGGATGCAGAGAATAAGAAAGTCAGAAATAAAGAGAGATATTGGCAAGAGATGACCAGGGTTTGCTAAGGTGGCATGAACATACTGAGAGAATAGAAGTGAAAGAGTGGCTTGGAAGGAGGGAGAGAAGACGACCAAGGAAGGATTAGGAAAAGGACACACCATAAGTTGGGGGATGAACACCGAGTAGGCTGCTGTGTGCATGAGTGAGAGGAGGACACAGCATCAAGTAGTTTATTGGGATACATGTGCCACTAAGAGGTACAGAAGTTACAGGTGTAAACCAGATATATATACCAGTAACTTTAGGCCTTGTAAAATGGGAACACCATAGTAGACCAACTCTCTTGCAGCAGTAAGAATGAATTAGGAGAGACTATGTGTCACCCTGCAAAATGGCAGGGAAAAATTGGGGAAAAAATTAATTTACATTTCAAGCTGACTTAGAGGGAAGTGTAAATGTGTGATGTATTGTTATTTTTCAATCGGAGTACTGTCCTCATATATGAAGGTTGTCGAGCACAGTCCTCTACTCTAAATGTTTTCGGGCTAGTTTTACCAATCCTCCAAGGTTTTATATCTCAAGGGACCCAGTTTTTAATTTCGTTCAAACATCCCAGTCTCTACTTTCCCCTTATTTACAAACCAGAAATGTTGTAGGAAGAGGGCAGTAAACTCCCATTTCATGGCATTCTTTATATGCCAAATAAAAAAGTAGTGAAAGGGGTTGAAGAATGTGGAAACTTAAAAATGGGAGAACTTTGCTAAATGTCTAATGTGAAGTTATAGAATTGGATAAATAAACAGCTGTCAGTTGAGTAATAGACAAACTGCATCCACAATAGTCAACTAATTAAATTTCATAAATTATTATTAAAACGAGTCTTCGTGTTCATGTGTTTAAAGCTTTTTTTATACTTTTAGACCCATTTAAATATAATGTTATATCGGTTGTGACACATTGTACTGTCCTGTTGAGCTGCCTACACCCCATATTATTGCTTGCTGCTTTAGTTATCAAGTTTCAGTTGAAAGCTTTCAAATTTTGAGAAAAAAATGTACTGGTACTGTATATATATATATATATATATATATATATGTATATATATATTATTAAATGTGTTACATTGTCATTTATAAATTTCCAGTGTTGAACTAGGAAAGCAACTGGCTAAAGCTATTGAACCAGAGCTACAGGACAGGAATCCAGTCTCATCCCACGATTCATCAACTAATGGACTGATCAACTACATCAAGAACCATTTGTAAATGTTTTAGCAAAAGCTAAAGTTCAAGTGATAGTTCTGTCTGGTCATAATCTGCTATTTCTAGTATCAGTGTCTTTCTGAGGTCAGACACTTGAAAGATTTGTACTGTATGCATTAAATACTAATAGTGCATAATATTATTTTGTTGATGTATCTTAGTACAGATTGGAAAAAATTGGTGTGGTATTACAATCACAGGAGCCTTGATTTGTAGTAATTGTTTCCATGTAGGTGAAATGGGATTGTAATGAGTAAGCACCATTCATCAGTAAGTAATAGTACTCTCAGAGTTTTCAATATAAATCAGTGATTAGTGCTGTGTATGTAAACCTTAGGTAATGTCAGCTTTGATTAATAAAATCTAAATTTACAGCATGTCTACTAAGAGTATTATAATCATTAGAGAACAGTGTTTAATTAGTCATGTGCATATTAAACTCACACTCTCTGTATAGATACTGTGAATCACATGTTGTATTGTTGTCATTCCTTTCTCTCTCTATGGTTACAACTTGATTTGGTTCAGTCTCTTTCACTGGAGTTCTCTATTTCAGTTTTTTATTTCACCTGCAATTGCTTTATGTTATGACCGTGGCATGTTGTAGCTCCTTGCTCTAAGCCATGATATTTGAGACTGTTTCACACCAATTTTAATTGTTCATAGCTACTGTAATGGCTGCTTCCTCAGAGCCTTGGTGTTTGTCGAGTGCTTCAACTTTGTGAACCCCTCATGCTTAAATGCCACAAGATAGTAATGAAAATAATCAGAAACCCTAGCATAGACAAATAAGTGATGAAGTAGAATTTGCCAAAGAAATGGGTTCAACAATGAATGCTGAAAGTGGAAATAATATTAGGAAGCAGGTGATGAAGACAAAAATATAGTCCCTGTACAAAAATAATGTTAGAAAAATTTTATGCCTCATAATTGGTGAATATTAAGTACACGGAGTTCTGAGGAGGAAATGGTTGTGAAAGAGATGCCAGTCTGGGTACATGTCTGGAAATTAGTGGAAGGCCTGATTTCTCTCCCCTGCTATGCTATAAATAGCTCTTCCCCTCCATCACCACTGTTTTATCCAGGTTAACTTGGTGTGCACAAAATTTAGTTTACATTTATTCTATCTAGTTATATATACTTTACATTTTCTCACTACAGTACTTCTTTTTAATTTGGTTGATTTTATTCAAAATACAGGACAATATGGTTGGGGGGGTGTGGGGTTGAGCATTAAAAATGTACATTTTTTAGAACCCTATGCTGTTTGCACCTTAATCAGTTCCATGTAAAATTATGTATGTGAAGTGTCAATGTTGTAGTAGTGGTATAAATGTTGTAAATTGTATATTTGAAGATATGACTGTACAGTTAGCTTTTGTAGAACAAGAATGGTGCAGTATTAATAGTGACATAATAAATTTACTCTTTAAGATCCATGTACTGAAAGGTTTAGTATTTGTACTTATAAGTTTGAATTGGTTTTTATTCAAGTTGAGTTCACTAGTAAATTATAAGTCAGAAAAATAAAAAATAAATTATATTTAAAAAATAATTTAAACACTTCTATTTTTATACCATTAAATTCTGTTGAAATATCACATATTTAAATCCCATATCTTTATTAAATGTTCAGTGATTTATATTAAATTTTCACCAGGCAAGTTGATTTTACATACCGTAACCTAATTTGTCTATGCATTTCAAAATACCGGCACTAAACACAGTACTGTACTACCTACTGATACAGTTTGTGCAGTACAGTATCTGAAATTTTAAATTTTCTGCCCTCTGTCCTCTTACAGATCAACTCTATGGATGCTAATACTGTACATGTACAGTAGAAAATAGTGATTGAAAATATAATGGCACTTAATTACTTATTCTAATTCAGTTTTGTTTCTCAAAACCTTTACATTTAAAAATTTGATTTCTAAATTGTCAAACAATAAAGAAAAGTGGTATGCAAAATTCACTTGTGTTTAATAAACATAAAAACAAAAGATTAAAATGATACTGTACATACAGTATCAATTTAAGGCCAAGGAGATGAGACAAGTGACCTAAGTGATAACCATAACAGAATACTCCCAGGAAGTCTCAGTCTTGCCCAAGTATCTTAATTCTCAGGTGAAGACTACAGGTATTTATTGTACACTCTCCAAAAAGTATCTTCAAGGTAGGATCCAATGAATTTCAAAACAAACCCTGCAACTGTTGTTGTCTTGGTAGGGTTGTCAAAATCCTTCATCCATTGTCATATTGTCTGGAACAAAATCTTGCAGATACCTTTTGGAGCGAGTGTACCAACTAGAGCACTTGTCAAACACTTTCAAATGCTTTTGTCCCTACAAAACACTATCATATGTATCTATACACTGCCAGACATTGCAAGCAATTTTGGAAAAATATTGTTTGGTTCAGTCGAGAGCATCATTCAATGACAAGACGAACCAGTTGTACAGTTGTGAGTCTGGATCATAATTAAAAAAAATAAAATAAAATGAATAAATTGTGGCCACCTCTCTGTCACATTGCCAAGTCGCCACCCTCCCACACACCACCTGCCTCCGTGCCAAATTCTTTTTGTCCATAACTGTACATTCTAAGGATGCTTGTGTGGCTCTTTAACCACACAAACACAGTACTGTAATATTAGTTACCATATATGCCATGGTGAACTTAGTGAGGCAATTTATAATTACTTTCTGGACAATGATATTGTAACTTGACAAACACAAACTTAAAAGACTTGAAAGGAAAATACATCTTTATATAAATTTGGTGCATCTAATAGAATCAATTCCTTTTATTATACTGTAACAGTAAAAATTTACCGTCATCCCTTGTGTCTCACAAAATTTTATCAGAAAATTCCCCTGGACATGACTAAAAAGAAGAGCAAAATCCAGTGTTTACAAACTGTATCTATGAAAATTACAATACTGTCTACCTTGCCATTTACGGTATATCAAGGGGTTTAATTACCTGGGGCAATGGTGATGAGCATATTTTCCTGCCAATCACATCATTTGTATTTACAACAATTAATGGTTACTATGAGTAAACAGATAAGGAAAGTTTTTTAGTGTGCCAAATGGAGTAAACAATTAGACCATCAAAGACACTTTATGTCCTGTGATGTCAGCACATAAAGTGCAAGTAGATCCCAAAGGCCTGATGGCCTTTTGGGGGCAGTATGGATACTGTACTAAGCTTTTGGTACACACACAAGTGTGGATAGCTGAGCACCTAACTGCCTTTGCTTCCCAACTGTACTGTAAAGTTAGGGTGACCGGATAAAACCCCAACGGACAAAACCCCAGTCTCATATATAAAATATAAAATAAAACACTTTTATGTTTAGGTTAGGTTTGATTAGTGTTGACAAATGACAACCCCGCTGGGGTTTTGTCATGGAACCTAAAGTTAGATACCCATTTACAACTGGGCAGACTGGAGTGGTCTGTATCCACTAACAGTAGTCACTGCGTCCCATAAATTGGTAATTTTCTGTAAAAACAGCTGCATCTACAATTAAACCAGGGATTATGGAGCAAGCTCAAACCACAATCCAGTGGTTAAGAAAAGTAAACTAAACATGGCACTGGTTTGTTTGAATCAGTCACAAATTTGGTTTACAAACTTATTTCCTCATTTTCTTGTATGATAAGGATAAAGCCAATCTCATGGGGTTTAATGACAGGAAGCTGATTCTGTGACTAATAATTTCTTGACTTAACAAAACCTAATTTCAAGCATTAAATAATAAAAAAATGTATGTTCCAAAATCAAGATCAATTGACTAAAAAAAATACAGCCATGAATCTATAATGCAGGAACTTGTTTGGTGTTGTGGGAAGACTTCACTGAATATAATAAAAATACAGTTACCTAAATTAAGAATTAATTAATTTTTTTTATAAATAATGGCAACTAATTCATTTTTACACATAAACATAAGTTTTGAGTAAAACTTATCTTGGCAGCTACCAGACTGTGGATGTGGCAGGTGTAATCACAGCTTAGTTACCTGTTGATTATTACCATCACCCTATGATCAAGGTTACCCAGTACTGCTATAGTTTTTAATCTTAATTTCCATGTACAGTATGTAAAAGTTACAGAAATTTGTGGAAGTAAATTTTTACCTGTAACTACACTGAAAATGACAATGGTACAGTATCAGAGTTGAGCTTTAAAATATTTCACTGCTTATGCAACAGATAACAAGAGGAAGGATCAATCATTAAAAAGCTCTTTAATTTAATGTTTTAATTCTTAAATTATTCTAAGCACTTTTTTTATTGTGCACATTTTTTTTTAACTGTTGCATGTCTTCACGTGTGCAGGTATTATGTCAATGGTTTAAAAAAATAATTTTCTGGGTAAAATATTTCAAATGCTGCTGTAAATCACCAGGAAAAATAATTAATTACTAGTTTCTCTTTTTCTTTCTCTCACACACGCACAAAGACATACTGTACCAGACCGTGCTTATGATAACTCATCCAAAATTTGACTGAGAAACTTCCCTTTAATGATGCTGTTTTTCAAAGCTGTCACCACTGATGATACTACAGATGAATCAGTGTGATAATGTTGTGTCAGAGATCTCCAGAGAGCTGATCGGCAGCCTAACCTCACAAGCCAGGTATCAATATTTTTTACACAATATAAAGCTCTGTCAGATGATGCTGAAATCTGCTGGAATATAAAATTGATATCTTGTTCTAGCAAGTTAAGAAAACTGGAAATGGAGAGAAATGTCCCTTCTTTATTTTCTATTTGCATCTTCATTAAGTTATCATTTTTCTGTGTGGATGAAAATATACAAAGAAGTGGCTCAATTTGAGACTTGAGAAATACTGGTGGGCTGAAGCCTGAAGGCCAGGAAGATAAAGTACAAGCCAAGGACCTGGCAGCTGTCCTGCCTACAGTGATATCTTCACTGTAAACATTCATTTCTCCTTTATCAAATACCCTGTCATCATCTTGTGTTAGTCCAAAGTCTTGTGGCAAGTCCTCCTTCAGTATGAGCTTCACCAGCAAGGATAATGCCTCTGGTGTTCTGATATTGCTGATTACATCACAAATTTGGGGTAACATCCTTGTAGACTGAAGAGAAAGCTGTGGTTGATCATGATGCCATGCCAACAGTCTCTCAACTCCCTTGGCAATAGTGTCACGTACTACATCCCAATCATCCTGCAGCAGCATTACCACTGTTTCAAACAATTCTAATTTGGCTGATTCAGATATATTTGGATGAAAAGAGAGGAATGGCATCAAGCCGGCTATTCCTTCAGCTACCATAAGACGAGAATCTAAGCTGTGTTCACTTGAAGAGTAGTTAAGAATCATTTCTAACCACTGATTAAAAGCATCTTCAAAGTGGTAAATAGGTTTCAATGATAAAAGTGTAATGACTACAGCAGAACTAAACTGTAGTACTGCTGGTATTAACTCCACATGGGGCTCTCCTTTGGTTTTGGATATGATAAGCTGCAGAAGGAGACCAAGTTGATTTCTCTCTATTAGCTCACTGTGGATTTCTTGAGGATGAAAGGCCTTACTTAATATATCATATATCAGTATTAGACACTCAGTATGAATTTCTCCATCCCTAACTCTGTCCATCAATTGCTTGATGATGAATTCTGGAGGATTTTGGAAATCAGCTATGTGCTCTAATACAGCAAGTCTTACTTCATAACATTCACAACTCAGAAGAGTTTTGATCATGTTTAATTCATTTGAATCTTCAAAAGGACAACTGGTACTCTGTATAAGAAACAGAGCTGCTTGCCTCTGACAAAGTGCTGACCAAGGCTTATTTGGTAATGTTGGGTCATTTGAATGGATTAGAGAAAGAGCTCCTGACCTAATAGGTTCTAATACAGGAGATATTTCTAGGATAAAATGTTCTGAACACATAAAAGTAAAGAGCTCTAAGGCACAACCACGTGTTACTAGACAAGAGTTTTTTTCTGTTGCTACCCATGATATTGAAATAACATTCATAATAATAGCACTTTTTTCATTGTCAGAAGTGATGCTGCCACTATAATTTTTCAACAACTTCAAAAGGCAGAGTAAGGAGCCATGAAGTTTATTTTGATCTGTGAGGCAAACTCCCATGCAAAGTTGATTTACAACTTGACAAAGATGACTAGGAGGCACAAGGGGAATAAGAGCATGAGAGGCAAGAGCACGAAGCTGCAGAACTGAGGAGGCAGCACACTGTAGAACAGCTGGGGTGAAGAAACTCAAGGATACAGCAGAAGTACGACCCTCAAGAGGGGCAGGGGACAACCTAGCCAGAAGCAAGAGTGTTGGAAATAATGCTGGCACCAATTTTTTTTCTTTCACACCTTCAGCTCCAACTTCCAATTCGTCTTTTAAAAAGTCAAAAAGTTCTGGATATCTCCTGAAAAACACTAAAGCAGACATGGCATTCTTCCGGCTCAGATCATCTTGTGTTTGCTTTACACCTAGCATGCGTGTTACCAGTGAGGCAAACAACAGAGCAGCTGAATTTCGTTCTGCCCAAGATGTGCTTTTATATCCCCGAATTGCAGCTTTAACTCCAGTAGAAACATATGGTATGACAAGATCTCCTAGTCTTGTATCACGATAAACTGCCCTGAGAATGTTGAAGGCATGAATCCTGGAGTCAGTCCCATCAGACTGACATTTTTCTGCCAGTGTAAGCAAGGTTGTCATGGTACTTTTAAGACACACTGCCCCCCTAACACTAGGTTCTGATGACAGCACTGCCTGAACAACAAATGGTACTCCAGCACTGCGACGTGTGGCACACAATCGGGTATCACTATAATTCTGTATGGAATTCAACACATCCCGAAGCCATTCCTCTGGTAGCTTACGGAGTTGTTCTTCTTCACACCGCCATAATCTGTCACATACTCTGCCAAACCCAATATATGACTGTTCAAAGGCTCCCCTATGTTTTGTCTCTGATAACTGTGTTAAGAAGAACTGACCTATTGTAGTCACATCTTCAACTGTGAGCACAGCTAAAGCATCAGGAGACAAGGGTACTTGTTGTATTAAGTCGCCCAATATTAAAGAAATCTCTTTTACACAGCGCCAGGCACAAAGTAGTAGCATTTGTGCACTTACAGCTTGAGCCTTCACTAATTCATCAGATTCTGATTCTTGTGAGAGTATAAACTCTCCTTCTTGAAACTGCTGATTTCCAAGGGATGCTTGCAAAGTAGCTCTTAAAGTTGCCAAGCTTTCTGGATTGAGATCCATTGGCAAATGGCCTTCTGGGGAGGAATTTCTTACTACTGGGGCTACTAAATCAGAAATTGTGTAGCAGATTTTCAACACTTCTTGTATCAGGTGAACCCAAAGGCCATGGCATGTGGTCAGTTCTGACTCTGATATATCAGAGATAAGCATTTTCAAACACAGGAGAAGTCCATACATGGGTCCTGAAGCTGCTGCCATCAGTAAACTTTCTTGTGCAGTCTGTACTTCTTTTTTAAGAGACTCCAAGATGTATCTACACAGGACCTCTCTTGGATTTTCAAAATTATATTCCTGCATAAGTCTTTCTTTAACCATCTTTACTGCTGCTGGTTGTTTGCACAAAAATTTGAACACATAAGCTGAAGTGAGTGAGTCTGGTGGCCTACATGATGAAGCAAAGCTCGAGGCTGCTTTTACAAGGGAGCATATTTTCATGTGTTGCTCAATTCCCCAATTTTCTTCAACCACAGAACACAGTATGTTAAGAGCAATTATCTTGTTGCACTCAAATGAGTCATTTAATACACATAGTAAAGTATCAATGTAAACTTCATCATTACTAAGTTGATTTATATGAAATATTTTCCCACAGTCTTGTAGAATAATATCATGAAACATCTGTAAGATGGTCAGTGCTGTGCTCCTACGAACCATGTTTGCTCCACAGTTAAGGCTCTCAGCCATCAATGAGAATAGCTTTGTGCAAAATAATGACTGCTCACTGATGGTTGTATTGGTTAAACATTCATTCTCTTTATTTTTTCCTGATTTTATTAAGGCTCCTGAACCATCCTTGATTCTCTGAAACAATTTCTTTGTACTCTTCACCAACTGCTGCCTATATGAAGGGCTCTGAGAAGGCATACTATAAATGTAATAGTCTAAAATAAGGTCTAGTTCATGTTTCTCAAGAAGTTCAGTAGATTTAGGGCTCTCACACAGAAGACTAAAAGCTGCTATCCTTACTGATTCTTCCTTGTGTGACAAGCAGAGCTTAATGGTCCTATATGGCAAAATACACCTCCACATACTACTATCATTCTCATCATACCTGGACTGGCATGTTTTAAGCCAGTGAGATGAATATCTGCCAATTTTCACACACATTATAAGGAGACATAACTTCTCACTAACAGGGTCCACTGAGCACTGAACAAGTCTTGCCACAGCAATATCAAGACTTTCTGGGCATGTAAAAAGTAGCTTCTTGAACAATAATTCATACCCAAATACTTGCATTTCTTTGGAAAAGGAATCAATGAAAATAGTAAGCCAAACATTTTGCCAAACCACAGATGATACTTCCTTCACATGTTGCTTGAAAAGAGCCTCTAACAGTTCTGCTGCATGACTGGCCATGGCTGGATCCTTCATATAATTTAGGAGCTCATTTGGCAAGTTCGGGTAAAGTTCCAGAAGGGTTTGGGCGCCTACCACAGGCACCATACAACTCACAGCACTACATCTATATTTTCGTGAACTCAGCTGATTCAGGAACATCTTGCATATGTTTAAAAAATAGTGCTTACTGCTTTCAAAATCAATTCCTTGCATTATCTTTATTAAATTCATAAAACTTTCCTTTGTGGTATGTTTGACACTGTCCAAGAAATGATCCCAAGCTAACCAAAGATAGTCCAAAAGACTTGTCAATACAGGACACCTCAGATTTAGTACATTTTTCAAATCACCTACTGCAAGAGGAGACTGTAATGCTTCTTGAGTTCGCAGAGTCCATTGAAACACAACTCTTATCATACTAACAGCAACATTACCATCATTAGACTGAGAGGCAGAGGTAAGAACCGCTTGAAGCACTTGTACACCCAGGCAAGTGTCATCATGTTTAATATAAAGGTCCTTACCATGTGTGATACACAACACACCATTGATGAGAGCCAACTGTGCAACTCTTGCAAGATCACAATACTGTTCATCTCCATTTACAATAAGCTGGACAAGATGACAAAGTCTTCCCTGAGATATGACATTATGAATCACAACAAACAACTGACCACAATTGATTCTCAAGTCTAAAGGACAACTAGGATGTTGGACCACTTTCAACACAGCCTCTAGCAGTTCATGCATATCTTGGGATACAACAGTAGTTTGTACAGGACCACTGTAATACTGCTGGAAGTACATAGTACTGCTCTTCATCAGCTGCTGTATTTGCTGTAAGACAACACAAGCTTCTACTGATGATGAAGATTCTCTGAAAAGTTCATTTATTTAAATAATAACAAACCACACACCACAAATTTTCAGACTGATATAAAGCCAATTGAAAATTGATTAGCAAAATATTTATATTAAACTATAGTTGTAAAACAGAAATGGCTTCTCATTGTAGTCAATATATATATATATATATATATATATATATATATATATATATATATATATATATATATATATATATATATATATATATATATATATATATATATATATATATATATATATATATATATACTAAATTTGGACAAAAAAAAAATGCAAATACCATTGATGGCTAGCACAGGAGTAATTTAGATACAATTGGGAATATTGCAAAGAACCATGGGTGATTATGGAAGTGTGTGGGAGTGAGTGTTGTAATATAGTGATGATAATGTGAATAATGTTGTATTAGTGTTAGTGACTGAACATTCAAGTGCCAAGAATTGGAGGGAAATCAGTTCATGAAAATGTGAAACTTGGGTGGCTCATAGTACCGGTATGTTTTCTTGAATTTCATTGCAGAAACTATTATTTTAAAATAAACCTGAAAAATCACAATAAACACCTCATATATTAACATTTTATCCCATAATAATGCTTAGTATTGTAAATAATGTAAATATTCACTGAGAAATAAAAAATAAAAGATGGACAATCCAACAGAATCATAATGAGGTAATATAACATAGAAATTAAACAATGTATGCTGAGTTCAAATAATATATGATACCATATTAGCAGTGATGAGATTAAGGGACAATGCAAACCTAAAGCCAACTGGGCTGACATCTGTTGTTAGCACCTAATATGTCAGTGAGGTTATATTATCAGTGGTGACTTCAACATGGACTGGGACATGCAAATATACATTTTTCTATGGTACAAATATCTCCAGAGTCTGTAGAAGAGAATGAACATATGTGCTATAATGGTCCAAATCTGTGTAAATAAAAGAACACACAAAGCACAGTCTTTAAAATGATGTGTAGTTTATTTTTATTTATTTTTATTATTATTTATTGGGCACTCCCCTACATCCTTGTGTAAGGTGAAGCGCAGAAGCGTTTACAGTGCCCAACAGGGAATCATGCTAAGTTCATGCTTGCCTTTATGTCTCATGAGTCAAGGGCGTAGAAGCCTGAAGCGTCAAGGGCATAGAAGCCTGAAGAGTCAATGGTTTATGTCATCAAGTTATTGGAAGCTCCAACAACTTGTCCCTGAATACGAATTCACAACTTTCGATTTATACCAGGTACCTACTTTACTGCTAGGTGAACAGGGACTAATGGGGGCTAGGAAGTATGTCCAAACAACTTCCACCGGCCAGGGAATCGAACCCGTGACATCTCGCTTGCGAAGGCAAGAGCGGTACCACTCTACCACCAGCACCCCCTGAATGATGTGCAGTGTTTACTGGTAGTGGGAGAAGAGGGAGAGAGGTGTGGCTGTGCTGTAGGGCCCGTACATGCTGCTGATTGGTCCAGCCGCCTCCCCAGGTAATCACCAGCACTTGCCCAAAATACAACCCTTCAAATATTGTACATCTAATTTTTCTGACACTGATGATGACCTGGTACCTTGGGATATTGTTCATTCTCTTCTACAGACTCTAGAGATAAGACATTACAAGAGAATAAAGATTTTTGCATGCCTGTCAAAGTCGTCCATAAAATCCACTTTGCCTCATATACAGTATACCATTATTGTACTTTATTTCAATGCAGTGTTTATTTTTCTACTCAATCCAGAGCATCCAGTCTCAAAATGCTTCAGTAATTATTCCTAAACTTTTAAGTTAAATAACATTTCACATAAAAGAGAGTTTGGCTTCAATATCTTACCTTATTTAACATGCATTTGAGCTTAACAGTTATCTCATAAAAACTGAAAGATTCTTACTTGAAATTTTTATTCCAGAGGAGGGTTATCCCTTGTAGCATAGCCTGTATGATCCTGGGTTGGAGCTCTAGAATAGCCTCTTTACTGTATGTCTCTTCCTTGGTTTCATCACAACAGCTTCCTGCATCTTCCTGCTTCTGGAACTTGCAGAATAATGTACCTGCACCTTCAACAACAAGAGAAACTCCCTGCATCAGGACAATGGGGTCACTGGTTTGTGTTAAGGCACAGTTGAGCACAGTCATGACACTCTCACGGTACAACTGCGGGTAACTGTTGCCAATAGACGGGAGGGACCTGTGATTGAGAAACATCTGTATCATCTTGTCAACTCTGGGCATCCATTCTTACAAAATCTTGGAATAATCAATGAATATACTGTATATATATATCAATCATGTAAATGTGGAGGAACAGAGGCATAGGACACAACCAACCAACCAAAGATACATGTACAGGTATTTTACTTTACACCAAATACATCCTCATCCCTGAACCTTCCTTTTGTTATCTTAGCAATATACAAGATTAACATCAGATCTATTTTTTTGTACCAAATTACAGGAGCTGATTTTTAAAATAAACCTCAGCAAAAGGATCTAGGAGTAGCAAGACTATACTGGTCATAGAATCCTCTCAGTCTATCGTGTTTTTAATTTTTTAAATAAAAGTGAACAAACAAATGCCAAAAAGAAAATTTTATTGAAAAGGTTGTGTATATGAAAAGAACACTGGTACAGTTCCTTTAAATTTTCTTTCAGAGTGTACTGTACAGTATATACATTATGTATATGTGGGTTGTTTCATGTACACACAACACACAGCCTATTTTCATGTAAGAAATAACATGTAGCCAAGTATTTAATGAGAGTCAATTCAACAGATCAGATACTGATAAACATTTATATAAATTTCAAAATAATGACATTGCAGAACAAGGATTTTTTATAGAGCTCCGAACACCTCACTATGATAATTTGAATTACAATTAAAGACAGCAAAGATGTGGATATAAGACAAGAAAGACTAAAGACAGCCATTCACTCAAACTTACTTTAATATCTTGTTTCTCAGTTGAACTTTAGGCTTGAGCTGCAGCAGTGATGACACAAGGAGAGTACAACACACCCTGGCTGATGCTTCTGAACCTGAGGCTGTTACTACAAGCTGTAAATTAGAAATAATATTACCTACTTAAAACACAGATAATAATATTAAATAAGACAGCAATTCTAATTCTATAAATGAAATGACTCGTACAAAATTTTATTTATTTGCTACAGTTTCATTCCCAGTTACATGATATGATGCATAATGCTTCTTAGATACTGTATTAAAGTATGTACTGGTAAGTTTTTGAATCAGCTTTAGTGCGAAATGACAAAAAGAATAAATTTTCCACTGTACCATAATGTTTCACATCCACTCCATCTGCATATTAAGTTCATTTGTTATTTGAAACTAGTCTTTATTCTTCCGTTCGCACCCAAAAATCACCACAGTACAGAATCACCTTTCATACTTTTGACATTATATGCAGAACCATCTCTTACTTGTAACTATGAGTAAATACAGTACATTGTAATTTAATATGAATAAAGTGGAACTAGAATTAATACAGAGTCACTGTTTAATTACAGTATAGTAACAATAGGGAAGCAGCCAAAAACATATCACAAGTAAGAAGAGTTGCGGCACTGTGAGCCTTTCTGAATGGAAAAGTTTTAGTATTAAATGAAAGAGAAACTTGTATTAAAAAAGTTTGCTCTAAACATTCTGTATACCAGTAACTGTGAAGCTTTATGCTTCCACAACAGGGGTAGGTCAAGAATGTTACATGTACAAATGAACAACTCATATGGTACTACAGAGCCAAAACCTGATGGGTGAACAATAATAATGAAGATAAATATATGTAGATAGAAAGATAGATGCCTATTCAGCAAAAAATTTATATGCTTTCACATTTGTTTAGCATGTATCGTCCTCCCAAAAAAGTAGCGTTAGATTTTCTGTCGCTACAATTTGAAAAGCTAGATGAAATGCATTGATATGATCCCCAGTGCATCATCATAAGTTGGTACCTGGTTGCCATATCAACAACAGTTAAAGATGTGGGTAGGATTGGGGATGGTGGGGTCGTCCTTGTATGGCATATTAGACATAGTACTGCACTTCAAAAAAACAAGAAATCCATTAAGCTACCATATACTGTATTAATGTATGTATTGTACTGGGTAGAAGCATGACATATGTAAACAAGCCACTGATAATTACAATAACACTGGAAATGTTTTGAAACATCATAGCTGAGACCTCAAAACACACATTTCACCATTACGTTGTTATACTAACGGAGTTTCATTCATACTGAGTGCCACAATACTGTATTGCACTTGTTACATATTCATTTTTGTCAACCATGAACCTTCTAGAAGGCCATAGAAATTGTCTACCTTACCAGTTTTCCCCCATAGCTTTAAGGTACAGGTGTATTAACTTTTCCCAGTAAAACATTCACACTGATTTCTAAAAACTTATCCCTGCAAATGTTGAGAGCTTATTGTAGGTGCCAACTTACAAATATCAAACATTATAGATTATAGTACATACAGAAGAACTCAATATCCTATACGAAATATGGACTATAGTTTTTTTTGATGGAGAGAGAATAAAGAAACTCACCTTTTCCACTGCACCAACTTGTTGTGGGGGACTCTCAGGTGCAATGAGGTCTTTAAATGCTTCTTTAATGATTTCTTCAGCAGTTTCTGAAATAAAAAAAAAGTGTTAAATTTTTGTTTGCAAGCACTAATTTTCTTATACCTAAGAAGTTTTATTGCCATATGCTGCAGCATGGCACAAGACCATCACAATCAATGAGGGATCCTACACAGGCTATGGGCATCCTTCCCCTTTCATAGCTACCACTAGTTGCAATGGCCATTAAGTAAACTCGGTAGGTAGGTAAGACACTCCAAAGATATGTGTATTAGACTTATTCCTGGGTACAATTAGTAATAAAGGTTTTCTGTGTCAATAAACACTATCTCTATAAAGCTCTATAATCATGTCCTCTTTTCTGGGTATATTATCTGCTATTTATTCTATGGCTGATTAAAGGCTCCTCCTTACTGAACACTTGAGAACTATCTACATTAACTGTTCCCAACTTTTAACTTTTTTAAATTTGCAAAGCCTGATGCCAGCTTTTCTATGTAGTACTTGCTAATGTGATGAGACTACCATCCAGCAAAAGTCTCCAACAATGAAAAATTTAAGCATGAAATCCTATTTTATGGTAAAAGGTAAAAACCAAGAGACCTACATTTACCAGAGGTCTTTGCAATGTTTAACAATAGGAAACACTATCCACATTCACAAGGTCATTCTTAAATCTAATAATCTAATGCGTAAAAGTTTCTCAATTTTATGAATATGGTTCCAATTAAAATACTTGGGTTAAACATGATTCACCTAATTCACAAACAAAATTCTAAATACATGTCCTGCTTATGTAGTACAGTACAGTATTGTACTCACCTGGAGGAGGGTCTAGGACGAGTTTTTCCATGTGTGATTTCCGAACTTTTCCTCCTTTTATGGAAAATTCTCGGTGCGTTGAGTCCATGTTGACTAAATGTTTATCATATACAAAGGATCAACTGGAAGAAAATATTAAAAGCTTAATCGTATCAAATCTTTAAATTATAAAGTAAGAATAAATATGAAAGTATTGTATAACATGTAAATAAAGCACGGTACATGTATGTTACTCCATATTCTTGACGATCCAGCTCTTTCAAATACTGTACTTCATCCAGCACTTTTCAGCAAAAGGAATGACATCTAAGTGGTTTGTAGAAATTATAACTTCACTGCGACTTCATATGACAGTCACAAAGATGCTCCAGAAGCAAACCTAACCTACACAAAGAATTACTCAAATATGCAAGTTGTGCATAAACTAGTTCTTCTTGAGTGCCTTGATCAAACCAACACAAGAAAGATGACCAACTGCCCCAAGAGTTTATCTGTTCGAGAGTGCTGGATGAATATGATCTGTGGTATTTGTACCAATCAATAATCTAGCAAGGTGGCATACCAAAATTAATCATACAACAGTTAGCCCCATACTGGTAAGCTTGTATTTAATGAGCGTATAACCACTCATTCCGTTGTTTTCACTCGGTACTTTACTTTTACTTTATCCTCTTTGCCAATGATCAGTTTGTTAGCTGCTTGGACAGTTGGTCGTGTCTCTGTTACACACTGTTGGCAAGTACTGGTTCTAGAATGTACCTGTAGTCTGTACCCGTGCCAGTGTTGGTCAAGTCTGGTCTTGAATGAGCTCACACTACCGTCACAACACTCTCTGACAGATTGTTCCAAGAGTTCACCAGAGGTACGAGATACTGTTACATTATTTAGTTTATAATTCTAAAAATGATCCATCAATTAATATCATGTAGGTTTTGCCCTTTTTTTCTAAATTTTTTGTTTTGGCTAGGAGCTTTTAACACTACCACAATTGTCCACAAGAAACGGTTATCACGAGTGCATAAGAGCATAAAAGTAATTCTTGAAAACCATATCTCGTTAATAGGTTAAGGAGATAGTGCCTTCTACATATTCATTCCCCTAAGACAGGTAATAACTGGATCTTCTTTTACTTTATATATAGTTTACATGAAGACATTTTCTTCTGATAAGTTCACGTTATATTATATACAATTGATTTTTATTTACCGTCTTGCTGAATGTCTTCTTAGCTTATGCCATGTGTGGTGTTCTGTTGTTGTTGTTGTGTACATCTGTCAACATCTTCGGCGTTCGTCTATGAATCCGCATTTATAAACTAACTCCTTCCAGGGTGTTCGTGCAACTTCACACATCAACTGCACCTTTACTCCTTGCTACGGGCGTAATTTAATTTAATTTACCGTTCCATCATTTATAAGCTTATTAGCCGTTGGGTCGTTGGTCTGCATTTTGTTCCTCTGTCCTGGCTGGTCCACCCGGAGACGTTTGGTTGTCACTCTGGATTAAAAAAAAAAATGAACCAGGGAGTGTGGACATCCTATTGTCTCCCATTAGATCTACCCAGAATGGCTACTATTTGCATTACGTCAACTTTAATAATATTAGGTCTATTCTGTCAACAAAATACTAGTGTAGGGTGGTCTTGATGGGGTGTTGGGGAGGTCTTGTGGGGATGTTGAGGGAGGTCTTGAGGGGGGAGGTCTTGTTGGGGAAGTCTTGGAGGGGGGGGTGTTGGAGGGAGATCTTGTGTGGGAGTGTTGGATGACTGTTTTGAGTAGTGGACCATAAATAGTCCCTGCCAACGATTTTTTTTCTCTTTTCCTGCCTGTACTTTGTGTTGTAGTAGTGGCATTAACTGTACTGTATATTTTTTTTTTTTACGGTTTATTCCTCTCTCTCTCTCTCTTTCTCTTAACACCAACGTAATTTCTCCTGCACTCCCATATGTTTACTGACACACAGCTCCATCTTGAATATATAGTCAGCTTTTTCCGCCATACACGTGTGAGTTGACCGCCTCAGGGACAGGTGTCGTAGTGTGTACCCGCAGTCCTACTCCTACGTCCTGGTCGCGCTCACCACCACCACCACTTTACTCCTACAACACACTGCCAACAACTAATTTACGTAAATTCTATGAACTCAAAGTCGTCCACTGGAACAATATAATCACAGGGTTTATAAATGGCGTACAGAAATTGAAGGTGGCCATATTAAGTTCATATGAATCGTTCACTGGATAAAATGTGAGTGTTTATTAATTTAGTGTATGAAAATTAGGTGGCGCTGCACTAAGTTGTACTGAAGTTTCACCCCCCCCCCCAAAAAAAATGAAAACAAAGCTAACTGAATGAACCATAAGAGTGTTACATAAAGTGGTGTTCACATATTTACTCGACAGTGTAAAGCAGTGTTCCTAAGTAAGAGGATCAACTTGTCATAAAACCCAGCGGTAAGGGTTCGTGGACTCTTGCATACATCGTATCACCTGAATATTAGCAACGTTAGCTTATTTCACCTTAAGGTTAACCACCCCAAAGCTAATCCAACTCAAACCTAACATACCACTATATACCCCCCAATAGCATTAAGGTGATTAATCATCAAGTGAAATAAGCTAAAGAGGCTAATCATCACTTGATCCAATTCGACTAAAAAGAGCTGTAAGGTGTGTCTGTGACCGCGACCATGTTACCATTACGACTTGGAAGAAAGTTCTGGGATAGATTTTGTAGGTATGTGTTAGTATCAGTGTGTGTAGTGTATGTCCTTTACTCCCCTGCCAAGCCAGCACCTAAGAGACTCCCAGAGTTAAGGGAGACATTGGGTAAAGGAGTATTTGAGTACTACGTGGAGGTGGATCACTTGACCTCTGGTTCACAGGTGATGGTGGTGTACCTGGTCAAGGGTTCTCCCACCATACTACGACCCTTACACTACGTCCACAGGTGAGACACGACCCTTTAAACAGAAACCACGCACTGTACTACACGTGTTATGTCTATGAGAGATATCACCTTAGAAATACTGTGCACAGGAGAGAAACACTACTTAGATACACTATAAGGGATAGAAACACTATTTAAAAACACTGTAAGGGAGAGAAACACTACTTAGAAACACTGTGTAAGGGAAAGAAACACTACTTAAAAACAATGTTAACAGACGAAACATTACACATCAAATACAACTAACCTAAAAAAACATAAATCAGAAGAGAATTACACCAATATATCTTCTTACCCTGGCAGAGCTCAGCCACCGTCGCCGCTCATCCTCGGCAGTAGTGGAAGAGGGCGGGTGATGGCCGAGGAAGGTACATTGGTGCGGGTCGAAGATTACTTCACCCACCTCTACACACCTCAGGCCGACTGCAAGAAGCTCCTCATTCTTGGTGGGAAACACATATGCGGCGAGATTACGGATGAGTTAATGGACGGAAGCAAGGTATTATGAGTTTTGTGAGAATTGGCAGTTTATAATTAAACATTTTCTATGACTTTTAACATGTGGATTTTCTACCTATTTTTAAAATGTGTGTGTGTATGTGTTTGTGTAAAATAAACACAAGATGAATGTAAGTGTATGAGTGTATAAGTATACCAAAACTTCATCCCCTCCTCCTTCTCCCCCTACAGGTAAGAACATAAGAATGGAGGAAACTGCAGCGGGCCTATTGGCCCATACTGGGCAGTCCCGTTTACACCCAACCCCTATTGCTCATATGAGCATCCAACCTATGTTTGAAGCAATTCAGCGTATTCGAGTTAATGATGATATTTGGTAACTTGTTCCATTCATCCACTACTCTGTTTCCAAACCAGTGTTTACCTATTTCACGCCTAAATCTAAATTTGTCTAATTTAAAACCATTGTTACGAGTTCGCTCCTGGTTGGATAATTTGAGTACCTTTGTAATGTCCCCTTTGTTTAGCCCTGCCTTCCACTTATACACCTCTATCAGGTCGCCCCTCGCTTTACGTCTCTCAAGGGAGTGCAAATTAAGATGCTTTAACCTGTCTCTGTACTCAAGGTAGTGTGTATGGACCCCCCGCTGGACCTACCACCTGGTCGAGACCCTCAGAACTGCCTCACCCTCTCCTTCGGCATCCACGTAGACTCCACCTTCGACGAGGCCATGTCAGATCTTAACTGCGAGGTGCACATGTTCGACCTTCTCCCCGCGGCACCTGCCCATCTCCTCAACAAGTCTCAACACGCCTACTTTCATCAGGTCCAGTTTGTTTGCGTGGTCCAAGAGTCCTGTTATAAAAGTGATATATTCTTTTTCTTAGTCACCTTCAATTGGTAATTCTACTTCCAAGTTACCGATTACCTGAAGATTAAACACCCTGACTTATTTCATCTGATGATTAACTACTCTAAAGTTAACCCACCTCAACTTAACCTACCCAAACTTAAACTAACCTAACTTACCCTAACCTAATCCCCAGGTAGCGTTAAAGTAGTTAATCTTGAGGTGAAATAAGTTGTTGGTGTCTAATTTTCAGATGATCTTTAGTTACTTTAATAATGATAAGACAAATAAATAATACTGGTTTTATTTCTAAGTTAACGACAGCCACGTCTTTGTGTGTGTGAATTATTCCCGGGGGGTGTGTTACAGGTGGGCCTCGCTGACAGCCGCCGACAACACTACTTCCTCAACTTGGAGAAGGAGATTCCCATGGACACCCTCACCGGCATCATGATTAACAACAGCCTCACGGACCGCTTTATACACATCCTGAAGGTGGGGTAGTCTCCTGCTGGTGTAGCTCCTTCAAACCTTCACACTACACGACACATCATTATTAGTCTTATCAACCACACGCGTTATACGATCTCATTAAACAGTTCTCAAGTGCTTAGCTCACCATTTTCCTCACATATTTGCTATAAACTAACATTTTTATCAGTTAAAGATCTTAAGATGACAATATATTTATTTACTTATTATTTATTTATTTATTTATTATATACTTATTTATTTATTTATTTACATATTTCTATATATTTATTTATTGAGTACATAACACACGTGAAATCTTTCTTATTCTTATGTAAATGTAAGTGTTGATTTAATCATTATAAAATACGACCAATAGAACAAATTTAAGGTAACCTAAATTAAACATATATAGAAAGAGTAAACAATAAATAAATACCTTTGTAAATACAGTACAGGTGAATCTAATTTACCTGGAAAGACTTAATGAATCTTTAATGTGTCTGGTTGGCAGGTGGATATTGAGGACAATGAATGGGAAGTGTTGGAGCAGCTGATAAAGGATCCCATTCTGGACATTGTAGGACAGGTAAGGAGCCCCCCCCCCCACACACACACACACTACATAGAGTAACTGACAATGTTATAACTTTAGGATCACCTGAAGATTAGACACCCCCAGTTTATTTCACCTGATGATTAAACACCTTGACGCTAATCTAACGTGACCCAACCTAACCTGACCTAACTTAACTTGACCTGATATGACCTAACCTAACATAATTGAACCTAACTTAACCTAACCTAAACTCCCCTAGGTTTGATCATCAGGTGAAGTTAACTGCAGTGTGTAATCTTCAGGTGACCTTGATTCTCTTGTACACTATTTATTCTTAACTAAAATATTCTACATTTGCATTCGTTTATAAATCTAGGGACAAAGTTGGCTTTATATATGTATGAATAATTAGATAAGTTAATTATTTGTTACCTTAACAATATGCCATTATTATATTTTTTTCATCAATTATATTTTTTTACAATTATTTACATTTACTCTATTATATATCAACATTTACACTGTCTCCCATAATACATGTTCTCCTTCGCCCTGCCTCTGGTTTACCCTCGGCCAGCTTGCCTTAGAGGTGCACGCTGAGAACGCTCCCCTACTCTCACCTCAAGACCTCTTGGTGTTTATCCGTCGACGTTACGATTTACTTAAGGCTATTGAGGTGAGTGTGTGTGTCTCTATTGCCCACTCATCCCTCTCTGTCTATTTTCATCAGATTTTCTCTTTCTCTCCTTATTTTCTTTCTTGCTATTTTCTTTTTTTTCCATTTTCCCTCTTTATTGTCCACCTTTTCTTTCTCTTTTTCTATTTTCCTCCTCCCACCCCTTTCTCTCTCTTCCCGCCCTCTCTCTTCCCCCCTCTCTATTTCCCTCTCACTCCCTTGAAAAATTTCAGTAAATTATTATATTTGTTAGTATCTAATTTTTTTCTCAATATTTACATTTATATGACCCATTGATGTTATAGTACAGTTATACTGATGTTACTGATGTTGTTATTGATGTATACCCATGTTGATCCACATCCTATCCTCCATGCATCAAGATAAATCCAACCTAATCCACAACACATTCCTTCCTCCATTCACCAACATGGGAGTATTCATCCTTTACTCCATATTCCATCCTCCATGCAACAATATAACCCCTCCCTCTTACTCACTCCATATTCCATCCTCCATGCAACAATATAACCCCTCCCGCTTACTCACTCCATATTCCATCCTCCATGCAACAATATAACCCCTCCCTCTTACTCACTCCATATTCCATCCTCCATGCAACAATATAACCCCTCCCTCTTACTCCATATTCCATCCTCCATGCAACAATATAACCCCTCCCTCTTGCTCACTCCATATTCCATCCTCCATGCAACAATATAACCCCTCCCTCTTACTCCATATTCCATCCTCCATGCAACAATATAACCCCTCCCTCTTGCTCACTCCATATTCCATCCTCCATGCAACAATATAACCCCTCCCTCTTACTCCATATTCCATCCTCCATGCTACAGGGTCGTGGGTTCAGGATTGTGGCATACTGGAACAACAAGAAGAGTCGTACTTTCAAAGACGACTCGGGGGCCACACACAGAACCTGCGGAGAGATACTGTATATTAATTCCAATTGGTCTAACACTACATTCATGGCTGCCTTAATGTGATTCTGATGCTGTTATGCTGTACTGAGTCATAAGTGTGATTCTGGTCCGAATATTATGCTGTACTGATTCATGAGTGTGATTCTGGTGCTGTTATTAAGCTGTACTGCTATTGAGTTATACTGATTCATGAGTAGTGATTCTGGTGCTGTTATTAGAGGTATACTGATTTATAGGTGATTCTGATACGGTTAATTCTTGTTGTCAATCTAAATATCGGGGAATGTGTATAACTTACTTCATTTCATTATCAATTTACACATATCGATCTTCATATTACACACTGGATTATTCATCTCCTCATTCATTCATTTATTGTTTATGTTATTTTGTTGGAGAATATTTGTATTTATTTATTTACGTGTGCTCTATATACCATCTGATGCAAAAGGTAAACAAACAAATAAATAAATAAATAAATGTTTCTGTTAAAATTGTTCTGGTTGATGAAAATTAATTAATGTTATTTATGGTAATTGTGAATTGAATAAAGTTGGAGGTTATTTATGATATGTTTGTGTTTATTTACATCCACCTGACTCAGGATACAGGTATTAATCACGTTATTTAAAGGTCATGCTAGATGCTCAAAGTTGGTATGGTGTATACTGTTTATGGAGCCTGTGTGTGTGTGTGTGTGTCTGTACGTTAGGTCAGGTTAAGTGTGTAAGATATAACACGCCAATACTAAACCTTTTTGTCCAGATTATCTCGTCACAAGCCAAGTTGTCAGATTGTCAACAGTTCCTACCATTAAATTCCTCGTAACTAAATATACATGAACGTCTTAATTGGTTGACTTACATATAAGCACAAAATTACTATCTCAAAATGGAATTAGTTTTATTAAGAGATTACCGGACCTTACATGACAGACGTTCGCTTAACACCAGACAAAATTAAGGTAGTGAGTCTTAGGAAAGATTCTCTTACTTGGCTTTTCCCTTTATAACTGTGAACCCGGGCCCAGGTCAGCCTCTGTGAACCCGGGCCCAGGTCAGCCTCTGTGAACCCGGGCCCAGGTCAGCCTCTGTGAACCCGGGCTCAGGCTAGTCTTTGTAAATCCAGGCTCAGGCCAGCTTCTGTGAACCCGGGCTCAGGTCAGTCTCTGTGAACCCAGGCCCAGGCCAAGCTCAACAGATGAAGAATGATCTCATTTGTAATATGCGGTAACTTGTGGGTCATCAAGGAGACTGGAATGTGATTTAATGAAGATGAATGATTCCAGCAGCCACAGAGGACGGCAGACAGGCTATACTTTGTAATTTTAAACTGCCTATTATCTCTCATCTTACGTCTTGGCAAAGTCTTTTTTTTCCCTTGGGTTTTGAATATGTGTAGTAATACGTAACTTTTCTACCACAGGTGTATATGTTGTTCTTGTGTGATCTTAAACTCATTGTGTGATTTCAAACTCTATATTATCGTGTAAAAGGTAACTCCTCAACGCTCTTGTATTTTTGTACTCTGATATTTAAGTCCATAAACTCACTTTAAACTTCTACTACTACGTCACACACACACACACACACACACACCTGAACCCCGGGACATGAACCTTTAACATTATCCTGCAGTTTGATTTTATCCTCTGTCGGATCCTCTGAACCATGAAATGACAGAGGAATAGATGTCTAACCGTCCATCCGCCCCTTTGACCGTCCGTCCCTGTCATTCTTTCCGTCCGTCCATGAACAATATTTTCAGATTTCGTTGTTTTATACCGAAATATATTTTGCCATTAATGAAATTCAAAATGATAATAAATAGATCATATGTATACCAAAAAATTCACACTTCAACAACATCGTTTTTCGGGAGATATAATATTATTGCGCGCCATCTAGAGAATGTAAACAATAATGGCGTCTTCTGTGCATCACAATCTTTTGTTTTTCTCTGTTCCGTTTTTAGAAAGGTATTGTACGACAAATTCTATAAGTTAGTAAACAAAAAATACCCCCCCAAATTGGTCCTAAGTATATAATATCCTCAATTAGTTAGTAAAATATACTTTAAAACACAAAATTAATCTAGTATAGCACTTACCCAGCCATCTTTATGATACTGCACCATGCCTTGCTACACTACAGTACTAACATATCTTTAGTCGGCTACTACTCAACTGTATAATCATTAGTGTTGTAAAATTGTTGCAGATAAGACCAATTAGCGTCGAGCAGTTCTGAACTTATGAGTGACAATCATTAATGCTTTTAGTAAGGTTGGTCGTGGGGGAGAAACTGGCATCATTTACTTACAACAGATACGTACACAGCGAGGGCTTGAAGGTAATAATAATCTGATATATAATTAGACTATTTGTCATTAGCTAGTGATATATACGGTATGGCCCTCGTAATTGTATGTGTGGTGTGTTGTGTTAGGTTAGGTTGTTGGGCTGTGTTGTGGTGTGTTGTGTTAGGTTAGGTTGTTGTGCTGTGTTGTGTTGTGTTGTGTTAGGTTAGGTTAGAACATGTAGATAAATATGTAGTGTTTTTAGATAATCTTAAAAACATTTAACAGTTTATATAGTTTGCCTAGGATAAAAATATTACATCAGTGTTTCAGTAAAAAAGTTATGGTCATTTATTGGGATTTTCTCGTAATCGTAATTGTCATGTCAAAGATTTTAATTTCTCACTCAGAATATTATTACGTCATTGAAGGCACATACGGCCTAACTAGTTGAGACAGAACAAGACCATCTCCCTACCTTGGTCATCCACATCTCCACATCAAATTTCATCTGTCTTCAAAACCGTGGAAAGGTGAGTGGTGGGTCAAGGGACAGAAGATAGTGCACAACCATCCCCTAGCCTAGACCACACGCACCTCCCTACCAAATTTCAAATATCTTTAAAACTGTGTAAATGAATCTCGCTCACAGGTACTGGGTACGAGTCGGGTCCCAGGTAGGAGATAATGTACGATTATCCCCTATTCTAACCGCACCTCCCTACCACAATTTTATCTCTTCAAAGCTGTTTACAGGCTCGCGGGTGCCTAATCTTCAGGTGATCCCACAAGTCTTCCGAAGTTTTAGGCATTAGAGTATAACATTATTATGTGGTCTCAGAGTATATCCATTTATTTAAGGAGTGAGTTGGTGTTTTGTTCCAGTAAATAGTGAGAGGCCAAACATGCTTGTCGTGTTCAACCGGTGCACCAGCCAGCCAGCCACCATGACCAAGCTTATTAAACCAGTCATGATTGTCACTCATAAGATCAGATCTACTCGACGGTAATGAGTCTTATCTGGAACAATTTCACAGCAGTAGTGATTATAGGCTTCACTAGCATCCAGCTGGAGATATGTTCCCAAGCAGCAGGGTAATGAAGGCAGGTGGTGGTATTGCCTCACTACAGCTGTTTTGAAGTTTGGTTCACCAAATAACCAATTACATCATATGCAATTTTTGTATACGCTGTTAAACTGCTCAATTATATACAACAAAATCACCCAGTTTGTGCCGCAGCCTGTACGATGTTACACCCCTGAGGTCCACTAGTTCATCTTTCGTACTCTAGGTGGCAGTGAACTAGAAATCGACAATGTGCGTTATATAATACCTAACCTTCCTCAGGCAACACTAAATGGGACTTTATTCTACAAGATACAAAGTCAAACATATAAGCAATTTTCTTTTCTTGGTCCCTTGGCTAAATCGACTTACAGTTCGTCATGGTCGTCTGTATACGGTACACGCTGAACCAATGTAAAATTGTATGACGATTTCCAGTGAATATATATCTAACTATTTATCTTCATCCACTAAATTATATTCTCTGGACATGTTTCTCAAGTAAGTCGTATCTCAGAGTACTCGTGACGCACAAACACTTATATTTCAATGTCTCAGAAGTAATTAATTCTAGTGAGGGGTGCGTCACGGTTCACGAGGCAGTTTAAGGTCCTCTTGATTATCAGGAGGCTGCCGGGAAGCCCCTCGTAATGTAGATTGGCAGACGTACATAATGATAGCATCACGTCTGCCCCATGATCTATCGTCCACGGAGAATTAATGGCACAAAAACCCACCAACACTAGCGGCCATTTCCATCTTCATTAGGCCAATTTCGAATAATTAGGTTGTTGAGACTCCGGACTTGGATAACCTAAGTTGGAGTCGACTCTGGAGGCAGAGAGTCTCAAGAGCCTGTCGCCGATAGAGCCAGTTTTCTTTGAATAAGTATTAGGGGTGACTGACGTAGTGGTGCGCCCGTGTGTTGCCAAGAGAGCTGACCACCTAGGTAGTGGTTGCAGTGTACTGTCTTGCCAAATTGCAGTTAAGTGATACTTCAGCATTTATTGAATATCAAATTATACTCTTTTAATCCGAAGGTATTCTTTAAATTTACTTAAACTTATGTAGTTAATTTTTTTCTTGAACGTTCGTAAACTGTTCCTCAAACGACTCTTACAAGCCTAAAGCTATAGATAAAGAAGTAACGTTTAATCTGGAGCTCATAAAAAGCTATCATAAAAAAACAAAACCAGTTTACTCATGAATTAGTAGCCAGAGATGACTCACACACTTTGGGTCAAGAGAAAATAGATTTCAAGAAAACTTTCGCGACATGATTAAGAGAATACCACAGAAGAGAATGGTTGGGGGGTCGGGTAACAAAAACTGAGCTGTGTTGAGGTGTGTTGTGGAGATAACATCACACACACACACACACACACACACACACACACACACACACACACACCAAATTTAAACCACAGATATAAACACATAAAAGGTCAGATGATGAAGAACATAAGAACTTTCTACTGAGTAAAATTCACTTCACATTCATCTTTCAAAACACAACACAATTAAACACAGCTGGGAAACAAATGCTGTCAGTTGGAAGCAGAACAAAGAATAATACAAGTATAACTATATATTAAATTAGAAGTTAAGAGTTAATTGTACTACGTTAATAAAAGTCAAGAGAAGAGTGAGCTATTTACTCCCTTGTTGTGTGCTAATTCTCAAAGGTTCAACTGCATCCTTCTTAATTCTGTCTCCTAACTGGTGCTAAGTTGAATGTGTCTAGTTAAGGTAGAGTCTCAGTGTTAATTCTGTCTACTGACTGGTGCTAAGTTGAATGTGTCTAGTTAAGGTAGAGTCTCAGTGTTAATTCTGTCTACTGACTGGTGCTAAGTTGAATGTGTCTAGTTAAGGTAGAGTCTCAGTGTTAATTCTGTCTACTGACTGGTGCTAAGTTGAATGTGTCTAGTTAAGGTAGAGTCTCAGTGTTAATTCTGTCTACTGACTGGTGCTAAGTTGAATGTGTCTAGTTAAGGTAGAGTCTCAGTGTTAATTCTGTCTACTGACTGGTGTTAAGTTGAATGTGTCTAGTTAAGGTAGAGTCTCAGTGTTAATTCTGTCTACTGACTGGT